CAATATAACAACTCTATTATTTAATGATTAACTTTAAACATTCACTATTTTTTTTATTGTGACATTATTATGGAAATAATATATTACTCATGAGAACTACATAAAGAGACTAAAATGGTTAAATTAATGAGAAAGAGGTCAGACAGTTATCCCGACAGAAAAGATGTGTAATGGGTATGGAAATTAAAAATACAATTAATCCCAACAACAAGCCATGACTAATACACATGGAATCCTTAAACAAAACCCCATATCAGAGGCTCTAAATTAAATTTCTATGAAAATCAATGTGGAACATTTTCAGCATTGTTCTCACACCCAATACGGCTACTCCCACCCTTTTCTCTTGTAAAACACTTTATCTCAAGGCTTATGAAAGTTACACATATATTTTTATATGCCCAGATTTTCATGTGGACATTATTGCCGTCATCACGTATGTGTCCGTCCATTCAAATTTTAAATGGTCGACCTTCTACTGGTCACAATTTTTATATGATTTTGACAAAACTTGAAATTTAGGATATCCAAAAAATCTTGGTTCATTCAATATTGGCATGTATCAGACTCCAACTTTGTGGATTATGGCCCTGATTGGATTACCTGACATTTGATAACGAAAACCCACGTTTTTAGATTATGGAGCCTCTAGGTCACAAATTTTATCGATTGAGATGTTTATAACCCAAAGATCTTAGTTCCTTTTATTAGATTTTAAAAACCATTCAAATATGTCACCGTTACACCACATTGACAGCTGAGTTTGAATTTCATGAAAATCAGACTGAAACTGCCCAACAAAATGGCTCCTCCCCCCTTATACAAGGATGTGGACCCTCTAGATATTCCGATATTTATGAAACTTAAAATATATGTTTATAACTAAAAGATATTGGCACATATCCGATAATAACTTCCTGGAATATGGCCCATGATAGTACGAGAATTGTTCTCTGTCCATCTCTTGCAAAATCTGGGCGTATCTTGTGAGCAACCGCCTGTTTAATTCATTGTGGCACCCATAAACATAAAAAGCTATTACTGACCTTAACCAATGTTAATTAACATATTTAAATTCACACCATTAATATACTTGTTGTTGATCACAATATTCACATCCCTATGTTAATTAAATTAAATGTTTTCTTCACTTTCCTATATTTCTGTCACTTCTAAACCTTTACATTTAAACCATACACTTGCTAAATGTCACATGCTTAATCTGTCAGGCACACACCAAAACTCATTTCACCCTCTACTGACCCCAACACCAATGGTCACTTAGTTTCTTTCTATCTTTTTTTTTGGCAATAAATTAACTGGGACAATAAGCAAACTTCACTCTGATTTGTTGGTGATGGTGATTTGCAAACAATAAATTACCACCTATATAATAGAATTATCTTTAACTATATTTACATCTACATTTTTAATATCCATACAAAAAAAAATGGAGTGGGCAGAAATGTCCTGTCAACACAATACTTTGGTTATTTCGAGACAACAAATGGTATTTTTTATTTCTTTGTCGGGCAGCAGCATTCTGCTTTGATTACTTCAAATCCTCAATGCTTCTTTTTCATGCACATAAACCCAGATGAACATCTGTTTTCTATTCCATCCAAAGGACAAGAACATTTTCCATGTCAGCCCTAAATCTCTAATTTTCATAGTACAATATGCCCCATGTTTATCCTGGGGTTTGTGTATTCATGAGTTAGAGTATTTATGATTCAATCAATACACATGTGAATTGTTTGCCTATTCCCTATTCATTATTTAATACACATGTAAATTCTTTGTGTATTAATGTGTTTGTGTATTAATCATATGTATATCCACCAGTTTTTATTGATGATTCAATAAACATTTTTATACGCCCACATTTTCTGGATTATTGCCCCTGATTGTACAAAAAAATTAGCGTATGTTTTTAGCTTGTTATCTATCCATCTCTTGCAAAATGTGGGCGTATCCTGCCTGGCAGCCGCTGGTATATATACATATGTGTGACATGTTCAAATATATTGGTTTCTTCATATTGCACATAACATGATTGCAAATCTACAAGCCAGATATACTCATATTTAAATTGACATGTCAAATTCAACTATATCTTTGAAGATGCTGTTTCATAGCATTTTCTTCCACCAATGTTCAACAATAAATTGTTATGGAAATTATAGAGAAATAATATTCTTTACCAATTTAAAGGAGCTAAATCGCTAGAAATTAAAACAAGTGGGTCACAACACATATAATAATATAATTTGAATGTATATAAACTGATTTACATTCAATCGTTTCCGTTTTTACTCTAATTTCAAATCAGTTATGTTCGGCGAAATGACAATGTCTGGCTATTCCAATCTACAACGATAGTATTCATTGTGCATTTTTTCCAGATAAGAATATGGCGTCAGCGTTTGACATGACTTGTGGAATATATCTAGCCTCGTTCTTCGAGTCCCTTGTTACAAATGGCGCTGAAATGCATTATGGTACGTTGATTTAAATTGACAAGTAAGTTGTGTTTTCAATGTCGAAGATTTTGGATGATACTTAGCTACTTTAATTATAATTTCTACATTTTCTGTGTTGTTTCCTTTTACAATGTATATGTACTCAAATTAACTAACCACTTCAAACAAATGCAAAACATCAAAATGTAAGTAAATATTTATTACCTTTACAACACTACATAAACTATCTTCCCTGCAAATATGATATTCCAGATGTTTATCCTAAAAAGAATGTGGCTAGGATTTAGAACAGACAGAGCCTCTCCCACTATCTCATAACATGCCCGACCAACAGCAACTCATTCAATAATACCATGTCATAGTAAAGACATCAAAGCCCTCATGTGATTAAAGCTACCATGAGATATGCTGTGTGGTCATGCTGTAGGGGATTGTCCAGCCTATGTAAACAAGACCACTGATCTCTAAAACAAACTGAGCACTTAGACTGACTGGCCCCTATTAACTTACATTCACCCATCAGACCACCGGAAAAAACAACTCAAAATCTGCAAAAATTGGAAAATATTGCAGATTATTGACCAATTGTCAATATTTTGACTGCTCTGAGATAGACATATATGTGAATAACAAGAAGAAATCATTGATACAAATACACTATCTACATATAATAAAACCAACAAATTAGGTTGATATCTAAGCCTATATACTTTGTGAGAATTAGAATTATTCAAGATAAAAACACTCCTATCCCAGCTACTGACAAAGTAAAATCATCCAGACAGAAAATTATCAAAGAAACCGCCATAAATACATATTTGTTATTTTTATGTTTTTGTTTTAAACTATCTTCTAAGTTAATGAATAGCAAGCAGGATTTATTTCACAATGTGACCCCAATAATCCATACCTGAAGAAGTTGAATATCTACTAAGAAGTCTGGCATGCTGATTCCAAAATATCTCAAAATACCTTCCTTAATTTTTATAACTAAATATTTAGATTAAATAAGCCAAGACTTGTTCACATACCTACAATCAAAATAACAGACACAAGATGAAATATTATACCTAAAAATTTATGTCATCAAGATTTATTAATAAGAATATTTGACAGACAATGAATATTTGATATAACCATTTTTATCACACCTATATTTTATGACAATAGCTTCAATTGTTTAGGAACATTTTATACAACTCAAGTATACAGACTAATAAAATTTTTATTACTCAATTAGGTCTCAATTGACCAAAGGTAAATACAAGAACACACTGACAGCCTATTGGCACATAACTCATGCCTGCTTTGACTCCCTATTAAATTTTATTGAATGTTTGTCGACTTTAATGATGTGTATCAAGAATTTTATTAGCCGTTTCTTGACACCTCTACAAATAAAGAAAGCTTGTTGATTTAGTCTGTCTATTGTACAACAATATGGTTTATTTTAATCTGTTCATCATTTGGAACTATTATGACTTTGATAGTAGGCCTACAGAACAGTTATTGTCTTTAGTTGCATTCAGGTTGCCCAATACATCAAAAGGTGATACAATATTAACAGATTTAATTTTTAAAAACAACATGTATACAATATGCATCAATCAATACAGAATAGGGACTATTTCAACTACATTATGTTAACATCTTTGCATATATATCAAATTAAGTCTATGCCTTATATGACTGAAACCCCTAAAGGTATTTTGATGTGGCAATAAGATTTTATTAGAAATTTTACTCATTTTATCAAAAGAGTTTTTTTGGAAAGGATACAAATGTTATGGTTATATGTGGTGTGAAATATTTAATAAGTTTATGGGCGAGGTTATGACCTCCTCATCCCTACACCAGAGAAATTGTATGAATAGTTCAGATATGAACATGGGTTTTCTATAAGTAAATTATGAAAATGATATGATGTGAAGTGAGTTGTTTCAATAAAATAAAATATAATCTATAACTACACATATCTACAATAAGTGAAACTCAGTCACTGAAATAAAAAAGACAGGGCGGTGCTACTAAAATAAAGAGTAGAAAACTGAAAAAAAGATATCATAACAAAGACCTACCAAGGAGTATATTATTCGGTTGAAAGTGTAGATATGACAAACTTGAATAGAAAAAAAATTGTTTATGCTTATTTAAACAAAGGTATCATGTATATTTAAAAGAAGTACATGTCAAATAATATGTATTGAAGTATCCTTAACTCAAATGTACTTGACTTAAAATTTAATTCACAACATTTCCAAAGTTTAATTGTTTTCCTTTTCGATATTTATTTCATGAAGCTATGAAATTTTATAAAATTGATACATAATATGATGTCCTTTCACATAACAAACAGGACAAATCCTCCTTAAATTTAGTATCTCATCTTTTTTTTAACATGACAATTCAATCATGTCATATTTAACAACTTTCAACCAAACAGGAGAAATAAAATTAGTTTACAACTAAAGCAGAAAAAGAATGAATGCATTCAAGATTATAATTTGTGTGGCTTACCATTTTCAACAGAGGAGGCAACAGAAGCATGGTCTAATGTTGAAATGGCATCTAGGAGGAAAAACCAGGAATTTTGGGATACATAAGGAATAATTGTGTTATGGAATGAAGAAGACAGAAGCCCAAAATTTTTTTCAATTTTGGCATATCCAAACTAACTATGTACAGTGGTATAGCTTTATATAGCCTCACCACTCAGTTTTAATATTTATAATTAAATAACAAAATGATAAATAAATGCATCAATTTAGAAAAATAATTTTTTGGGATACTGCTGACTTTGGATATGCCAATTATATTAGTAACATTTATCCAGTAATTATCTTGACAACAAATTGGAAAAATTCAACCTCCACATTTTATATGTCTAAATGTTATACTGATTAAGATAGGGTACCATAAACAGGACATGTGAATTCTGTGTTTAGTAAAATATTTATTGAAAATGTATGTATCTGTTATGTAAATATTTGTAATTGTTTTATTTAATATGTATTTAATTTTTACAGGTAATAAGCATACATCTTATAAACTTAGCTAAAATATCCAGTTTTATTAACTAGTTTATATATCTTATTCTTTATCACATAAAATAATTTGCAAATTAGTTTGATAATTTAAACATGTTTTGTTTATTATAAAAATGTAGCTGTGCATATGTAATGTTCTGTTAAAAAGCATTATGTTGCTTTCAGGAAAAGCATCAAACAAAGCACTTTGCCAGCAAACCGAAAGAAACTGAGCACAAAATATATTCACTTACCTTCCACTGTCAGTTTACATGAGAGTGAAGCTTGTCCTGCTGAGTTAACAGCTTTACATGAATATATTCCTTCATCTTCAGGATAAACTTCTACAATCTGTAGTTGACAGTTATCACCTATAGTACTTATTTGATATACCTGTACAGAAAAATGTTAAAATTAAAGAGAATGAATCTTCCAACTAAAGGGAACAACCCCTGACTCTGTTTTAATATCTCAGTCTTAGATTGCCAAGCAAAATTTGGTGCTTTAATTCAAGGATGCAAGTAATCGAAATAACCTTGACAAATGAACATGCAAATATGTAGTTACAGATCTTGCTCATGTATAACTAAACAATTAATGTGTTGATTTATGTTATGATTTTGAAAGATTTGATACCCACATTATTTCATTAAGCATAACTGAGTATAAAAAAAACATATGAAGAATGGGCTGGCTAGTACATGTACAAAAAAGATGATAATATATTATTATTTTACTTATCAAAGACACATGTTGTGCAAACAAAAGACACATGTAAAAATGAAATGGCCATAATTTAAATTTAGATTGATCGATTTGATTAATTCTTGGACGCAAATTTTTTAACCTTTATTCTGGCATGCTGTGGCTTTATATGAGGAGACAAGTATATTGTAGTGAAGAACACAGTCTTTCAAATTCAAATTATGTTTGTCCAATTTAACCTTAACAAAAAAAGAACCCACCAATACATACCTGTCCATCTAATAATTCTTCTCCATCACGGAGCCATGTGACTTGAGGGCGGGGTTCACCTTTCACCTTACATTGTAATAGTACACTTTCTCCATCTCGACATGTGATGTCTTTTAATTCAGATTGAAATTCGGGTTTGAAACTAAAAAAGATAACAGAGAATACAATAAAGGTTAAACTCTCTCTCTCAACTAAAATCTGTTATTATCAGAACAAACCATTCAACTGATGACTAAGTTTTAGAAACGGAATGGAATGGGGTTAGTTGTTAACAACACAATACTTTGGTCATTTTAAGACTAACATAAGTTAACATTTTTGTATGGTTACATGGTTTTAGAGGGAGAAAACTGCCCTAATATCAATGTTCTTTTATGTGCACACAAAGATAGCCATTGGTGTTTCGTCACATCCTTGTGCCAAATTGAAATTAGTTTTGAAAAATCTTGAAGGTTCTACTCAGACCACACCAAGATTCAAACCCAGGAAATTCTACACTAGAATGTTCTGCTCAAGGGGTAGGGATGGGAGTGTCTGAAAGACAAAGAAAATAAAACAAATGTACTTACTTTCCATCATCTATGTCTTGAGCTGATGAAATGGAAGGTGTAGGGGAATCTGCAAAATAAAATAAAATATTTTTGTCTGGATTGTTATTTCTGCACAAATTAACACCAGTTCATATGCAATAAACCTAAATGCAAATTAAAATGTAATAAATATGTGTTATGTGTTACATTTGACAATGAGAATTTAAATATATACCTGTGATGTTGACCCATGACCTTGTTTTAATAATGATATTATCAGGGAATGTAGCAACACAAGCATAAAGACCACTATCCCGATCTTTTAAATTTGCCAGACTTAAAGTCTGTGTACCATCAGGATCAGAAGTTACATTTTTATTAATCTGAAAGTAAATATACAGTTGTAAAAGATACAATAATGTAACAAAATTTTGCTAAAGTAAACATTTTTTACGTCATTGTATGGTCCAAATTCCAATAAGTATTTACATATTTGGAAACTTCACTCTCATGTCACAAATTTATCATATATACATTTTTTTTGCAAAACACAAGATGTTACAGTGTTAAAAGAATGACATACATAAATCTAGTAGCAATTTAACTTTTGTTTTTACCTTTTTGCCATCTTTTTCCCATACTATTTTAAGAGCTCCCTCAATAGAACAAACTAGATCTAAATTATCTCCCTTCACTGCCGTCACTTCTTCTTCTAATGGTTTGGCAAATGTTGAAGGTAGATTTTTCCTGAAACAGATGAAAACTTGTAAATGGCTTCTCACTTCTACAACCAATTCAAATCATTCAAAAAGATAATCGATTGATTTAACGGAACCTTCCAGGAATGCATTCATCCTCTTTCCAATTATTTAAATCCCAGGAACAATGTAAATGTTGAAGAGCTAAAAGTGTATGACAACTAATATATAAATTGGTTCTAACTCTGTTATCAATACAGAATTATACACATGTATATTAAACAACCCGTCATAGTTGCAATTTTAAGATATGGGTAGAGGGTCTTCAAAGTTTCAAATTTCAGAAACATCTTTTAAGTATAATTTTAAAAATACTAAATATGCTTACTTTGATTTTCTTTGATCTAATCTTGGTGAGGGTTTTGGTGAGGGCTTCTCTATTACTGAAAACAAAACAGTATTTATTTCATTATTATTGACTGTCTTCTATAGTGGTACATTAGAACTAATGGTTATATCTGTGTACATAAAAAATATATATTTAACACATATAATGGGTTTTTTTTACCAGAAATATCTTTAAGCTGGATTTAAAGGAATTAAATGATAAATTTTGACATAAGACTTCATGTAGATTGTTCCAGATGCTTGGTTTATGGACACTTGTAGCATACTGTTCATAGTGTCTCTTTTAGAGAATTGTGGTATCCATTGAAGAATTAAAGAGAAAGGGGTATTTTAACTAATATAATGCCTATAATTTCTGTGAAACTTAAAGCTGATGTAACAAATATTCAGGAATGTTGGCTTATGGAACATTTGCATAATCCAACTGAGAAATATCTAAAGCACTAATAGTTGTAGCATATATGTCTCTGGTCAAATCTTTCCAATATCATCCGTGTACATTTTGCTAACTATAGATATTCTTCAAATCTGTAGAATTGGTGTCATAGAGAGAGAGGGGGCCTCATTAAGTATCCAGGTTTGGCTTCATTGTATAATGAATATTGCGATTTCCAATAACGAGGGTGGATGCTTGTAAATTTTGCTTGTGATGTTATTACCAAGAAATCTGTTTTATTGTCATCTAATAGTAATTTGTTTGTGAATATGCAAATCTGAATTTCTGCTGGACAATTTTCAAGTTTTTTTAAGATAATTAAATATTTCATTTTGATCAGAAATCGAAAAAGAATCAGAATGTAACCTAAATTCTGTGACACAATAACCACAGAATATATCTGCCTTCGATTACAGATATTTAGCTAGTATTTACTTCAGAACTTAAATACTATTTGAACTAATCAATATGGTAAAGTATATGGTAAAGTTTAAGGCATTAACTTAAAAATAGTCAACAATCATGTTTTAATTTACCTTCTATTTCAAGTGAAGCATATGCTGAATCTGACCCAGCTGATGAGGAAATGGTTGCCGAGTATTTTCCTGCATCTGATTTCCCAATGGAAGAAATATGGATTTGGTGTTTATTACCCTTGGAAACTAATTTGATACTATCTCCATGTTTCAAGGGTTTTCCAGCTCTTGACCTGTGGGACAAAATATAGAGTATTGTAAAATACAAAATCAATATCAGAACCATTTACAGGCCTTAATTTTATGCAGGAACACATGTATAAACATACCCAACATAAAATCTTATACATACCATGAGACAATAGGTGCTGGACTTCCTCCAACTTCACATTCAAACACAGCCTCATATCCAAGTGGCAAATATACATCTTGTGGCTTACTGATAAAGTAAGGAGCTACAAACGGAAAAATGTTTTTAATTAATATGAATTCACGAAAAGGTAAACTTTTCTAATGATATGATGGATTTCACAGATTAGTAGTCTTAAAAAACAAATTCTATTCCAACCAACCTTGTTTTGGTTTTCCCTCATCTTTGGGTTTTAGCTTAATGACTGGTTCTTCTGGTGGCTTATCTGTCATTTGCACATAATCCCCTTCAAAACCTTCTTTGGCAAGTTTATCTTTTTCTGACTCTGCTCCTTGCATGTGCCAAGTTATTCTTTCTTTACCATCTTTTAATATACAGTCTAGACGAACATTCATTCCTTCCATTACATCAATATTTCTTGGTAGATGTTTAATAAAGAATGGAGCTGAAGAAAAAATAATATTGAAAATAGTGAGTATGTTGTTTTGCATGGAATTTGTTATTTTTATTCTAATAATAAATATGTAATGAATATTTTAAGATTTTTAAATCAGACAAAAAAAAAATCGAATTGAAATAATGGGCATGAAATTTGTTCTTTTTATTCTAATGTATCAAGCAAAAACAGAACTGATTTGAAAATGTTATTGCATAATGCCATTATGATAATGCTGGTATGTATAGGCTATGATAACAATGGTTAAGTTCAGCGATGGGATTTCAAAATTAAGTTCTAAGAAATTATGACACCTGAAAATGATCTTTTTGAGTATACATTAGCAAATTTTAATTTGTTAATTGTATAAAATAAGCAATTAATAGCATTTTAGTTTAAAAAAGCTTTAATAATTTTTATTTTGAATTATATTCAATATATCTCATAATTAATAATCTACAAAGTTTTCAACTTTGAGAATGAAACTTGAATCACTGGTTTCATGTAGGCTTAGAGATGAATGTTATCAAAAATTCCATAAGCCAGATTAATATAATTATTGTATAGCGGAAAGGAAATCATGGCAGTAAGAACATTTCTGATCAAGTCCAAATTCTAACTTGGAAATATAAAAGATTTGTTTCTGATGACATTCCCATTAGCAGCAATTTTATATCATAATATTTACAGTACAAGTGATTTTTCTTTCTTAAATTCAATGACATTTATTTGAGTTAAGCAGCCTTTAAATTATAGTTGCCTACATGATCAACTAAAATTATAATTTCTGAGAAATTCTGAAGTCATTTGCATTTTATGGATTAAATAGGTATACACAATGAAACAGAAAAATACCATACATATTTTGAGTAGCTCATGTACTGTAAATATAAGAAGTGACTTTAGTGATGTCCTGAGTTATATACCCCAGAACCTCACTTGTCAAATGTTACATATATCTGGGAAGAAAAAGCATTAAAAGCATTGTGACTACTTAGGCCACTCCAATTTGATTTTCTATTCTTTGGGAACACCTGTTAAAATTGTCCTTATTTCTTCTGGAAAAAGACTAATTTAAAAACAAAAGCTTTTAGTTCTAAATTTTTAAGTTTTTAAATTTTAAACTAAACATCTTTCATATGATTCAAGTGGCTTTTTATTTATCAAGACCCATAGAACAGAAAATTAAATTAGTTTGGCCTTATTGTATGGAAATGTATAAATGAAAAATAACTAAATAAACAATAAAATATAGCATTATTCATGCAAGCTACAAATCTTGCTTTAGGTACTCTAAATGCTAATACCTATTGGTGTTCGTCCATCTGTAGAGAAATAATTAAGTAATATTGATAAAAGTGAAATCTGTGTTTTTTCATGCTAACAAATTGTTTACTAATTGAAAACAATCGAAGTAAGAACATGCACCTGACTAAATACTAAAGGTTGGTGGAATTGTAAGAGGTGCATTTTTCTTTAGTGAAAGAAATCTATTTTTGTTTTATCATAGTGTAAAATGTAGGAATCAAACAAAAAAAAAACATATACAGTAATATAAATAGGTAGGAGCTAAAAATGTAAATTATTAAAGTAGTGTACCTGCTCGTCTTCGCATTGGACCATATTCTGGTTTACTGACCATCGGAGTGGTACCTCTACAAAATTAAATATATAGGTATGTTCAAAAATCATGTTTACAGGACATTTGAAGAAATAGCATTCAAAATTAAATGATCTTAATCCTGATGAATTGGGTTTTTTTTTAAATTATTTAAACTGGAAATACGGATCACAATTCTATGGAATACAATTAGTTTATTACTTAGCAACATTTAGATTAGGCTTCTATAGTCTTGATCAAGATTGATTCTGGATGTTCTTTCTCTAATCCCTAGGAAAAATAATTAAATACAACCCACAAATGATTTTATTTTCTTCTGTATAAATCACAGTATTCTACTCACCTTTCCATTCCTTCTGGTCGTGGTTTAATGGTAACTTTACAAGATGTTTCAATAATACCAAATACATTGGTAGCTCGAACTATGTATTCACCAGAATCGTTCAACATGACTGACTCAATCTCAAATTGGTGCATCAAACCAAGCATTACCATACGATGTCTGGCATCATAAGTCAGATCACGATATCCTTTATGCCAAGTTACTGAGGTACAAAAAGAAAACATTAAATTATAAGGGGCAAACTAGAGTTATATTATTTAACATGTATTTTAATATTATTACATCAGGCTGACATTAGTTGACAATGCAGGAAAACTATAACATTAATGAATGTGAGGAATAGTGTATTGACTTAAAACCATAGGTTTATATTTACAACAGGCATCTATTTCAATTATACATTATGATGTTATGAATAAATAGAATATCTTAAAAATGCCTTCCCATGAAAGTATTATAAGGTAGTTATTTCCAATAGAAGTATGAAAAATTTGGGATATATGGAAAGTAGATACACCCAATCTTACTGCCCCTGACTGGCAACATGATGGAATGGCTAACGATTGTAAGAACAGTAGAGACGTGAATGTACAACAGACTCTGCGATAAAACGACAGAAAAAGAAGTTGGCAAATATTTATGGCAAATGGACAGTGTGTAACGATAAATACAAGCTGACAATGGACCATCCTGGATCCAGTCAAGTGACAAACAAGGCGGCTTCAAATATATTATAGACGGCTTGAGGTGTTTCTTTCTTTAAAATGTTTTGAGAAGGATCTGAAGCAAAATTTTGATGTATAAATTGTTTTTAGTCCAAATATATTATCAAATCACACAGTTTGTAAGTGGGAAGGCATCTTTAAAATACAGGCTATCGAATGCAAATTAACTTTCAAATCATTTGAAAAATAACATACAGCTAATAAAAACTTACCAATGGGAGCAGGTAATCCATCGACAGAACAGTCAAGACGTAACCTGTCACCTACAAACAGTTCTACACTTTGTTGCAGTTGTAGAGTAAAAACTGGGGGTTTACCAGGCTGTGTCAGTTGTTCTGGTGAATCGTACAAACGATCTGCCCATATTTTCTGTAGACGATCACCTTGTTTGGTAGATTGAGATCGTTCTGGTGGTGGAGATTGGGAAGCGGCTAAAATAAAAAATTAAATACAATCTCCATTACTCTTCTTGACAAATTAGGAAAACTAAAGTATATTTATTTTAACCAATAAAACTACAGTACATTACTATAAAACTACCTTTCCTATAAAACAAGAAATATATAAATTCTGAATGTACATTGTAATTATGGCATATAAAACCAATAAAATATCAATTCTTTACCTCTCACTCTGAGTGTTGCTGAACACTTGCATCGACCTGATTTACCATAGGCAATACAATAGAATAAACCAGCATCTGAAACCTTAGCCTTTTTAATAATCAACTTGGCTGTTCCATCTCTTTCTGCAACTAGCTCTATTCTTGAAGACTGGCATAATTCAATCATATCTTTTTGCCTGGAATAGATATACATGTAGTAGAAATAATATTCTTTCATAAAAATCGAGTTCCAGAACAAATTATATCCATTGGAATTTTTATTACTGTCATTAAGGTATTAACTATTTTAAATTGCTGAACAGTTGAACTATATATATTTACCATTTGAATTTAGGCATTGGTTTTCCGACAGCCACACATTCAAAGACAGCCTCTTCACCTTCATTGACACTAACATCTTCCAATGGTGTCAAAAATTTAGGTCGAGAAAAGTCAAGTACTGTTACCTCTTCATCCAAACCTAACAAAATCAATATTGCACACATTAACCTTTTTAATCTTTGCACTGACCATTCATAAACTTTCCTTAGCATTTTTGAAGGCAACATTGTCTATGTTTCTTTTTTTTACCAGAACCCTTTAGATTAAAACCCTATTAGAGAGAGAGAGAGAGAGCGAGAAATGGGGTTTAACGTCCACTCGAAACAAACTAGGTAATTTCGGGACCAACATATGGTTTAATTTTATTTCAATAATTCGCTTGTGCGTAGGGGTCTTTAGCAGTGGGAGGAAACCAGAGGACCCGGAGAAAACCCACGAGGTTGGACAGGTGACCCTACTCTTGTCACGTACAACCGGGGATTCGAAACCACGCCAGTTGACTCAATGACAGACTTTATGATACAGCGCGCACACGCTAACTATTCAGCCATCCAACCCCCCTCTATTAGAAAGAACTGACAATGTATTTTTACAATAATAATGGACAGGGACAGTTTGCATGAAATCAAAGTACTGTACTTACATTCCACATCAAGGTAAGCATTACATGTTACTGTTCCTTCACTGTTAGTAGCTTCACATGTATATGATCCAATATCTTGTATAGACGCTTGATTAATTTCTAGAGACAGAAGACCATAATTATTCTGAAAAAAAAATCATCTTCAATTATAATTTTTTATTGATGTATTCTGAAATACCAGCTATATTTTACTGAATCATGTAATGTTGCTATACTGAATTTCTGAAGCACCTAAAATCAAAGTATTGTGCTGTCGTATGATCTGTCGTATATTGCCAATATACAGTGCAAATGTATTTATTATGGTAAATAATAACGATCTCTTTCTTCTTGTACTCAAGTAGAGATTTATGTAGATATTCTAGAGAAGATAGCGATATTATTTAAAGGTCATATATTTTATGGAAACCATGACTAAGAATTGCCAAGAAGCCAACATCTTACTCTTGCTGTTCAATTTTATTTTTCTTCATGTTGCTGATATATAGCTACTTTATAATGTCTGCACATTTTAGGTTCTATACAAGAATGGTTTATCGTAATGTTTTTCTGAAATAATTTTTAATATATTTCAAAATACATTTAATTCATTTTGGCGATTCCCTAAAATATTTTAGATTTCATATGAACTCATCACACATTTAGATTAAACATACATGTATTTAAAGACTGTCTGCAAAATTTGCATTAATCCAGTGATCTAGGTAGCCAGACTGGTTCAACCTTGTGATATTTTCGAATAAGTAGGTGTCTTATTTCTGTTAATCTTTTCAGGTGGAATATGTCTGAGGTAGCCTACACTAGCTTTAGTTCAGGATTGTTTTCATAAACTAAAGGCTACTGCTTATGTTATGTGATATCAAGACACCTGTGTTATTTTCCCATGGAGTTTTGCTCTGATTAACTTTACATAAAATACCATCTCATGCCGATATTCAACATATTGCATAAAATGTAGAGTGTAGGTAAATAATACCTACAACTAGTTGCCGGTAATAATTAGATGAGATGTTATTTGATATTGACAGGGCAATATTTTTACCCAAACTATATTAGTAGATCTACATAAATAATGACATATTTTCCTAATATCTATTCAACTTCTATTAATTTATAGTGGAATGTTATCTTTAATTACTACCAGCTGTATACAGTATAGTTACCAATATTTTTCTATTACCTCCTCAATGAAAACAACCAGATTATTAGTAACTCAATATACATCTATCTGTATGCATTTGAAACCTAATCATTTGCATGTTTTTCCCTTGTGAAAATGGAAAAGATTGTAGACAGTTTTGAGAAATATAATGTAAATATGTACTGTCAATAAAAATGGTAAAAATTGCAGAAAGATTTTGTTCTGGAAAAATAATATATAATCTACATAATGTTGTGTTAAGCCATAATGCTTGATTTATCAGGATAATCTGCTATATCAAATTCACACTAGTTAGTATGTTAAACCCCTCGACTTTACTAAATAATAAGATTAATTACTTTTTCAGATGGAATATATGTGCAATCTCAAAATTTTTTCATAAAGATATGTTTCCAGGACAGCCATGATTCTTAAAACATAACCCTTAATTGGAAAACATATACAAACCAACAGGAAATATATATATTTTACCAAAATCTACAAAGTCTAATGTAACCAGTATTCCTACTGACCTAACATGTGGTTAATGCACATGCTAAGATAGCAATGTAAAGCTTGGTGGACCACAATCAAATTATGGATAACTAGTTTAATTTATTGTAGGCAATAAAGCAATTTTAGTCAATAATATAATTTCAACTTTCTATAAGCTATGTGAACTCCTCAAGTGATATGTTGTATCAAATGTTCTAGAAATTTACAGGTCACAAGTTGGGTTGTGGTCACTTTGATTAAATAACTAAATTTAGACAACAATAATCAAATGCAATACATGTATGGTGTTCCATTCCTTCCCACCAAGTAATAACATATCGACACCATGTCTTCATACACATGTAACTGAATATCACCTTGTAATGTACTCAATACATTATGACTCAATATTTATAATAGACATATAGTTTATATAGTCATCTATAAAAAGAAATCAATTCAGCCTACCGAAAGTGGTTCCTGATATGATAACACCTCCATATTTACATGTAAAGACCTAAAAATCTACGTAGACTTGGCCACTACCAGAATTCTTAACTAGGAGAACTAGTTGAAGAATTGAGCTAGGTAGATGTAGCTAGGATGATTGAACCCTCATAGAATGTATTAGCAGACAAGCAGATGAAGACCAGATGTTTTGGTATAATCATACCAAGGTTCTGTAATGTACCAATTCCTATTTATATATCTATAAACCTACATCTTGTTATAAAGGTGCCTTTGACTTTTATATGTCATGTTATGATGCTATAGGTGTGTTGTCAAGGAGATGTTGGTTTATGTGATGGTACAACATCCATCATAACAGACAGACCTGTGTAAATTGATGTTGTTGTTTATTACAAATTTAACGTCAAATACATAATATATATTATGGACAGGAGTGTGTAAATTGATTGTACTCCCTGTTAAAATAATCTCTGTGAGCTGATTCACTTATTAATTAGAATATATTATTACTGGTACTCACTACTCATAGACTCACAATCGTGGTAATTCTAGATCTGTACAATTGTTCCAACATGGATCAGTCAGTACCAACCCAGTGGTCCTGATAAGATTATATTAGATCTTAATTGGCAGGACTATGCCTTTACTGTGATTTCCATTTTGTCCCCTCTTTTCTTCTCAGTTATGACTGGCCACTCTGACAATTGTTTCCTAAGAAATTTGTCAGAGAGGCCAGTCATAACTGAGAGAGAAATTAGTATCAGACATGAATACCCCATATGTTGATGTATGTAGACATATTCAGAATTACACTAATTCCAGGGGAAAATATCGACCATTGTTGACTGCACATCTAAATTTGATTTATGCACACTAAATTAAATTTTCTTGATTATTTAGTGGCTAAGTGTAAATTGATGTTAATGGGGAAAATTTTAAAGCTAAGTAACATGGTTTCTCTGACCTTTATACCTTTCAAATGATCCAATTTGTATCAACCAATATATTTTTTGAATATGTACAAAAATGTCTGTATAGTCCTTGAAATGTCATATATACAATGAGTGCATAAAATAATTATTATTCATATAGAAATTAATTCTTATAATATTTATATTGTTCATTTCTATGTAATTTTTAAATTATGTTAAAAATAATAGGAACTTACCCTAAAACTGTAATGTTTATCTTTGGTAATCTCTTCACCATGTTTAAACCAGCGAATGGTAGGGGCAGGAATACCTAGGACAGAACATGACATCTTGACATAGGCACCTTCAGGTACAGTTTTATTTTTAAGTTGAACTGTAAAGTCTGGTGGTGATTGGTAGCGATATTTTAACACTGGTGCATCAAGCATATCATCTGAATCGCCATAAGATGGTTCCATTGCCATTTCTGAAGGTAAAGAAAATTAACAATGTAAAGATTTGGAGATCTGTGCTATTGAATTTTGAAGAATGTTTTTTAAAGTTAAGGAACAACCATGTAAAAACATGTATATTAAGGAGAATAATTTTCTACATACTTTGTATGCGGATGGTTGCCTCTGTTGATGCTGTACCAGCTTCGTTAACAGCTCGGCACATGTAAGCGCCACTATCATCCAACATGGCTTCTTGGATAGACATGACACAGAAACCATCTTCTTCCATTCTGATTCGGCACCGTCTATCAGAGTCAATTCGTTTTCTGTCTTTATACCTGAATAAAGTAATAATAACAATTTCCAGCTTTAATCAAATGTAAAACATCATGAAAGCACTTATAACATTTTTTATTATGTGCAATTTAGGTTATTTTCTAACTTACTTAGGTCTCATAAATAGCAGTGAGCCAGCCAACCAATTAATTAATTAATACAAAGAAATCAGTATAACTGTATCACAACACAAGTTTTTAATTGTATAAGTTGATACTTTTTTCCACAAAAATGGAGACTTGGACTTAAGTATGAGATTAAATGTATGTCTTATACTCCAACCCACTTCCAAAATGTTTTACTTACCATTCAATACTAGGAGTAGGAGATCCAGTAACCATACATTCTAATCTAGCTCGACTACCTTCAGTAATAGTCATATTGATCAGTTTCTGTGTAAATTCTGGTGCTACACAGCCTGCTGGCACGGATTCTATGAGAAAAAATAATACAAAATTACAAGTGTATCCAAAATATTGAAGAACAGGGGGAGTTGTTTTTAGATATTTTCTACTCTTTGATAGGGGGCTCTTGATTTTGAATTCGGAACAATTGGTATTAACATTCTATCACATCTTGTTACTGATGGAGTGCAAGGAAAATCATGATGGTGCAGCCTTCTTTTTATTCAGGCAGTTCTGAATTTAAATTTGAAACATGTTTTGTTGCTCAATGACTGTTTCTATTTATGGAATTCACAGAGATGAATACAAGAACCTCCCCATGCTATCATTACAGTTTAACTATAAAGTTTGTGATTCTCACCTAGGACTTTGAGATCACAAGAAGACCATGTTTGACCAAATTGGTTATTAGCTTGACAACGCCATTCACCAGCATCAGTAACATGAAGGTCTTTAACAATCATACGATATACACCCTTATTTTCTTTAAAAATAACGCGATCGGTGGGTTTCATACATGTTTCTCCATGGTACCAGTGGATTTCTGGATCGGGTCGACATCTCACTACAGAATGGAATAACATTTTTAATATTAATATTAGAGCTATCTTTGTCATTGTCATTAAACATTTAAAAAGTCTCTATATATCTGGCCAGTTTATAACTACAATGGTTACCACTTAAATGTGTTTAGTTCTACAAATATATTCTCAATCTGGCTCAAAGCCATTTGTTTGTCAACATTTCTGTAAACGCCTCTTGTCATGTACATGTATTAATTTACATAAGCAGCAGAGAACCTATATTTAGAAAATATCTTGCTATTTCATGTTCAGCTCTGTATTTCCAAATCCTTCAGCATATATTACTGGTTAATATTCTACTAATTTCCAAATTGTGTCAAAAGAATATCAGTAAAGTATGAAATTTCAACCCTAGAACTAAGCCAATATATTCATTGTTGATCAAGTTAAAATGTCTGACTGAAGATACTGCCAAGAAAATTTAGCACATGGTATAATGCAGCATTACATATTGGAGTAGACTAGATTTGAAAAAAAAAACGCTACTTGTAATAGACATGTCAGTTGGTTGTTCAGGTATAGCAAATTATTTTATCTGATATGTTACAAGTTCCTGCAATTGTGGTATCCCAGAATTTCATTGAATTTGCCTATAATGCTTGACAGCTAAGTATTTAACAACAAAAAAGTCTGCTTGCAGGAAACTTGATAGATCTTTGAGACACTTCCTGCCAATGATCCAATAATTACTGGCAGATAATAATCGATAATATACATGGCATAAGGAGTGAATGTACTATTCAATAATTTTTAGGAAGTTGCAAGCTGAAATGTTACTGACTGCTATATGGATAAAATTAATTTTAGAAGGTAACTACACAACCATAGCTGTATAAATTTTATATATATTACAAACCTGTCACAGTAAATTCTACATCTTCACCAACTTTCTTAATTTGATCAATTAATGGTAGAACAAACTCAGGGGGAACTTCTGTCTCTATTACGTCACTTTGTGGTGGTCTGTAAGCCCTTAAAATGAAATATTTTTAATACAATAAATAAATTTTCTTTCTGATTAAAGGCCCATCTGTTTCAATTTGAACACAGTTGTATTTGACAGAATATACTGTTGTGTAAATAGTAGAAGACATACTCACACATAGCGTACATAGCCTCTCACCCTTTAAGCATGCATTTGTGAATTTAAATTTGCGCATTATAATTATGAATCATTATTATATCATTAGAAATTAGAAATAAGTGGAACAATTTGTTGCTACAAACGCATGTATGGTCAATAAAATACACGTTTTTTGTCAACATAACTGCAGCCATTTGGTAATATTACATTTGGACTGTTACTACATGTTTATGTCCTTTTTCCCTTGGTTTGTCACATTGATATCAACTTATGACATGACACGATTTCTCTATTTAAAATATTACTTACTGCAGTTTAGATGTATCTGTATCCTTCTTCTTTCGTCTGTGACGAATCTCTGTTACAAGAAAAAAAAACATAAACATCATACTATAACCATAATCTTCTCACACTGTATTTGACAATATAATTACTACAATATAATGCATCTTACCTTTATAAAACATATTTTTTCATAATTCATGTGAGAAATCTTTTATATTTTCCAAAAATTTGAAGTATTGATAAGTAGATTTCTGTATTAAGGTTACTTTTTCTTTCAGAGGATAAATGTTAAAGAAAGACAAAAAGACTATTTATTTACCTTCAACTTGAAGATCAGCACTAGTTTTGATGTCACCAAGTTCATTGGAGGCCATGCATGTATAGTAACCAACATCTTCTAGTTCTAAATCTTTTACTGTTAAGCTAGCCACGCCTTCTTTATAAGTTGCCTGGAATTTCTTATCGGGTTGTATTTCCTCTCCATCCTTTAACCTAAAAGTTGAATTACATGAAATCTCAGATAAAGTATCAATGGGGGCTTCAGAAGGTAGTTCTAATACATGTGCTGAAGATATCTCTTGAGCTTTTGGAGGAGTCTCTTCTTTTACAGGAAGAGTTATAGAATTTTCTTGTTTGATTTCAGATCTAATAAGAGCAATTTCAGCATCTAATTCTAAGGCCTCTGCTTCCAGTATATCACAACATGTTTCTGTAACCATATCCTCTTCATCCAAATCTTGATGACAAGATTCAGTGAAGCTTAGCACATCGAAATCACTAACTACAGCTTCTCTATCATGTTCATATGGATACTCTATATCAGATTCCATAATGGTGGTTAATTCACATTCCTCAATATCACTGGTCAGTGACTCATTACCAGTGTCAATGGATATCTCAGATCTGACCTCTTCATAATGTTTCCTTTCACTTCCAATACTACTTGTCTCTACAGAATAAACTTCATCTATAGATTCAACCTCTGAGTCCCTTCTCCTTGATTTCTTCTTTTCTTTACGAGCTGCTAAAAGTTCAGAAACCACACTACGCTGAATAAGGGGTTGAGGAGGAGGGATATTAATGGTATCTAAAAAGTCTAATTTTATTGAGGACTTGCGCCGTTGTGATTGCTCTCCACTTTCGAAGGTTGCTGCAGCTGCACGGACTCCTTCTACAACATGTTCTTGTCCCTCCACCTCTTCATCATGATGATGGCACTGCTCACCTTCTGGTCCATCATGATCATGTAATGGACACTTGTGTCTCATGAGCCAAAACACCATACTCATCTTGATGGTTTATGTCAACTCGCTCCCTTGTGGTACTGTTTCTTAGTGTTCTTTAATACATTAATTAATAAGTCGTAGTTTTTTTCTGAACTATGCCATAGACTGATCAACAAGGCACTTAATGATTATAAACACCCTTGTTAAATTTCCTATCACAGCTATTCTGAAATTTTATTTAATCAAGTTACTTCTCAATCGTATCAGACATTTTCTTGAAAATTTATTGACCAGATTTCCACTTTCTATTAACTGTGTTTATAAATAGAATAATTGTTATCGGTTGTTAAAGAGAGTACCTTAATATATACCTCCACCTGTTTTATTTTCTTTCAAGGATGTTATCTTATCTTTGATTGTTTGAAAATTCCTTGAATATTTGCTGTAAGCGAGCAATGAATTACTTGGATTACTGAGATTAGAAACAGTGTTCAATTATGTAATCAATATTAGAATATTTTTATCGAAATAACTCATAAATTCCAATAGTTACAGGTATGCCAGTCAAACAAGCTTGGTGCTAAAAATAAATTTCACTTATCGAATTAGCCAAAATAAAAATAGTCTTGCAATACCAAATTACTTTTCTATTTCTGATACCAGTACCAAACCGTTAAAAATAACATTAAGATAATATTTTTTTCCCTGTCTGTTGATATAACTATATTTTCACAATTACAATGCAAACCATATGCACAACTTTTTTTTCACTACAAGTGACACTCTTTAAATATCTCCAATTGAAATCCAACAAATTTCTTCCTAAAAGAATTGTATCCATGAATCAAACAGATAATCCAAATTGATGAAGTTGGTAAAATGTAGACATCCAAGTTTTTCGGAACAGATTCGTAACCAAAAGTCTAACAAGTTTACTTTATGCCAACTCTGCCATTTTCTCAAAGTAAAATTTTATTTGTAGAGTTTTGTTCGAAAACGAATCTGTTCCTAACTTGTTGTCTAACTTGTGTCGCTCTGACGTTAAAGTTAAGTTATTTTTGATTACAGCTCAGCCCAATGGAGTTTCTGATTACAAGTCTGCTGTATCGGAATTGTGCCAAAAATTTAACCTTTTCTTTCTGACATATGTTGAGATGATTTTAGCTCGTAAATAAACGGATGAGGGTGGATGATTGTAAACAATTTTTTTCTTTGATTAACTTTTCTTTTATATATTTGTTGGTATCAAATATCTATGCAAACATACATATGGTTACAGTATCCAACCTAATACCTATTCTACCATTGTCCCATTCCAAAAATTACCATACTAAAAAAATTTAGTCTGTTATTAAAACTACAGTTCTTTTTATACAACAATTTCAATTCTTACATGCTTTTATCAGTTTCACGTTTTTGTAAGTTTTGTCTTTTATTTCATTTTTGAAAATCAAATGCAGATTAATGGATTTGTACTTATTTGTTTTGAAAGCAAATAGTGTCAATCAATACCTGACAAGTTTGTGTGATTCTTACAACTGACTTATATAGTTTTCTGTGATAATGAACAAAATTTCAGAGTATAGATGTTCCAAATGTTAGGTGAAATTATACAAAATATCTTTGACTGTAGATTTATTGGTTTGCACTTTACATGGTACACATAAAAGGTGATAAAATTAAATGTCATATTAGGAAATCAACATGTGTATATGTGTCTATGTGTTATATTTATTTTCACAGCTGTGGTGCTTTAATTTACACCTCTGTGTAAGTAGTTGAGTTATATAATTCTACCTGTATGCTACATGAAGCAAGTATATTATAACTTAAGATTCTCTTCACTGCAACATATTACATTTATCTATAAATAGACACACCTGCCAAACATGTTGGACATTAGTCAAGAATAATATCTCATAGAAAGTTAGGATGGTGAAAAGTACCAGCATGACATTAACAATGACCTTTTTCTACTTTTTTTTAATGTAGAATATCCCTTGCAACAGTAGTTTTAAAATATATGTTAAATAAAAGGCTCAAATGAGACTTACATTATGAGGTACCAAGTATTTATTCAAAATGTATTTTTTTAATTTATTGTGGATAATCATTGGCATATTACTTGCATATGAAAATTTGGTGATTATCTAAAATCATAACAATAGGATCCTTAATAATACTGGTAAATAATGTCTAAATAATTCTCTAAATATCTACTACATCAGTTATGATGATCAAGTTATTGGCACTAATTGGTGAGATCTTTGGCAATTGATCAGAAAATTTAAGTTGATTTTTGCTTATTGAAATAACATTTTATCAGCTGTCCGAAGAAAATCAAAATAAACGTAATGGTGAAGGTTATTTTCAGTGTTAAGCAAAACTTTCCAAACTCTTTAATTCCATGAAATACAGCAAATCAAAACTTTGTTTTTACTTTTGTTTCCCTTCACTTATATTTTTGCACCCACTCAAGAATTTATGAAGGTCGTTTTTTGTTATTTCTGTTAAATCTATTAATCTTCATCGACATGTACAAGCTGATAGACTTAGAAACTTTGGGGGTGCTGTCATGTTTTTCGATCTAACATCCCACTCAATACACTACACAAACATTACTTCTTGGCAACAAATTCAAACTTATTCAGTGTAATGTACATTATGATAAAGATAAAACTTCATAGCAGCCAAAAGTCTGTGGTTGTTTTCTGTTTAGCAGCAGGTATTCTGTAGGAGGAGTTCATGACATTAAAGTATCAATGATATCAATTATCCTCAATATTGCTCTCCACCATTCCTTATACATAGATATTTATATTATGTTACTGGATTCTGTCCACTATTTTGCTTTGAACGATCCCAAGAATAACCATATCAGCAGTTTTTCTATTGCTTATGTTTGTACTCAAAATATCTTCAACACATATTTTAAAGATGCCTTATGTAAGATTTAGATAAGGAGCTGTCCGTCCTTGCTATAATAGTTCAAAAATAGATAACGAAACGTGAATATATTGAAAATTTCATTGAAATTTCTTTAGTCTAGGCGAAGTTATGACTGAACCGAATCGAGACTAAGTCTCGAACGTCAATTTTATAGTTAAATTTGTAAATCATGTGCGTGTTCAAATCCATTTAAATCTCAACCATCTGTTAGTCTAGAGAGTTGTTAATAGGCTTGTCATGAGAAAAAATGTCTAAATAGCAATTGATATAACATATGAAGCCAAAACTAAGATCTGCAATAGGCAGATTTAGCTCTTACATAATGCATCTTTAAGTAAAAAGTGCAAGATATTAAATATATTTTATTGTTTATAAATATACACAGGAGAGAAATATAAATATTCTATTAAGCTAAATATTAATCTCAACTTTGTAGTTTGTAGTAAAAAAATGTCCATATGAATGTCCAAAGAGTAATTCATTTTAAGACTATAGAAAAAAAGCAGTGGAAGTTTTAAGATTGTGTATAATATAGACAATGTAATTCAAATTCTGATAATTATTTGGTATAGGTAAAAGTAATTTGTTACATTAACAATAAGACTTACCAGGTAATGTCTGGGGTTGGTTTACCAATAATTTTACAGGAAAGTTGAGCTCTAGAACCTTCATAGCCAACGATGTCTGTCATAGCTTCATATACTACAGGTTTATGTTCTGGCAATTCTGTAAGACACAAAAAATGAACGTTAACAATTACAGGCCATATTGATATGGCATTTTGGGTGAACTATTGGAAACACTTGGTCTCATTATGATGATAAAAAAATCTGTATTCAATTGGCTCACACAGATATAAACTTTTTCCAAATGGTTGAGCAGCATTATATATTATTATTACACTAACCCATGATTAATTCTCTCATCATGACACCTGTCTCTCCTTCCTTTCTGAAGATGGCACTGTCTCGGGACAAGCGGCCAATAGGTAATATATCCAACTCATCCTCCTATAACGGAATATAAAATACATGTATAAACATTAATCACACCATACAACAAATTTATACAATACATAAAATGAAAATAACATACAAATTTTTCAAAGGATTATCAGCACGAATATTGTCTAAATTGACAAATAATATAAATAGGAAATGGTGAAAGCAAGCCAGCACAACCTTCAATCTTTGCATAAAGCCAGTGGCATATTTAGAAATGAGGCCATGACCAACAATTTTGGACTTCTTAAAATTAGCAGGCACTCCCCCATAACTGACTTAATTCAACAACAAAATAATTCTGTTTTCAAGGTATCTAAATTTTGCCACATTCCTCATTTTAATAAGGGAGTTACAGGTTCACTCCTGGTATTGGTTGAGAAAGTTTATTGGAATTTCTGTCGTAGCTTCCCCTTGTCAGAGGGCCTGACAAGAACAGACAGCTAGTCGTTCGGATGGGACGGAAAACCGTGTACACATTGACAAGCACGTAAAAAATAACCTTGACAGCTAGAATTTGATAAAAGAGTAGGCCGTAGCACCGCTGTTCGGGCAAAAGTTCCCTCACAGCACATTGTATGGTGTATGCCTGTCCTTACTAGCCCAGTCGGAGCAGAACAGTAGGATGTTAAACCTCATTTTATTTCATTTCATTCATATAAATTAAAGTAATTCAAAAAGTCTGTGCCCCTCCTCCCACTTTCAAAAATCTTATATATGCCACTGTATATAAAGTATAATATCTGACCTTGTGTCTACGTTTATCTCTGTAGTTAATATGATGTTCTCTTGACAATGGGGATCCTTTAAGTTTCTTTTCTGCAGCACCCTGTTATACAAAACAAAACATTTGTTTACCATGTTATAACAAATAATACAAATAATAAATATATATTTAACATTGTTTTCTTTATAGTGTGGGCATGGTTCTTATGCCATTTTTTTTTTAAGATGATGCATAATAAACAATTGCAAGTCGATATAATAATAAGATGTATGATCGGTATGAAGCTTTTACTCATGCATGGTTACTCAACACTGACCAAATACATAGCAATATCAAATAAAACAATTGAGATACACATTAAGCACTGTACAAATAAATATTTCCTCACTTTGTCAATTTTGAACCATTATGTAAACAAACGCAAAACATTAACTGGATTTATATTTTAATATCTTGCTATATTTTGATGCAGTTTCTCAAGTGCAACAGCAAAGAAACAAAATATTCATTTCAAAATCACAGCAGATACTATTTATTAATTAAACTATTGCAAGTTACCGGTTATATAAATTTCATATGAAATTACCCGCCCCCCCCCCCCTAAATCATGCTATGTACTGTGACATTTTTTTTAAATTCTGATTTTCTTGGATGTTATCTGTATCCATAAATGATACATTTACATTATATATATACTTACATCTACTTCATCTGCTTGAATCTTGGGTTTTGGCTGCAGGGAGGCAAAAAGCAGCAAGTTATTAAACAAAAGCAATCAAAAACAAATTCATAAAAAAATGTTCAAAATGTCAAAACTCTGGCTTTGTATTTGTGCCTTATAATCAAATAAAATTAGTCTTGTCACTGTTTCTAATATGTTTGATTTGTCTTGACATTTTGAAGTGGTAAAACATCACTACACCGGTTTAGGACAACATCTAAATAATGGTAGACTAAATCATAAAACCAAGACACTGTAGTTGAAGGACCAAACAACAGGCATTTCTAATGCAAATAATGATGAATCAAATGAAATGATTGGATTCCCTATAAGAACATTTTTTCTTCCAGATCAGAAGAAATCTTTCTTTGTTTCTGATTAAAACACATATTCTATTTCCTTACATTATTCGTATAACAGTTCATCGGGACAATAGAACAGACTTTTAAACAACTCTGTTTCTATTTGATTCAATAACAACCAAGGAAAGGAAAGAAATAAAGGTGATTAACATCTTGTGGACACAATATAGTGGTTAACATCTGGTTATTTAAATTTCAGAGAGCTAGTTTTTATTGGCAAAAAAGAAAACCTAGTGGTAGAAAAGGAAACAAAGCAAACAGAGAGATCATGTAAAATCCCTCTTCTTATTGTTCACAAGGATATTCAAAGTCTCTGTTCTACAGTTTACTTGAGTGAAAGTCAGATCTGCATGTGACTGAGGAGGTCAAAAGCATTAACGCATCAGAATGCTACATTGAGATTTCTACTTTAATCCAACCCTGATCTTAATGATTACATAATAGGGAATCCATATAAACTTGGTACAAACTGAAGAAAAGTTATGATGTATACAGTGTATCGCTTACTTTTAGAAAAAAGAAATAACAACCAAAGAAATATTCTGTGCATAAAATTCTCATTTTGTTTTTAATGGAAAATCCCAAAAGCAATAAGACAGTATGAACATATAAGCCATGCATATATACACATAATTTTCCTTTATATCTAAAGATGATCATGATACTAATTTACAACAAGAAAACTCTCAACACTACAATAATAACTACTGGAATAATATACATAAAGCTACATATATACATGAAATGAAATATGACGTGAAATATATTCAAAACACAAACTAAATATACTTACATTTAACCAGGGATGTTCCAAGGCTTCTTCTATGGTCATCCTTCGTCTTAAAAAAAATACAAAAGAGTAGAAGTTACTGTATTATTGGGTTTTGACTGGTTTAAATAATTCTGTCTTCAGTACACATTATCTTTGAAAGAGTAAGAAAACTTATCCCCTCAAATATAATGATATGATCAATTTAATTTTTGATATTGACTGTACTCAATAATTATATGTTTTAAAAACACAAACTAATACTTACTTTTTATCTTGATTAAGAAGTTTGTTGATGAAGTCTTTAGCATCTTCAGAAACTCCTTCCCATACATCATCATTGTAATCAAAGTTTGCACCATTGATGTTAAAGAAGGTTTCATGATCGTTGTCACCAGCAAAGGGCGAATAACCACTCAATCTACAAAAGAAACATTACACATTTACTTTTGGTGGGATTTTTTTCAGAACACAAAAAAAGTTATAAAAAATAAGAAAACATAAAGAGGATTATTATTATTATAAAATGAAGAATTTTCTGATAATGTATACTTACAAGACATAGGCAACCACACCAAGAGACCACATGTCAGTAGCATATGATACTGGCAGGAAGTTGATAATTTCAGGAGCACAGAATTCAGCTGTACCAAATAATACCTTGATTGATTTACCCTCCTCCACTTTTTGAGCCAAACCAAAGTCAATGATTTTTACTTCCTTACTGTCTTTAGTAACACACATCACATTCTCGGGCTAAAAAATAATAATAAAAAAAACATGCTATACATTTTACAGGTATAAAAGAAATTAATTTTTAAACGAAAATAATATGAGTTTACATAGGATGTCTTATTACAAGATAAGTCCTCAATGTCCTATAATAATTCACAATAATACTATTTTATGAGTTTAGCCTTACACACAAGAAAATTATATTTTCCTGAATTTAAATAAACCGTGACTAAGTTTATATCAAAATAAATTACCTTTAAGTCGAGATGGATACAACTTTGTTGATGCATGTGTTGTACACCTTGACAGATTTGCTTCATGTATGTTATACAATCAGATTCTGTTAAATCATATTCTTGTTCTACCAAGCGGTCAAATAATTCACCACCACTTAATCTGAAATAATAAAAACAAAAATCATAAAGTATTCATACCATAAAAAAAATATTTCCAATTAGTATGCATTCTGTAAACCCATATCTTTTAAATAAAAAAAAACAGAACACAAGCTTTTTTTTTGTTTAAAGAATCATTTTTACTAACTTTAAATTTTATTTTTGAAGATATGAATACCAATAATATGAACACTAAATTAAAACTTACAATTCTAAAATCATGACCATTTCACCAGGTTGGTCAAAGGCTTCATGTAATTGGAGAAGTTTTTTGTGATGCAGTGCATTCATGATATCAATCTCTCTTCGGACCAAGTCCTTTTCAAATGGTCGACAGTGAATAAATTTGGCAGCCCAATTTTTGCCTGTTGCTCTTTCAATGGCTCTATATACAACTCCAAAAGCACCCCTGTAAAAAAAAAAAATTTCCAATTTTTATCTACAATTTAGACTTCAAATCATATAGCATTTAAGACATAACATTTAAAATTATTAAAAAAAACACAGGAATCTGAGGCAATTAATATACTATTGTCAGGTAAGGGGAAATAACTATACATACTACTTATACATCAACAGAGTTTACATCATGCAAGTATCAAAAAGAAATCTCAAAACCTTTTACTTAAAAACAGTTTAAAAATTTTCAGTGGTAAAAGGAATAACTTCAGTCTTTTTGACTAGCCAAAATCAACCTCAACAATGCTTAAATAATTTAAGACAGAACTCCACCCATAATTGACACCAAGCCAAACAATCTCAGCAAGTTTGAAAAAAAAACCCCTCAAAACCTAGGAATTGGTAGAATGGTTACAAGACTTGTTGATGGACGGACAGGGGTGACAGCAATATGGGTGTATAATAAAATTGAATATATCAAGATAAGACATTACCTTCCAAGTTCTTCACAGATGATATATTTACCAAGAACATCTCCCTTCATCATATTTACATCAACAAGAGATCCCAGGAAACCTCGTTCATCTGAAAAATAATAAATTATTAGAATACTAAAAGAGTACAACAATTAGGTTTGCAGTTGGTTTTTAAAGATGGTAACTTACCTTGATCTAATTCTTACTTACTCAGCAACTTACTTATAATTAGGAGTAAACCACATAACCAAATAGAACACACTAAAAGAGACTTTCAAATCAAAGTATAATCAAAATATACGTACAGAGGTCATCGTAGTCAATTATTGGTATTGGTTCTTTAGTTTGTACAACTTCTGTTGCTTCACTTGGTTTACTGATACCAAACTGATTTTCAGCCAAAATACGGAACTGTAACTGACGATATTCTTCAATACAACTGATGGTACAATATGGTTTGTTAGTGGCCATGGCATGTCTCCATAAACCTGTTTCTAAATCACATTTCTCTACAATATAACCTGTCACTGGTGAACCACCATCATATAGAGGTTCTGTCCATACTAAATCAACTTCATGTTTATCTATTTTAGCAACCTCTGGTCTACTAGGTGCATCTGGGGGTTCTGTAAAATAGAGGATTAGACATATATATATACATATATATGCATATACAGCACCTTAAACACAGTTGCAAACAGGGCTATACCCATTTTAGACCCATTTTCGTCTATTTTAATGTTCCAAATAACAGAGCTATACCCCTTTAATCCAATTCCCAGATACAGATGTTTTAAGGTTTAATATGCAATTCATGTACATTTCATTAGAGTTTTCAAGGAGTTAAGCTAACATCACTCAATTAGCTTTACACAATAGGCCTACTTGAAGTAGTCAAGTATGTGGATTTTTAACAATAAGATGAATATGATATTATATCACTGAGATCCAATCTCACTGTACTTTTGGAAAGGGATAATTCAATCTAGTCTTAAATATTATCAAATAAAATTAGTTACATTTATTTTTTTGTTTAAAATCAAATTACAAATATGAAACAAACTTTGAAACGTGTTGAATATTACACTTAAATTCTTACCAACAATAGTAACTGGTAGAAGGATGGTGTCTGTTCCCAGTTCATTTTCTAATGTGATTGAATATTGTCCTTCATCAGTCTTCTTGGCATCATCAATGATCAAAGTGGACTGATAATTAGTACCAGTGATATCAACACGTTTTCTATCTTGCTTTAACTCTTTATCTTCTTTTTTCCAAGTGGTTTTTGGTGCTGGGTAACCACAAATAGGTACTCGAATCTTGATGGTATCACCAACACAGAAACGTAAGCCATCGCCAAATCTTGGAGGTAGATCAATTTTGGGTCCAGCTGAAAAGTAAATTAATAAATTATTTAGCATTTACTACAGTTATAGTCATAACTGTATATAATATCCATATAGTTAAAGTTAAAACAATCTTTAAGTTTTATGATTTACTATAAACCTAAATTCTACCAAAAAAATTCAATAAACCTAAATTGTACCAAAAAAAACTCCTGTCTAATTGCTCACCAAGAACTGTAAGTTTTGCTCTGATGGCAACTGTTCCAAATCTGTTCTTGGCTTGACATTCAATATCACCAGCATCACTGAATTCTGTATTTGTTAAAGTCATTTTATATTGATCTCGACTCTTTTCAATACAACAATGACGACCATCATATATTTGACGATAGTTCTTGTACCTTAATTAGTAAAGAAAAAAATAGTTAGTTTGCATTAAAAACCTTTACAATTGTTTTATGCAAATCATTGTCTGAAAAGTTAACAAAAGGTCTTGACCATGAAGTAATATACTTACCATGTAACTTCTGGTACTGGTAAACCGGTAATATTACAAGAGAAGGAAGCTCTTTCACCAACTGGTACAGACAAATCACCAAATTCAGAAATAAATTTGGGGGCTTCAGAAGCTGAAAATATGAGAAAAATATTTAATATTCATAGAAAGACACCCGAAGAAAAAAATTGGAGAAAACAGTTCAGAAGTAGATAAAGGGAAGTAACTTGTCTTGCTGGAGTAAACACAAATGAACAGAATGCTATATACCAGAAATTATTCTTACCAATTCTATCTTTACAGATAACTGCATCAGTAGATAGTGAGGGTTCGCTGACACCTTTACAATTCTCTGCTCGTACTCGGAACTCATATTGGTTTCCTTCAAACAAATCACTGACTTTATATTCTAGTTCTTGTACTGGTGACTTATTTACTGGCAACCATGATCGTCCGGAGGCATCCAGTCGTTCAATAAAGTAACCAGTTATGGGTGAGCCACCATCAGACTCTGGTGGTTTCCATGACAATTTAACATAACTTGGTCCAACCTCCAAAATTTCCGGTGCTTCTGCTGGAGGTAATGGTTTTCCTAATGAAAATAATAAAAAATTTAATATCAAATATTTCTTATGTTATCTGGAGTATCATCAGTGGCCGAAAGATGAGGAGAACAATCTACAAATGACTTGGCAATTTGGGTATAATTTGAAATTCCCAAAACGTGACAGCTAACAATAAAACCTTAGTCCACAAAGGAAATTAATTAAACTATAAACTGTAATTTAATTTTTCATCTACATCCCCCCCAAACCCCCCACACACATACATCTAGCCAATCTTACAAAAAGTTAAAAATACTAATGATACTAATGTCATACCAAAAACCAAAAGAAATACTGGTGAGTGTAGGTAATTTATGTCAATGTAAAAATGAATTAAAATATTAAACATATACATTACCACCATTAAAAATAAAATAATAATGCATGTAAACATATAGAGCTTTATATTTGTGTTTGTTAGTATAAACCAGAGCCATCAAGCATATTACAGAAAAAAAATATAATATACAAAGAAAAATTAGACAAACAATAAACAAACCATTTTCTTTACAACATTCCAATCTCTCATTCAAGCATTCAATTAACACAAAACAACTCAGTTTTTAAGACTATCTTTTATTCATATTTCAAATATTAAAACTATAATTATTAACAACATAACAAGATGCAAACCTGAAAAATTAACAGCTGAAAAAGTACAAAATATTAGTTAAGATATGGCAAAAGGTGAAACATGCATTGTTAAGCAAATCATACAGGTTTGATAACCAACTGAAAAGTGCGCAAAAATAAATTATTCGTTTAATAATACCATTGTATTCTAGACCAGAATTTCCAATGATTATATATTTGGGGTTCTGACTAAGAGATCTAATGGGTGAAATATAGGAAGATTATCTAATAAATTCCAGAATTGAATATGTGTTGCCCCATAGCCAAACATAAACCCTTTTAACAAATACTTTGAAAATTGAAATTTGAAATCTTTCATGTATAATTATAAATCTTCTTTAGATATTATCAATGTAATAATGGTGGGGAAGGTTACAAAGTGATTTGCTAAATACACGAAATTCAGATAAAATTATAGCATTTATACTTGTATTTAGGGTTTTTGATTGCCTTCAGTTAATATGTGAAAAATTCATGCATATTAAAACTGTGAACTAACTAGCTGTCATTTGAAACTAAAAGTGTAATATTAATACTTTATGCATACACCATGCACAAGAAATAAACTGTTGTTTTTTTAAAGTATTCTTTCAATCCTATTAAAATTAAGATTTGATTTTCATGTATCCATTTGAGAGCCAAAGAAAGCCCTGTGTGCTATTTATTCAGTTTGATTTTGAAGCCAACTGAATCAGAAACTCAATTTTCATTCTAATCAGATTGAAAGCTGTGATGCATATCATCCATATACCTTAATAATTATGAAAATAACTGACCTTTGCGTGCTTGTAGCTGTACAGGAGCATGCAATTCTGTAGATTCGCTGATTCCAGATGGATTCTGAGAGGAAACTCGGAAGGAGAATGCTTCCTCTGCTGGTAAATTTTTGATATCATATGAGGTAGCTTTTCTTGGAATACGAGCAACCTTTTCCCATTTGTCACTATCAGCATCTCGCTTTTCTATGATGAAATGTGTGACATCATCACCGTCTGGAGGAGACCAGGACAATGTTAATGCTGTACGATTTACATTTTGAGCTCGTAAGTCTGATGGAGCTGTAGGTTGACCTAGATTGAAAAGATGCATATTTTTTTAAAAAAATGATATGTATGTAACTTTTTTCATCTTAAAATGGAGACAGTGTGTTTTATTGTTTTTGTTAAAAAAATAGATTCTCATTTTTCCATTTGCAAGCCATTATGTAGTCACAAAAAGCAAAAAGGTTCCTTTTAGTACAAAGAAATATATCACCCTCTCCTGTTATTGGGCCCCTTTCTTTAAACAGAGCAGTCTCCGATTCAAATATATTTTATTGAGTAACTGGTCAATTTCATTTGAAAGACTCTTAAAAGCCTATATCTTAACCCTGTATAACTAACTCAGGGTATCATTTGCAAATGACTCAATATTTTGATTTGAAATCAGCAAACAATGTCAGGGCATCTTTTAAGAGTTTACAAGTGGTAGGCCCTAAATGAAAAGCGGAACTTTGTGGGACATTAAACATATCTCCTGGATCTACATATCACTTTTGTAGCAAGCGCCCTCATGTCCACAGAGATTGGAAAAAGAACTAACTAATGTGAAAAGGGTAACATGTTTCTCTGTATGTTAATGGGTATGAATAGTCCCTAACATCTTGGCTCACCAGTTTTAGATGATTTGGCTGGACTGGTGGGCCAAATTAGTGGTCATTTTGTCCACCAGTCATTTTGTAATAAAAATGCCCTAACAAGGTAATTGGACTATTCCTCACAGTTTTGCATTAATCTGCATACTAAAATCAATACCTGGTTAAAAATTGGAATTGCTCCTTTAACTCACCCTTGATTCTTATCCTTCTTAACAAATTTGAAGTTACCATCCATGTCTACCTTAGTATCCCTTTTTTTATGCCCTCTATGGACAAGTTAATTGATTAATGGTGGGATCATGTTTAATTACGACCTCAATATTGTACAATTATATGTAATATTAACGATAATATAAAAGTAATTAGAGCTCAGAATCCTCCTCCCCTATAGCATTTCTAAGTTTACACTTACTCTTTGTCCCTTACATGTGCTTAGTGATATTGAAACAATATCAAATACAAGATGTATCAGTATCTTGCATAAAATTCATAGCCAAGGCAGCATATAAACATATCTAAAGTTGTCCTTTACCCTGAGCTCCTGTTCTAAATAGCCCCCCCCCCCCCCCAACCCCTGCCCCAATTTGATTCATTACCATATTTGTGTATTCAAGTCGAATTAGGAAATGTAAAAAAAAATAGCCAGTGTAAGGGAGATAACTTTTAAATTTTTAAATCATTTGGTATTGTGTATTCAATAAGTAGGCCAATAAATTATTAGGAGAGTAAAAATTGATGGAATATGACCAGAGCATGCCAGTTTAGATTACATGTAGGCTGTCTATTGTTGTAATTATTTCTATGTAGGCATAGATCATTTGAGAAGATACTTGTATTTAAAGTTCACAAGATGTTCATAGCTTTCTTATCCAATTTCAAATATTTCCACTGATGATAGCATCAAAGGTAATATTCCATTGTAATATATGTATGGAAACACTAACAGCTTGCAGGGCTTTTTTGAATAGTTGTAATCTATAGTGATGGGTGTTGTGCATGTGTCAGTTTAGATTATATAAACACATCAGGGGTCTTTTAATGTTGTCCTGTGATAAGATTTCTCAGCATTATTGTTTTATCTGATTTTAATCAGATAAAACAATAATAAACACTGTGTTTATTCATAAAAATGATAAATAGTATTTACAATATTGTTAGCATGAGATCATTTAAATACTGGCTCAAATTTCATTGCGGGTTGAGTGGTTAACTTGTTCAGTGTGGGGAGCCACAGTAGCTCAAGGCTAGCCTGGACGTCCTGGGTTCGATGCCAGTGTTAGTCGACAGAGTTTCTCAGGTCCCATGTACACCTCGACGTGCACATAAAAGAACCCTCAACAGTTGGAATTCATTAATATTTTCTGTCTGGGCAAAATTTCCCTCCCTCATGGCACACTGCATATTGTATGCCAGTCTTCATTAGCCAGTTGGAACAGAAAAGTAGGATGTTAAACCCCTTTCATTCATTCATTGTGCATTGTGAATTCCTTTAAATTGATGACGATTATAAAATTGGGAAGGATAACTGGAAATCAGCAAGTCAATTTGGCTAATATTTCCTGATAAGATATATATATATGACCTTCACTATCAAGCATACAAGGCCACCAATTCTATCATTCTTTACTCTCCAAAGTTGGCAATTCTAATTGTCTGTATTACATTGATTACTGTAATTTATACCATGTAAGTTTTACTTGGGTATTTCATATTTATAGTGTATGGTTTGTAAAAATGTCTATGAATTCCAGAAACAATATTGGTTGAATTTGTCTGTAAACCATGTTCATTAGTCTATTTCTTTTAATTCTTTTAATAAGCCCAAGTTTAATATAGGCTACATATATATTGTTACTTGTTATACTCTATGTCAGTCAACTGTCAGTCCGTCCACAATTCCAATGGATCATAATGATTCTTAAAGGGTGTATAGCTCTATATTTTGAATCTTGAAATAGACAATAATGGTTCTAAAAGCACATATTAATGTAATATGAATGTGTGTAAAGTGATTTATATTCAATTTTTGAAAATTTTTGTAATTTCTAATCAATTATGTTCGATGAAATACATGAACAGTTCAAATTGTACGGCAGTTGTTTACGCCTGCTTATTCCATTCTACACATTTTTTTATTATTATTTTGTCTTTGTGAATCAGTCTTTATTAATTACTTCCATATTATCTTGTAGGATATGTGTTATATATGTTCATTACAAAATGACACCCGAGACCATAGAATACACAACTTGTGTACTGATTACAAAATGTTAAACATACATTATGCAAGAGCAAAATCTGATTATTGCAAATCTTAATTTAGGCTTTAGATGTTATAGAAATTATAAATTAGATCTTTATTTAAACAACAAGCCCAAAATCAACTCTGTAGACCCACGGATGGCTCGGCTACAGCTCGGATTTAAATAGGATTTCACTTATCAATTAATTCAAATATGGCGCATCCTGATGAGAATACGTCAGTTAGATCGAAGCTAAATGATAGAGTGTACTTAGCGAGGCCGCTGTAGAGCGTTTCCGCATGCCACTAAAAACTTTACTTGATAATCGAGATATGTAGGTGGAGTTAATGCCTGTCAATCAAACGATCAGCCACGGTGAAGGCACATTTCACTACTATTTCTAGTCAAATATTACAACGATGATAACTATGTTCAGAATAAAGTAATTTGACTGAAATTTTCAAAATATTCTTCTTTCATCATCTACTTTTGAACTGTTATAGCAAGAATGGCCAATTCTTTGTAAAAATCTCCCATAATGTATCTTTAATTGTGTCTTAAATATTTGATATTAGGATCCTATATTTTCACGCCAAGAAAACAACATCGGTATTTATTGAAATTGACCAATGTTGAATTCTACTTCGTGTTTTCAATTTCGAATGTTATGGAATATATCGAGTTAGAGATTTAGCTCCTTTAAGTTCAAAGGTTTTTGATTACAAATCAAAGACTTATTTCTCTGCTTACATGTACATACACATACATAAAAGCAGCAAAACATTCCACTATCAGATTCCCATCTTGGTACCGATCGACAATGAATCTTATTTTGATTCCCAGTGGCAGTAATCAAATTAAATGCAGTGTACATGTGGACACACAGGCATAATGTCACTGCTTAGAATCTTGACGTGAGCCAAGAGGAATCATTGGGATATTTCACGCAAATTTCTGTCTTGTCAGGGATAGTATATATAGGGATGACAAGGAAATTGCGTCAACTTCTTCAGATGAGACAAACATAAAGGTCCTGTGTACAATATTGGTAGTGCACATAAAAATCCCATGACAATTGGAATTTGACAAAGCAGATTAGGTGGAAAAACAGATATTTGAGAAAAATTCAAGCCCTTACATTGCACATGTAACCACAGAAATAAAGATTACCATGTGTTATTCTCAAAATGATGGAAGTATTGTGCTAGCAAGATGTTAAACTACTTTTTTTTTCATTCAGCTGATACCCTGTCTGCATTTCATTCTTCATTCTATTAACAATGTACATATGGTCGAAGGATAGCTTTGTGAGAGTCAGAGCAGTTTATAAGAGATTGTAAAGAATGTGTATATTATTCAGAAATAACCTGTGTTCCTGTGTTAATAGGCCTAGTCTTCATGTCAAGACATTTATTCAAATAACATTAAACATATTGTGTCGAACCAACATAGATCCCAGAGAAAATCTCCAAATTTTTTTGTTCTCTGTTTTCCTATCATCTTGTTTGGAAATTTAAAGTGTGAAAATGCTTGAACAATTATCTGTACTTGGTCAAGCCCAGTTTCTATTTTGCTCCATATATAGTTGTTCTGTTTCGTTGAGATAATGTGGTAACATGCAACAATTTTTTTTTGAGAATTCTGTTTTATTAGTGAATATTGTTACTGTTAATTAATTAGTTAATAAAAGTGTGCATCATAGTAGGCATACTGACAACCTAGCTTAAGATAATATTTTCCTTAGATGACTGCAGATAAAGCAAATGATTATAACAGCTTATTAAAAGCCTGTTCTAGTATTTTGGTCAATGCAACCCAATCAACATTCACCCATTGAATTCAAGCATCCGGACTTCCAGACATGACGCTGTAGTGCCCACAATAGGAAAGACCTTTTTTCCAGCCGTGGCCTTCACATGTATATAACTGAACATCTGATGTCCAAAGATAAACATTTGGTATGACTAGTGCCAAAAGGTGAAATATGAGAAACAGCGCAGTAGTGCCCAGAAGCAGCTGTCTAGGTAACAACTGTCACTAGTGCCCACAAGCTGCCATCTTGGTAACAATTTTCACTTGTGCCAACAAGTGGCTGCCTAGGTAACAACTGTCTCTGGAACCCAGTGAATCAGTCGCGAAACATGCATGGACTCAGTGTTAATCTATTAAAATTAGCTTTAAAATGTAATTCTGTTTAATCAATGTCATATATATGAACAGAATGAGTTGCACTGATCAAATTGTTATGGAGAAAATTAGCTGATATATACAATATTGAAGGGTCACCAAAGATGGCTGAAGAATAACAGTGCAAAACAATTCAGAAGAAAACAGATAAAAGGGAGATAACAGCTGTTTTATTTTATATCTACCTACAAGAATAGGCAAATTATTTGAAACATACAGTCATTTTACTTTTTTTTTGAATGAAGCATGGAGGAGACGGTTTCCTTGTAGTAGTTAGTCTATGTAGGTTAGTCAACTTTTTCAATTTCATAAAAATAGTAAAACTACTGGTATATAAAATTCAAAGATTTCTCCTTCAAGGTTTTATCAAATGACTTGGGTTTTATTATTTTTTTTTAGTTACAAACACGATCTGAATAAATTAATCAATTTGGAATATAATCATTTGGAGAAGTTAAAAGAAGTAACATGTCAGGGTTAATCCTTTTAAATTACTCAAGCGAATAAATTTGAGGGCGAAAAATCGAAATCACTTCCAAATTAAGATATTTATTCTAAAAGCATTAATAATAAAAGCAGCCATGAGGCATCGTTTAACATGTTAGATTTGTTCTCTCAAAACTAATTTGTGAATAGCAACGAACAACCAGGCATGCCAAATAAACGTATATATTACAGGTGCCAATTACAGAAATGAAAAAGTGACTAAATTAAAGAAAAACCTGTTTATGTCTTCCAACCCACAATCTCAAACAATATCTATGAAATCTTTATTAAATCTGTGATTATTAATATTGGCAATTATTAGGTACATCAATGGGTAACATTTGTGCTCCATGCTTCATACAATTACATAAGGTGTCATTAAAGAAACAAAGGTTAGAAGGTAACAAATTAAAAAAAATAACAGAATAAAAAAAACTGAGTTTAACAGTATTATATTAAGTATTATATTAATCTATTAATCTCATAAATATACATTAGATTAAAAAAAACAAACAAGCTAATTTTTTCAATCATTAGAACTGATTTATATTAATAACTATTATTATGAATTATCATTATATTTATAATGTTTATCTTACATGAACTGCATTCGTCAAGTTCACGCTTTGATATGTAGCATTGGTGCGTCACATTCGATAAGTATATTTGTTAAAACAAATGTGTTGATTAAAACAAGTGTTATTAATTACATATTATATATTATAAATGACAATAAACACGAATTACATATTATACCTCAAATGTTCCATTTTCTGACATAAAACCATGGACAATTACATGTTAAGAATTTTTGCACTTCATGCGATAATCACATTATTACAGTGTTAAAAAATATTAATAGATATTTGTGCATGCTTTAAAATATTAAATTATCTATTATTAAAGATATTATTTTTTAAACCCAAAATGAATGAAGTTGATCAAATTGATTTGAATTTTCGTTTAGAATCGTCCTTCAATGGTGCTAAGGTCAATATCATCCCATGTACAACTGAGAGGATTATCTGCATAAACTCGATATATATACTCAGAAAGATGTAAATTCTGAACCATGTAAACATAGATAAAAGGTTCGAGATTGGACGCTTTTAGTGAAGCATTTCCAGCGAACTCTGAATAAAAGATAAAAGAGAATGTGAGTTGTTAGAACGATAAAATAAAAAAAAGTGTTTTTAATGAAAAACTTAAAAGTGACACTCAACCAATATGAAGACTCAAAATTAGAGAAGAGATGTTTGAATATTTTATATCAACATATAATCTTCTTTTGATAAAATAAAAAAAAACCCATAGAAGATATAATTTGAGTCTTTGGTGGCGTATCACTTTAAGAACAATCAACAACATCAAGGCAAGCATAAACCAAGCATCTATGCATATTTTAAAGTAACAAGATTTTAATAAATGTTTCATGTATGAAAAAAGGAAATTTTTGTAAAAAAATAACTTTGTATTCTAAACAATATTTCTTTAAATTTACTGCAAGATTGCAAGTGCAGCATTTTCCTGGCTGGTTTTATAATGCCAACTATTATCATCTAGTTGATTTCATTAACAATGAAAAAAGATAGACAAACAATAAGTTTAAGTGCAAGCAAGCAAGGAAGAAAAAAGACAAGCAGTCAAGCAATTTGTTAAAGGGATACTAGTTGATTTCATTAACAATGAAAAAAAAGGATACACAAACAATAAGTTTAAGTGCAAGCAAGCAAGGACGAAAAAGACAAGCAGTCAAGCAATTTGTTAAAGGGATACTAGGCAGCATGCAAAATAGTGTTTACACTGTGCTACATTTACTTTTTTTTTTTGCTAAGCTGAATGCAGTGGAATTATTTTTTGTAAGCAATGTTACATGTAATGATTTTTATCACCAGTGAAATAATAGTGACAGTCGATTTATAATCAGCAAAAACAATTGGGTTATTAATAGTGAACTATAATATGTTATTTTTTATCTTATATTTGTAGATCTGAATTAATTTTCAAACTAAAATTTGTTATGTCTGCCTCTATGGGATCAACCAAGAGATGTTAAAGATCTTAATTACATGTAGATCCCTAGTTTGTTTTTTATCTCTGATTTCCACAAGGTGAATTAGATGAATATGTGCATCAGTTTTCATGTTCTTAAATGTACTAATCCATTAGTTATGTAAATGTGATTGAAAATAATGTTTAGTTTGGTCTTTAAATGAAATGCGGTTTAAAACCTTGTGAACACAATACTCCAGTCATTTTGAGACTAAAATATGATAAATTTCATTTCTATGGTAACAAGTGCAATGCCAGTGTTTCTGCCTACTCTTCTTCAAATTTCCACTGCCAAAGGTTTACATGCAGACCAACGGCCTAGGCCCATGATGGGAATCAGGATTGGGACATTCTAGTCGAGAGGTCAGTGCCATATTGTTTGACTACTTTTAAAAGAATTTCATTTGTTATACAGGAGCCTTGAATTCTGTAATGTTTCTTTTTCAGTTGATAGTGTGAATGGCTTATTTTTTCCAAAATGTATATAGTTTGAATGAATTTTGCATAAAAGTGGGAAATTTCTGCTATAATTTAGCTTTGTAATATTTTATTTAGATTTTAGTGTCTATGATGTTTGCAATTGTATTGCTTTTAAAAGTTAAATGCATGTATATTTACACTTGGTCATTCCATATCATCACATCAGTTAGATGTTTAAATGTTTGGTTTACACTCATAACATTTCTAATCTCTGTATTCCACTATCTACAATAAGCTTAAGTTTAAGGGAAAAGGAGAATAATTGTACCATGGATATACCTAAATACTACTCAAGTCATACGCAAGAAAAAATAAAACCCACAACCTTTTGAGATCTTGTAACTTCATCTCAAATTAGGTTCAAAATCATCCCAAAAATCAAAAATGATCCCACCACAAAAAAAGAAAAAACAATCAAAGGATATTTCTGATCAGGTGAAACCAATATCAAAAATAAATTTCACTTACCGAATATTTTCTTTGGAATAATCGGGAAATCGGATGTGAGTGCTTCACTTCGGCCATATTTATTTTCAGCATAGACCCGGAAGTAATATTCACAATTTTCAAAGAGAGAGGGAACCAAGTAAGACTCAATATTTTCAGTGGCACGTCCAACATACATCCAGGTCTTTTTAGATGCCTCACGCCTTTCTACAATATAACCAGTAATTGGAGAGCCTCCATCATCTGTTGGTGGTTGCCAACCAATAGTAGCTGAGTCACGAGTTATCTGGACAGATTTAATTGGTCCCATGGGACGTGAAGGTGGACCTAAATTATACAATTAAAAACATGGCAATGCTAACAAATATAACAATCACATAAAAATTCCTAAAATTAAAACATAATTTTAATAAACAGATGTTTTGAAACAGTCTTAGTCTCTGACATTTATAAATTTCCTCAAATGTCATATTTGACCCAGGAGATTTGTTGAACATCCAATTACAATTCCCCATATGTAATCAACTAAACCATCAATTTTTATATGCATTGAAACATACCATATGGGCTCTTGGGAGTTACTGGTCGTTCACTTTCCAAAGGACCACTTAGGCCTTTCTCATTCTCAGCATAAACTCTAAACATATATCCGACTCCACCAAGTAAGTTAGAAACATCATAGGTTGTGTCATTAGGACCAGTTTTTCCAACTCTCAGCCATTTAGATCTTCGAATATCTGCTTTTTCAATAACGTAACCACTAATAGGTGAGCCACCATCGGTCTCTGGTCTATACCATGATAAAGTCACACCTTCATCTGTTATATTACTAACATCAAGAGGGCCCAGTGGCTTAGACGGTTTGCCTAAAATTTAGATAAATAATATATATTTGATTATGAGTTGATTATTCTCTAGAAGCAAATGAAAACCATAAGAGTATTCTTATACACTGAAGTGTTATTACCAGAAATATTTGTTTAATTTAATTTAAATATACTAACCTTTTGGTTTAGCTGGTACAACTGCAGTTTTCAGCTCAGCAGGTTTACCAGGTCCAGCAGCAGTTTTGGCGCGAACCTGGAAGAAATACTCATAACCCTCTATTAAATCTGTAGCCATGTAGTTATACTCATATGCATCTGCTAGTCCAGATTTTACCCATGAAGCAGCTTTTCCTTCTTTCTGTTCAACAATGTAGGCAGTAATAGGTGATCCACCGTCATATTTGGGTGGTTTCCATTTCAAGGTAGCAGAATTTCGATCGATATTTGTTACATCGAGATTCTCTGGTGCACCAGCGGGTTCTGAAAAGTAAGTTGTTACAAATTACATCTCTAGCAAACAAAAAAGAATTTTAACATAGACTGGTTGCCACTATAATCTCCTAATTTAACCATAACCTTTGTTGTATCTGAATAATTATGCAATATGTAATAAATGATCTAAACATACTTCCTTAACCTTACTTTGCCCAATTATTAAAAGTACATGTTTTTCCAGAAATTGAATCATAGAGAAAATTATTTTACCAAGTGATCTTTCTGGCATGACTGGTTTCCTGAGGTTAGAAGCTTCACTTAGACCTTCAGCATTTTCAGCAAATACACGGAAATTGTATGAACGTCCTTCAAGAAGATTTCTGCACTTGAATTTAGTATCTTCAGTATGTCCAATTCTCTGCCATTGACTGGTGCCAGCTTCTCTACGTTCCACAACATAACCAATCAAATCTAGTCCTCCTAGCTCTGTTGCAGGAGACCATTCAATGAACACAGCGTCATCTAGAATTTCTGTCACTTTTATATCACCAGGTGCTGATGGAGGGTCTGTAAAACAAATAGAGCATTAAGAGAAAATCTCCCAGATTTGATATATATGAAGGTGCAAAAATTTTAAGGGAATGTACTTTTTTTAAAAAACAAAACAAAACAACAACAAAACTATGACAAAGTGCGCAATAAACAGGTATAATGTCAATATATTGTAACACACTCCTGATACCTTGACTGCATTAGTACATTTTAGTGGAAAATATACTCGTTAAAGTTTAAAATGTATCTGTATTAACAGTAATGTGTAATGGAAGATACTATATATTTTTTCAAACACTTACTGTAAGGACTCTTTACTTTCACAAGTGATTTCATGTCCAATGGTTGTCCAACACCTATTTTGTTCTCAGCATAAATTCTGAAGTTATAGTCATGTCCTTCAGCTAAATATGACAGTTTGCAACTTGTGACAGATGGACCAACTTTGCAGGCACGAACCCATCCTCCAGATTGTGTGTCCAATTTATCAATAATGTAACCAGTAACAGGAGAACCACCATCATCTAATGGAGTCTGCCAGGAAAGGGTCATGGAATCTTTCTGGATATCTGAAGCCTTGAGTGGTCCTCTTGGAGCACCAGGTGCTTCTACAAAAATATATTCACATTTGTCAGGATAGGTCAAATTTCAATGAAATTATTTAAGAAAACTATAGTGAGTGAAATGTCCACTTGACACAAACCAGGTCATTTTGGGACAAACATATGGTAGATTTTTAGTTCAATAATTCACTTGCGTGTAGGGGTATTTAGCAGTGGGAGGAACCCGGAGGACCCGGAGAGAACCCACAAGGTTTGACAGGCGACCCTACTCCTTTTCGAGTACACACAGAGAATCAAAACCACACCACTTAACTCACTGAAAGATCTTATGACCTGACGCTAATATGTTTCACCATTTGGTCACACTCCCAGCAGACAATAAAATGTGAGAAGAAAAAGTAAAGTTCTGATCAGGAATTAAAACAATTCAGATAATGGAATGTGTGTTTTATATCAATTCATAAGTAATCGATCACCTTGTTTGATTAGATGACCTAAACATTTACCAGTGTAGGATTCAAGTGACCATTCCAAATAGGATATGGTCCTTGGTTCAATATTTATGATGCAATGTTTGCTACCATCAAATTTAATAATATAGAAAACAACAAGGTATAACAAGGAAGACTAAACACGCTGAAAACATGAAAACAGTACTGTGTATAGAATATGCTGGCTGATTAATCAATAAACATCAAACAGGACATACGCAACTGAATCTTACCTAAAGGTCGCATTGGTTTGATAGGTGTATCCATAGTAACTGGTTTGCTCCTACCGACTGCATTTTTAGCACTTATTCGGAAATAGTATTGCTCTCCTTCCTTCAGATTTCTAACAACATGGCGGTTAACACCATCATCAATATCAGCTACTGTATACCAATCTTTGGACTTGCTATCTTTGGCTTCAATGACATATCCAGTTAATGGTGATCCACCATCATCAAATGGTGTCATCCAGTCTAGTGTGACTGAGTCAGGCATTATCTTACTACCACGGAGTTTACCCGATGGTGAAGCAGGTACTTCTGTAAAAGAAATCAATATTGTATGATAACTATTGAAATTATTATTATGTGTTTCTCCAAAAAATTAAAACTATTCAAGAGTAGAATAGTTCTTACATTTAAGAAAAATAATTAAAGAACAATATATCATACCTGGTTTACGTCTGATTTTAACAGCTCCATCAGACTCCAGGGGTTTACTGATGCCTTCATCATTTTCTGCAAAGACTTGGAACATGTAATTGGTGCCTTCAATAAGCTTGTCAACAAAACATGTATGTGTTCCAGCTCTTACAGTGTCCACCTTTATCCAGGCCTGTCTTTTCACATCTCGACGTTCTATAATATAACGCTTGACAGGTAAACCACCGTCATTTTCTGGTGGTTGCCAGCGAATAGTAGCTGATGTGGCATCTGATTCAACAATTTCTAGTGGACCTTCTGGCTTCGATGGAACTTCTACAATAAAAAAAACCAATTAAAATACATTGGGATCACATTAACTTTTAACTACTGCCTGACTGAAAAATGTAAATCAAACTGAATTAGTGCCAAGGAGCAGCATAGTGATGTTGAATGTCAAGTTTGTAATGCTTTATTTTATCATTACATTCATTAAATTTCGGGAACCAACTTACTGAATGGACTCTTTGGTACAATGGCTTCATCTTGATCTGTTTGTAGTGGTTCAGAAAGTCCAGCTACATTTTCAGCCATAATTCTCACCAAGTAGCCTGTGCCTTCTTGAAGATTCTTTAGTTCAACTGTTGTCTGAGTCTCTCTGACACGATCAACCATAGACCAAGATGTTTTCCAGGCTTCCTTCTTTTCAACAACATAATGTGTAATTGGTGACCCACCATCTTTTAAACTTGGTTTCCAGGAAACAGTGGCAGAATCTCGTTGGATATTTTTCACTTCAAGAGGACCCTCAGGAGCTGATGGTGGCTCTATAGAAATAAAGGATACTACATTAAATTAAATATGTAAAAAGAAATACAGAATCAGGAAATAATTTATCAAAATAAACATATCACAATATATTTGTAAAATCATGCTTACTGAGTTGTTTCTTGGGAGAAATAGGTTTATCTGTTGTGCACTGTTCACCACGTCCCATTGCATTTTCAGCTGTGACAGCAAAGTAATATTTCTTGTTTACATCTAGACCTTCAACAGGGAAAGTGGTACTGTAAGGTTCAGCTTTTCCAGCATCAACCCATTTACTATCAGCTTTATCTTCTCTGTATTGGATGTGATATTTTTTGATGTTCATTGTACCATCACTGGAAGGTGCTTTCCATTCCAGAGTGACAGCATCAGCAGTAATCTTGATAGCTTTCAGCTGCGAAGGTGCCTCAGGTACTTCTACAAAAAAGGGGAATATGATGTGGTTATAGCACATGGAAATGGGAAAAATAAAAGTAGACATTTACTATAGTCTTGTGCATGTGTGAGATGTGGATTATTAGTATTGTTGATAATAAATAGCATTGGTAAGAAGGAAGATCAAATAAATCTATATTACACCAAGTATGATTGCAATATTGCTCAACTTAGTTCTAAAATATTTTTGACACATGGACAACAACCTTTTCTTGTCATATTGTCAGAGTAACCATCATTGGTTATCTACAACACATACAATAAAATATACTGTTTCTATAACCGTTTCATTAGATAGCATGGCTTCTATATATGTGCACTAATTTGTATGGGCCATTTATATTTTTGGTTTAATTGATCATAGCCATGTTGAGGAAAAATATGCCAGTTTTACTTTCAGCTAATTTTCAGGAATATCAGTCTTGATTGGCATATATGATCCAGGTAGAATCCAGGCTACATACCTTGTTTCTCAACAGGATGGATAGATTGTTTCCCATCTAATGGCGGCCCTTCACCTTCAGCATTTATAGCAATGATACGGAAATCATATTCATTCTTTATTACAAGTTTTCTAGCTGTGTATTTTGTTGTGTTTCCATCCACCATTCCAGCTCTTCCCCACAGAGACCTGCGGGATTCCTTGATTTCAACTGCATATTTCAGTATAGGGGTTCCACCATCACTTTGAGGAGGTTTCCATTCAATGCTGCAAGAATCTTTGGTGACATTGTCAAATTTCAATGGGCCAACAGGAGCTGAAGGTTTATCTATTAAATAACAGATACATAATTAACTGATATTTCAGAAGTTTGATGGTTAATTCTATTTTTTTCTATTATTTCCGAGTAATTATAAATTAAATATACAAAAAAATGTACAGAAAAAATATGGAGGAGCAAGCCATAATAATAAAACTGACCATAAGGACTCTTTATTTTTAGCAGTTTGGATTCAAGTCCTTCTCCAGTTCCTTCTTTATTAACAGCAGAAACTTTAAACATGACTTCACTTCCTTCAACTAAACCTCTTGCAGTGTATTTAGTAGCACTTGTTAGTGTTTTCTCAACTCTGTTCCAGATGGTTCTAAGAGCTTCCTTCTTTTCAATAAAATAACCAGTAATAGGTGATCCACCATCATCACTAGGTGCTTTCCATTCTAGTGTTACTGAATCTTTGGTAATATCAACTGCAGCTAATGGACCTTCTGGTTTACCTGGTGCACCTATATTGATAAAATTGCTAAATAGTAATGAGCTTCTAATTAGATGATCACAACAATATTCATAATATTTTTGAGTAACATTGAGTATTAAATGGCACTTTTTTCTCCTTTTTTAGAATTACACATTTTTGAATTTTCATTCATATTTTTTGTATTCATAATTTAACACTTACTTAATCCCTTGGTAGGTGTAATGGCATCCGATTCCAAAGGCTTACTACGTCCCACCTTGTTGATGGCAGAAACACGGAAATAATATTTCTTATCTGTTTTCAAGTCATGGGCTGTAGCTTTTGTCACCATGTCATTGGTAATTGTAACTTCTGTCCACACATCTTGATTAGTTGATATCTCTACAAGGTAACCAGTGATTGGTGATCCTCCATCATCTCTTGGTTTCAACCAATCAACAGTTACTTCTGTTGCTTTGATGTTGGAGAATCTCAGTGGACCAACTGGTTTTTCTGGAACACCTTATAAATAGAGGTACAATTTTTAACCAATTAGATTACTACAGACACTGGACAGAGAATACTTTTTCTAAGAATAATTTATGGGATGATAAGATAAAATATGCAACTCACTGTATCATATCTGATAATTTTAATATCAAAAAATAAATAATATACTGTAAACAATGAAGCACTGTCCAGAGACCTAATGTAAAAAATTCAACTTACGAGCTTCCTTAACCGGTTTAACTGGTTCTTTCATTTCACAGGCTGGTCCAACACCCTCTTCATTTTCAGCTGTGACACGGAAGAAGTATTCACTTCCAGCTCGTAGATTCTCAACAGAATGATTAAGGATTGATCCCTTTACAGTGGTTACTTTAACCCATGAACCATACCGTTTATCACGTCTTTCTAAGGTATAGCTCTTGACCGGTAAGCCACCATCTTTAACTGGTGGTCTCCATTTAAGATCTACAGATGTTTCTTTGACATCTTCAACAGTGATTGATTCTGGGGCTGATGGAGCAGCTACATAAAGGAAACATTCCACATCAGTGATTAAACATTAGATAAAATGTTTGAAATAAGTACAACATAGTTTGTAAAAATAATCCTACATCTTACTTTTATGCACCAACCAGACAAGAAGACAAACACATGTCATGCAGTGCTGTGAGCGAAATTCTGCCCTCTCGGGCTATCATTAACGCGCTACCAATGGTACAGATGTGATCTTTTTTTATTCCATCTGAATGACTAGATGTTTTTCATTGCCCGACCCTCCCCATCCTGCACCACTGGTAAGGGGAAACCAGGCTGCTAAAGCCTAAAAACTTTCTCATCAAACACCAGGATAGAACCTGTGACCTCCTGATTATCGAGCCACTGTGATCCCATATGACTAAAATTAAACCATTCTCTAACAGAACAATGAAGATTAATAATCAATTACAGATAATTATACACTTACAGTATGGACTCTTTGGTAAAACAGCAGTGTCCGATTCCAGTGGTTCTGACTGACCTGCCATGTTTTCAGCCATGACCCTTAAAGAGACTTCCTTGCCTTCTTTGAGATTTGGAACTTCACATGTCAGTTTATTGGCATTAACTTGATCAACAAGAGACCAGATAGTCTTGTATTGTTCTCGTTTCTCAACCACATAACGAGTGACAGGAGATCCACCATCTTTTTCTGGAGCATTCCAAGAGATTTTTACTGATTTACGTTGAATATCAGATATAATCATTGGTCCCACTGGAGCTGAAGGTGGGTCTAGAAAAAATCAGGTATAAACATAATTAATAACATGATCACCAACTGTTAAACCTATTTTGCTTTAAGTGCTTAATTTAGGTCTGGTTATTTGACAATCTACATAGTGCAGATACTGGTGCATAAACACTTAATGGATAAAAAATAACAAGATGACTGATGATGACTTACTTATTGGTTTTGACAGTTTAATTTTCTCTGTCTCTCTCTTTTCTCCTACACCTATTTGATTTTCAGCCGCTACAGAGAATGTGTAATCTTTCTCTGGTGCTAACCCTGTTACATCATAGTAAGTACTGTAATTATCTGTGGTACCAAGTCTCTCCCATTTATCATCTCCTTTCTTCATCTGAACAATATACTTCTTAATACGAGCTCCACCATCATCTTTTGGCGGTGTCCATTCTAAAGTAAGGCCGTTCTTTGTGATTTTCTTTATATGAAGCGAATCAGGCTGATCTGGAACCTCTGTAAAATGAAGAAATCTGTAGTTAATAATACTCCACAAAGAGAAATTGATCTATCTAAAGATCTCATTATTAAAGCACCTACATCCTTTTACAAACTCATTTTTGGATAATGTATGGTCAAATATGATTTCAAGCAAAGATGGGATTATGTATGATAATATAATGTATGATAGAAAACATTGTTTACCAATACTCTTAATATGTTTAATGCACAAACTTACTAATGATTTTCTCTGGCCTAAAAGATTCCATTGTTACAGCTGGAAGACCTTGACCTTCTTGATTGACAGCTATAACTTGTGCCACATAATCTGACCCGGCAATCAGTTTGGGTAAAGTGAATTTTAGATCTGTAGCAGGCACTTCACCAGCATTCACCCAAGCAGATCGTCTAGACTCTCTATATTGAATGATATAGTTTTTAATTGGACACCCACCATCACTGTCAGGTGCTTGCCATGAGATATCTGCTGTACTGTCAGTTACACTGGACACTTTAAGTTTTGTTGGTGCTGCTGGTTTGTCTAGAAAAACAACAAATATAATTATTAATGAAAACATGAAAGTGATTCATTAGAAAACACAAAACTCTGAAAATAAATAGTGAAGAACTTATTTCAATATTTCATGATTTTCATCACTTACCAAATGGACTTTTGGCTTTGACAGCTTTATCCATTTCTAGGAATGGACCAGCACCAGCTTTGTTTTCGGCAGCAACACGGAAGAAATATTCTGAACCTTCAGTGAGATTCCTAACAACATATTTTGTTTCAGCTGCATCAATCTTATCTGCTTTTGTCCATGTTGTGCGCAAAGCATCTCGTTTTTCAATAATGTATGATTTAAGTGGTACACCTCCTGTATCTTTAGGGGGTTGCCATTCAATGGTGACAGATGTACGTGTGACTTCTGGTGTTTTCAGTGGTCCAACAGGTTTGGATGGCAAAGCTGCAAATAAAAACATTCTTTTAGTCAAAAAAAATCATAAATGTATTGTAATTTACTGTCTTTGTTAACAGACTATTTCAAATATATAATATATGTATTATTACAAAAGATTACTTACCAGCTTGAACAGTAGGAGTGATGGTATCTGATTCAAGGGATTTTCCTCGGCCAACTTTGTTTTCAGCAGTGACACAGAACTGATAAATGGTATCTTTCTTTAGATCCTTGGCTTTGAATTTTGTAACTCCAGCTTCAGTTGTTCCAACCTTTACCCAATCTCCATCACCTACAGCCATTTCTATGACATAACCAGTAACCATGGAACCACCATCATCTTTAGGTGGCAACCAGTCAAGTGTTAGAGATTTTTCTGTTATGTTATCAAATCGTATAGGTCCTGTACATATACCTGGTGCAGCTGTACAAAATTGAGAAATATTTATAACATTAATAATCTTGATCAAAGAAGAAAATAATATAATATTTTTCACCTGTACTTTTTTACTTACATTCAGCTATACTTTCAAAATCAAAAATACTGATTTAATAAGGTAATTTCAAATGAAAGGTCTATACATCATACTTTAAAAATCAAAAATAACATTAAATTTATCTATCTAATAATAGACTAACTGAATAAATTACTGGAAGTAAACATGCAGCTTGTGGTCTTGTTGTGGGAATAAAATGAGAGGTGTTTCTATTATTTTAAATATTCAATGGTAAATATTTATTCTTCTCAAGAAGTAAGGAAATGATAAGAATGATTTCTATGGAAAGGTAATTATGGGAACTGCTAATGATATTTTTTATACCATGAATTCCACGTGGTATGGCTCCTTCAGTACTCTCCAATGCTGGAGAAACACCTTCTTGATTTTCTGCAAATACCCGGAAGAAATATTCACTGCCTTCAAGAAGATTTTGAATACAGTAAGAAGTTATTGTAGGCTTGACCTTGTCAACTATTATCCAGTGTGTGTATTTGGTGTCTCTGCGCTCAATATTAAACGATTTGAGTTCAAGACCACCATCTGTCTTTGGGGGTTTCCATTTTATGGATACACTGTCTGCTGTGACTTCTGTTATTATGATTGGTCCTTCAGGAGCAGACGGTACATCTGTAAGTTAATGGGTTAATCAAGTATTTGTTAGTATAACATTTAATTAGTTTATCCACACACATTTTAAAAGCATGATAATATAATATAATATGTTTTTTTCAATTAGAGTAAACAACAATATATAACATGCAATTTTTATGATTTAATATGATTTAAGTAATAATAATCACTCGCTTAGTTTTAATCTAAAAAGAGATCATTACCATTTATTTTAACAACTTTTTAAACACCTGTATACATGCATGTATGCTACAAAATACATTAATGTACGTGTTTCATAATACATGAATAATGTACGTGTTTCATATCTTTTGACTATCTATCTTTAATCCTGTCATAGTACTCGTATGACTGCCTATTTTAGTTACTGATAACAAAAAATCCATTTGATAAAAATTATTATATTGAAATATGATGCACAAATTTCCTTCAGATTTACAATGGTAATGATCTAAAAAATAAATAATGTTGTATTTGGACAGTGAAAAAATAAATAATGTTGTATTTGGACAGTGTTTCTTGCAAGCAAGTTAATTCAACCTTTTGGTTTTTGTTATAATTTTTAATATAGTATCCTGTCATATTTCACAAAAATATTATTGATAGAAAGCAGATTTTTTTCAGCCATTTGTTATAATAGTTTACACCACTAACATATAATAATTTCAATATATGGTTATAAGCACACACTGATAAAAACAATTCACAATAAAATACTTACAGAATGGACTCTTGGGTTTCATTGGTTTCTCAGTTTCAATTGCTTTAGATTTTCCGACAGCATTTTCTGCATAGACACGGAAATAGTAATCCTGAGACTCTTTGACATTCTTAACACAATACGATGTAGTCTGGGAATCAGTCGTAACAATTTGAGACCAGTTGACCTTAAAGCCTTCACGTTTCTCTAAAACATAGCCAGTGATTGGTGACCCCCCATCATCCTCAGATGGACCCCATTTCAATGTTATGCTTTCTTTAGTATAATCAATGGCTTCTAATGGTGGCTGTGGAGCTGATGGTTTTCCTGAAAAAGACAAAATGGTTGAGTATATGTCGCTTGCCTTACCAAAAAAAGGGGTTGTATAAATGCAATATGTCACCTCTTCAAAAATTACACACATATTAATTTACTGAATTTAGGATGTCACTTTGAAAAATAATATATTATGCAGGATTTACCTGCTGGTTTCTGTGGTTTAACGGGTCTGTCTGTTTCAGTCATTTGGCCCATACCAACTTCATTAACAGCAGCGACAGCAAAGAAATATTCTTTGCCTTCAATCACATGGGTAACAGTGAATGTTGTATCGTAACCCTTCACTTTACCAACATCTGTCCAATCCATTCCTTTACGTTCATTTATATAAATCTTATAGTTTATTATTTTACAACCACCATCCTTGAGAGGGGGACCCCATTCCAAGGCTACGTTATTTTTGGTAACTTTGGAGACACTGACAAATTCTGGTGGTCCTGGTAATTCTAAAAGCACAAGAAAAATATAATTCTTAAAAATATGCTGGAACAATAATGCAAGTGAAAGATGTCATAGGGTGCAGTATGGTTAAATGTTTAGTAAATCTTGTTTATATAGCTTATTTAATTTTCTAGAGGACCAACACTGCTGCTTATTTTATTAAAGATACATTATGGGAGATGAGATAACAAGTTGGCAGTTCTCACTATAATAGTTAAAAACTACATAATGTAAAGGCAACTTGCTGAAAATTTCAGTCAAATTGATCCACTATGAGCCGAGAGCCAAGCGGATGAAAGTTCCGCTTAGCCTCGATCATCATTACTGAAGTCGATAAGACAAAACAAATAGTCTTGATTATCCATTTAATCGTTAATCACGAAGGAAAGTTTTGCAGCAAATCGGACTGCAATCCAACAAATATCGCAGGCAATCCTTGACATAGAGAGCTGAATATGGTTTGGATAAGTTAATTAATCTCTAATTAATAGTTTTTATAACATTTCAGGCCTAAAGAAAGACCTGCAATAGGCCAATTTTGCTCTTGCGTAATGTATGTTTAACAAATTCCAATAACTAAACAGGAATTTTATTTATTTTTTAGAACTCAAGACATATAAGAAACTGAGACACACCTTTTTTCTTCATTGGTTGAGCAGTTTCAACTGAGATCAATGCAGGTCCGGTTCCTTCAGCATTGACTGCCATTACACGGAAGGAATATTCATTACCCACATTCAACTTATTGGTATCATACTGTGTTTCGGTGACTTCTGCAAGTTTTGTCCAGGTATTACGTTTCATATCTTTCATTTCAAGAATGTAATGCGTAATTGGTGTGCCACCATCATCTGAAGGCGGTTTCCATGACAATGATGCAGATTCCTCTGTTACATCAGTGATGGCAAGTGGACCAACTGGAGCAGATGGTGTGTCTATTTAAATAGAAATAATTCTCATGTAAACTATTTACTATAGACCAAAATTTAATTTTAAATTTTATTACTTCAACATCATTACATGGAATTAAAAAGCCATTGATGCAATTTCAAGAGAGAGTTTTACTTACTAAATGGACTTTTAGCAGTGAATTTTTCGGACTCCAGAGGTTTACTGATACCAACACTGTTCTCAGCCATTACACGGAAATAATATTCATTATTTTCTGCTAGATTTTGTACACAATATGATGTGATGTCAGGTTTAACCTTTTGAACCTTAGACCACTGTGTTCGCTTTGCATCACGTTTCTCAATATAGTAGCCAGTAAGTGGTTCTCCACCATCATCTTTTGGTGGTTTCCATTCAATGGTGATAGAGGTCTTCTGTATTTCAATAGCTATCAATGGTCCTACAGGTTTACCAGGTAATTCTAAAAGACAAAATTATAAAATAATATTTTTTCAACTGACATAGTTTATTATCAATTATTCTAAAACTAATATTTACTCAACAAAGCCCTTTGAAAGTTTTACTCTTGTTTTTGTATTTTGTGCCCTTACTTTTTTTTAAAAACAACTTATATCATTCCTTTATGTTTAAATTATTTATTAGTTACACATGAGAGTATTCTGAGTGAAACAATAAGTAAATCTTGGTATACTACTAAGTGTTATATTTTGTAATAATGCTTCGATATTTAAAGCTAAATAAACAACTGATGCATGTAAATATCTTACCAGGTTTTCTCTTAGGAGTAACAGGTTCTGATACAAGATATTTACTTTTACCCACATCATTTACAGCTTGTACTCTGAATACATGTTCTTTTCCTGTCTTGAGATTCATGGCTTTTAAATTAGTCTTGACACTCTTACTAATTTCAGTCCATTCTTTCTCATCTAAGGTATATTCCACAAAGTAGTGTTTGATTTCTGAACCACCATTATCTTCTGGCTGCTGCCAATTGAGAATGACAGATGTTTCCATAACATCACTGATTCTTAAAGGTCCTTTAGGAGCAGATGGCTCTTCTGGTACTCGTTTTGGTTTGACTGGGTTGGGCATTTCCAGTGCTTCACTGACACCTTCATCATTTTCCGCAAATACACGGAAATAGTAGTCCAAACCTTCTGTCAGATTCTGAACACAATATGATGTGATGTCTGGTTTGACCTTGTCTACCTTTACCCATGTCATCCTTTTCTTATCTTTGCGTTCAATAATATATGACTTGAGTGGCAGGCCTCCATCTGATTTTGGTGGTTTCCATGCAATATTGACTGAGGTAGCCAATATGTCAGATGTTTCAATTGGTCCTTGTGGTGGGCTTGGTACAGCTAGAAAAATAAAGTTATTTAATTATTAGGACTTGTACTTAGATGTAACTTATATTCTAAGTATTAAACTAAATTTCATTTTCAACAGACATGAGTGTACTCATTAGAAAACTTATAACTCACTATATGGGCTCTTTGGTGTAACACCTGCAGATTCCAACGGCTGTGATGTTCCAATGAGATTTTCAGCAGAAACACGGAAGAAATATTCCTGTCCCTCTTTAAGATTTTGAACACAATAACTGGTGATATCTGGTTTCACAGTGGTAACGGGACTCCAAGACGTTTTCCAGGTTTCACGTTTTTCAATGACATAACCAGTGATGGGAGATCCACCATCTTCCGTACAGCGACCCCATGACATTGTCAAGAAGGTCTTGTTGATTTCTGTGAATTTGATGGGCCCCTCTGGCATTCCTGGTTTTTCTAATAAAACAAAAACAATTTCTCTAACAAATGTGGATATAAATCTGAATAAATGCTTAACTTAAAATGAACATGGCTATAAAACATAAATAAACTTTTGTGTTTGAAATTACATGTATGTATTTGATACTGCTTTATAGAGAGAGAGAGAGAGAGAAATGGGGTTTAACATCCACTCGACACAAACTAGGTCATTTTGGGACTACTGCTTTATAGGAAAGGGGGGTTGGATGGCCGAATGGTTAGTGAGTGTGCACTCTATCATAAGGGTTGTCATTGAGTCAACTCGTGTGGTTTCGATTCCCCGGTTGTATTTGACAAGGGGAAGGGTCGCCTGTCCAACCTCGTGGGTTTTCTCTGTGTCCTCTGGATTCTTCCCACTGATAAATACCCCTACATGCAAGCGAATTTTTGAAATAAAATTGAACCATATGTTAGTACCGAAATGACCTAGTTTGTGTCGAGTGGACGTTAAACCTCATTTCTCTCTCTCTTATCGGGAATAAAATTACCAAGCGGTCTTTTTGGTGAAATAGGTGATTCTGTTTCCAGAGCTTCACCAACGCCAAGCTTGTTTTCTGCCGCCACAGAGAAGAAATAGCCTTTATCTTCTTTCAAACTCTTAAAAGTAAATTTAGTCTCCAAAGCACGAAGAGATTCAACTTTCTTCCATTCATTGGATTTCTCTTCTCTTATGCACAGATGATAAGCAGTAACCTTTGACCCACCATCATCTTTTGGGGGTTGCCATTCAATGGTAACATTGTCCTTGCCAATATTTTTAACATGTAGACCAGATGGCTTACATGGGGGCTCTGGAAAATAGAAAAAAGAAAACATTTGGAATGTGGCATGTCAATACACAGAGAACTCATCTACATCTTCCTGAAGTTAACAGGAACATTTATAAGACACTAAAGACTTCTCCATCGCATGGACATAAATACTGTGCATGAATTTCAAGTCAATCGGAATATAATTTTATCCTCTAAAGTTTCCACAAGATTTTTCTTAGTGATCAAAAGACATAACTCTTGATTGTTTTAAAGTGTCCATAAGATTTGTCAAAGTGGTCAAGGCCAATAACTCTTAACAGAAATTATCGTAAATTGTTGAGAATCCATAGGCCATAACTTTAGCTTCAGGGCATCCACAAGTGGTCAAGGGCCATCTAAATGTAGGCATAATTCAAGGACAATATTGGTGTCAGCCACTATCAAATATGTGATTGAACTAGTTAAACACGTTCATATAATTTTAACTCAGAGATAGATCATTGCTAAGATAGATTTGAAGAAACGAACATTTGAAGAAACAGAAAGACCATATACATTCCCTTTTTTTATTCATTCCATTTATTCATGGTAATGCACGTCCTTTTTCTATTTTTTTAGTGTTCTCTTATATAGTGACAGTCAGTTCTTTTTATAAATTGTCAGATATCCTCTCACAGTCTCATACAACAACTTTTGGTCTTCAAAGGAATTATCTGTGAGCAGAAATTCTTCTGTGTATCTGTTATCGTTCATTACTTCAGTCAGTTATATAGTCACCTCCGTTTCTTCAAATCTTCCTAATGCATCTATCGTAGCAATGAGCTCTGTGTTAAAATTATATTTTGAACGTGTTTAACCAGTCCTATCACATATGTGATAATGGCTGACAATAATATTGTCCTTTAAACCATGTATCAAGTGCATAGAGAAATGTTATCATTTAGCACAATTTTTTTTCTGTTAGGCTTAGTAATTTAATGTAAATAATATGTAAGCAAAATAACTCTGCATTACTATTTCTTCATGGTGACATTTAATATAATACATTTGAAACATTGTACATGCCATTATATATAGGCTTACCCAGTACTCTCTGTGGTTTAACAGTGTCCTTTGATTCTAAAGGAACACTAGATCCTTCTTCATTAAGAGCAATAACTCTGAATAAGTATTCTGTTCCTTCCGTTAAATCTTCAGCCTTGAAGGATGTAGTATCAGGGCTAACATTACCCACTTTCATCCATGTAGATCTGCGTGTGTCACGATATTCCAGTTTATAACCGGTAATGGGTTTACCACCATCATTTTCTGAAGGTTTCCAGGTTATGACAGCAGAATTATGTGTAATTTCTGAGAACTCTAGAGGACCAACTGGTTTGCTAGGGGGATCTGAACCAAATATATAAAAAAAGTTTTCATTTTTAACTTAATTTTCATGATAATAAATATTACTGTTGATTTCTTACTCATTATATTCCTTTTCAGTAAAATTATGTAAAACATACATAAAAGAATTAAAATAAACTTACCAAATGGACTCTTCGGTTTGATTGTATCAATGGTTTCCAATGGTTCACTGACTCCTAGTTTATTTTCAGCAGACACTCGGAAGTGATATTCTGTTCCTTCAACAAGGTTCTGGAACTTATACTGAGTTTTTGTGTCTTTGGTTTTATCCACTCGTGTCCATGTTGGACGTTTTGCCTCTTTCTTTTCCAGAATATAGCCTGTGATTGGAGAACCACCATCATCTGAAGGCTCTTTCCATTCTATCACCACAGAATTACGTTCAATCTCCACAGCTTTGATTGGTCCAACAGGTTTGCTTGGTGTTGCTGAAATTTAACATTCAACATATAAAAAACTGGAAGTTGGATATTTGAGTTTATTTCATTTTCTTGAAAAAAATTTAAATATAAATTTATGGATTAAACAATGCAAGATCTATATGATCATTTTCTTAATGTTATTTACTGTAGACTATCAATATGTAACTTACTTTCAGCTTTCTTTGGTGTCACAGGCTTATTGGTTTCAATGGGTTCACCAAAACCAACATCATTCTTAGCAGTAACAGCAAACAAATAACTAGTCCCTTCTTTCAAATCTGTGACTTTGAACTGTGTGTCATAACCCTTGACCTCATCAACCCTAACCCACTTGTCTGATTTGATATCACATTTCTCAATTTTATAACCAGTAACCTTAGATCCTCCATCTTCTGCTGGTGGTTTCCAATCCAGAAGGACAAAATCTTGGCCAACTTTGGTTACTTTGAGTTGCTTAGGGGATTCAGGTGGATCTGTAATGGCAAAAACAAATTATGTTTTAGCTTAAAACATTCAGTGCTTTGATTGAAATATTAGTCCTGTTGTTATACTGGAAAGGGGGGAAATTGTAAGTGGTGTCCACAGAGCTCTAGAATGGGTTTCTTTACCCAAGTTACACACAGGCTTTGACTTTAAATGTGTGATGTAGGCTAATTCCTATATTATTTGTAGGGTATTATGTAGATCTAATAACTTTCAGCATCAGTGGAGTAACATACCAGTTAGTGAATTTAAAAAAAAAACTTACTGATTTTCTTCTTTGGTTCAGCTGTCTCTCTAGATTCAAGAGGTGGACTTTGGCCTTCATCATTAACAGCTATGATACGGAAATTGTATTCAGTACCAACTTTAAGATCAGGTACTGTATATTTAGTTGTATTGCCATCCACACTACCAACTTTAGACCAAGCCGATTTAGTGGCTGTTTTACTCTCAATGATGTAATGTTTAAGGGGAATTCCACCATCTGATTCTGGAGCTTTCCATTTAAGATCAGCTGATTTATCTGTGACATTATCGATGACGAGGGGTCCTGTTGGTTTGGATGGTTTATCTGGAAAAAATTTTAAAAACCTCAGAAGGTAATCATATGATTGTATAGACAAAACATTCTTCAAGTTAATAGGATAAAAAGTTTATAATTAATTTTATGCAGATTAGAAAATGAAGTTTCTTACCAAATTCACCCTTTGCCTTGATAGGTTTGTCAGTTTCCAGAGGTTCACTGAGACCAATTTTATTTTCGGCAGACACCTTGAAGTAATATTCTGTGTCTTCAATCAGGTTTGTAGCCTTGTAGATTGTTTTATCAGCACCAATCTTATCTACTTTATTCCATGTACTCTTCTTTGCATCACGTTTCTCTATAACATAGCCAGTTAGTGGTGTACCTCCATCATCAGAAGGTTCTTTCCATTCTAGAGTAATTGAAGTTTTGTCTACTTCTATTGCCTTGATTGGAGCTGTTGGTTTACTTGGTGGACCTAATGAATAAAATCAAATTGTAAAAATCAAATATTGACGCTACATGAATGACATTATACCATCTGTATCAAGCCTGATGAAATAAGGCTTAAGGGGAAGTATTTCACAGCCGAAAAATTCCTATTGGTTTATCAATTTTGAATGTGACATGGGTATTTGAAATTATAATATACTAGATTTGAAAACAAGTCATAAATAAACTCATTCTTACTGAACTGTCTGCTAACATAAACATTGACTAATAAATATTAACTTCTATAAAATGATTACCTTCTTTTCGTTTAGGTTTGACTGCTTTATCGGTCTCAATAGGTTCGCCAAAACCAATTTCATTTTTAGCAGATACAGCAAAAAAGTAACCAGTTCCTTCTTTCAAACCAGTGACCTTAAACTGTGTGTCAAAAGCCTTGACTTCATCAACTTTAACCCACTTCTCTGATTTTTCTTCACAGATCTCAATTTTGTAGCCTGTAACCTTTGACCCACCATTGTCTGCAGGTGGTTTCCAGTCCAACATAACAAAATCATCTCCGACTTTGGTCACCTTCAACTGCTTTGGAGATTCGGGAGCAACTGTAAGCCAAAATGTATGTGCATGTTTAATGATTATAACACCAATAGTTCTATAGTTGTTTACATTCTTGAAAGATATTCAATAGCTTTGTCATCTATCTATTTATTTAAACCTTCAGAAACCAAAACATAAATTTGCATATAAAAGAAAAAAGTCACAAAATAAAATCTGAATACTAGCTAAAGGGGTCATTTTAATTTCTAATCATACAATTTGTTTATGTCAATTACTTATTCTATAAAAAACAAAATCTTATTATTCACCTATTTTCTTCTTTGGTTCAGCTGTCTCCTTTGATTCAAGAGCTGGACTTTGGCCTTCATCATTAACAGCTATGATACGGAAATAGTATTCAGTACCAACTTTAAGATCAGGTACAGTATATTTAGTTGTATTGCCATCCACACTACCAACTTTAGACCAGGATGTTTTAGTGGCTGTTTTACTCTCAATGATGTAATTTTTAAGAGGTAGACCACCATCTGATTCTGGAGATTTCCATTCAAGATCTGCAGATTTGTCTGTGACATTATCAATGACAAGGGGTCCAGTTGGTTTTGATGGTTTATCTGGAAATAATATAAGAATAAGGAAATACAGTGATTGGTTTTGAATTTAATTTCATTCGACATTAATATGACTTTTTATTTGTAGAATCGTTATTCATTGATAGGATATGCGAAAAGATTGTATATGAGAGATAAATCTTGTTTAAATTAGGCTACACTATATGACCAAAGCCAACAAAAGGAGTAAATGTATTTTTGTTACTTACCAAATCCACTAGTGGGTTTAACACTGCTTTCAGTTTCTAGTGGTTCACTCTGACCATGTTTGTTTACAGCAATAACTTGGAAATAATATTCTGTTCCTTCGATAAGATTTAGAACCTTATACTCAGTTTTATCAGCTGGTATCTTATCAATCTTGGTAAATGATGACCGTTTGGCATCTCTTCTTTCAATGATGTAATCTGTTATTTGAGATCCACCATCATCAGTTGGAGGCTTCCATACTAAAGTTACTGATGTTCTTTCAATATCTTTAGCCATAAGTGGTCCAACCGGTTTCTGTGGAGGACCTTCTGCTCTTCTTGGTATGACAGCTGAAGGTGTTTCTGCTGGTTCACCGAAACCAACTTCATTTCCAGCAGAAACAGCAAAATGATAATCCAAGTTTTCTTTGAGATCAGTGACTTTATACATCGTGTCAAAAGCTTTGACGTCAGCTATTTTCACCCATTTATCAGATTTTCCTTCACTTTTCTCAATTTTATAGCCTTTTATTTTAGATCCACCATCTTCAACTGGTGCCTTCCATTCCAAAATAGTGTAATCTTGTCCTACTTTAGATGGTTTAACTTGTTGTGGTGGACCAGGTGGTGCTAAAATGAAAAGAATGTTATATGACACTAATCATGCAACTGAATCATAACTTAAAATGAATGAATGTTACAGGATTTAACGTTACAACTAGGAAATTGTTTTGCTGTGGCTTTTATATATTTAAATAGAATTCTAACACTTATAAGGTATTAATATTTCATTATTTTTCTCCCAAAATGAATGAAAATTTCTGCCAACTGGAATATTTTATCTGCGACAGTAAACGAAATTGAACTATCAAAATATTTATTTCTCTTCGAAAAGAACTGTTGGCCATCAAATAATCACCAACTGAATTAATCATTAGGAGAGAGAGAAAAATGGGGTTAACATCCACTTGCCACAAACTAGGTCATTTCGGGAATAACGTATGGTTCAATTTTATTTCAATAATTGGCTTGCACATAGGGGTCTTTAGCAGTGAGAGGAAACCAGCGGGAGAAAACACACAAGGTTGGACAGGCGACCCTAATCCTTGTCATGTACAACCGGGGAATGAAACCATGCCAGTTGACTCAATGACAGATCTTATGCTACAACCATTCGGCCATCCAACCCCCCTTAATCATTAGGAGTAAATAATGACTGGAGATAGGCTTTATATATATCATTGGCAACCATCAATCAACTAATCATTAATGATTAGTGTTATTCATTGACACAATCCAGATTATCAGGCAATTGATTAATTTATAGTATGCTGCCACATGATTGACACTCAGTGTAATGGTTAATCTAGGATAAATACAATTAGAAGTTTAAGATTTTTTCCGCAAGTTCTCAAAAAGAACCGGCAGTATTGCAAAACATTACTGCCAAAATTATCGGCAAAATCAAATTTTAATCGCCACTTTCATATTTTTATCTCAAATTGTGACTTTGGTGAACGACAGCGTAAGCCCTGGATATGCTTCAGTTAATGGTTCTAGTCATTATTGCTGCTGTCTGTTGATACAGCTACCATATACTCCTAATGAAAAATGTTTATACGCAAAGTTTCATTGTTACTTAAAGCTTAACTTACTGATTTTCTTTTTTGGTTCAGCTGTCTCCTTTGATTCAAGAGCTGGACTTTGGCCTTCATCATTAACAGCTATGATACGGAAATAGTATTCAGTACCAACTTTAAGATCAGGTACAGTATATTTAGTTGTATTACCATCCACACTACCAACTTTAGACCAGGCTGATTTAGTAGCTGTTTTACTCTCAATGATGTAATTTTTAAGAGGAAGCCCACCATCTGATTCTGGAGCTTTCCATTCAAGATCAGCTGATTTATCTGTGACATTATCAATGACAAGAGGTCCAGTTGGTTTTGATGGTTTATCTGTAAATTACAAAGAAATAACATAATCACATACTTTTTTTTCTTAAATTTCTTTTCCTAAAATTTAAATTCACCCTGAAGTGGGCATGTATTAAAAAACAATTCACCATAGTTTCATTGCAACAAGGACTTGTGTCCACTAGCCACAAAGTCATCCTATCTATGCAATTTTATTTCTGATTTTACAAGTCAATTTAACAGCAAAACTTGGCTCTTCTACAAATTTTATTGAAAAGTTTTTTCCCCACTTACCAAATCCACTAGTTGGCTTGATACTGCTTTCCATCTCTAGTGGTTCACTGTTACCATGTTTATTTACAGCAATAACTTGAAAGTAATATTCTGTTCCTTCGATAAGATTCAGAGCCTTATACTCAGTTTTGTCAGCTGGTATCTTATCAATTTTGGTATATGATGTACGCTTGGCATCTCTTCTTTCAATGATGTAATCGGTTATTGGAGATCCACCATCATCAGTTGGAGGCTTCCATACCAAAGTTGCTGAAGTTCTTTCAATATCTTTAGCTGTAAGTGGACCAACTGGTTTCTGTGGAGGACCTTCTGCTCTCTTTGGTATGATAGCTGAAGATGTCTCTTCAGGTTCACCAAAACCAACTTCATTTCCAGCTGAGACAGCAAAACAATACTCCACATTTTCTTTGAGATCAGTAATTTTATATTGGGTATCAAAAGCTTTGACTTCAGCTACTTTCACCCATTTATCAGAATTGGCTTCACTTTTCTCAATCTTATAACCCTTTATTTTTGATCCACCATCTTCAACTGGGGCTTTCCATTCCAAAATAGCATAATCTTGACCTACTTTAGATGGTTTAACTTGTCGTGGAGGACCAGGTGGTACTGAAAATTGAGCAAATGAAAACAAATGTGTATTTAAGCTATACTATACTTTTAACACCTGAGCTAATTCTTTCACTGAACTAAATTTATTTTATGAGATTGACCAATAAACTTACATATTTTCTTAACAGGTTTTGCTGTATCCTTTGATTCCAAAGGCTCACTCTGTCCTTCAGCATTAACAGCTATAACACGGAAATAATATTCATTTCCTTCCTTCAAATCTGGTACTGTGTATTTTGTGGTATTTCCATCAACACGACCAACCTTTGTCCAAGTGGATCTACCAGTTGGTTTGACTTCTATCATATAGGCAGTTAGTGGAGAACCTCCATCTGTTTCTGGGGCCTTCCATTCCAGATCGGCTGAATTACTAGTGACATTGCTGATTTGTAAGGGTCCTACTGGTTTTGAAGGTTTATCTATTCAAACAAAAAGTTAATTTGATCAAAAAAACTTCACTTTAATATGAAAGAAAGAAATTGAATATAATGTACACTGAACACTAATTAGATAACTGGCCTTGATCTACAGAACGTAAGTTAGACCACTCACTCACCCAACCGTCTCATTATAAAAGAAAGTTGAAGAAAGATAAAAATGATGTTGAGATATCTGAATCAAGACAATACACATACCAAATGGACTCTTGGCTAAAGTAGACTTCTCTGTTTCCAGGGGTTCACTTTGTCCTACTTTATTTTCAGCAATAACTCTGAAGTAGTAGGCAGTATTTTCTGTTAGACCAGGAATATTGTGTTCTGTTGTATCAGCAGCAACTTTACCAACTTTAGACCAACTGTTTCTCTTTGTATCTTTCTTTTCAATAATATATCCAGTAACTGGAGAGCCACCATCTTTTTCTGGTGGTTGCCATTTAATTGTAACATTATCACGTTGTACACCTGTTACTTCAAGGGGACCAACTGGTGCTGATGGAGCAACTAAAACAAATACATACACCAATTTTATTTTTTGGTAACTCAATGCCACTTTATTTTATTGTAACAAAAATTCAATTTGCCTTTATTTGATAATACAGTTTTGTCAGTGGTGTTCAGAGACAAAACTATCAATTAATTGCAGCGATATAAGTCATTATAAGTCATTTAGCTTTCAGTTTAAAAATTGTACACTTTGTGTAATAGAGATAATGGCAGAATATGTCATTCCAAGTGTTTAGATTTTTGATAATAGGGTGAGTGTAAGATAATTTGAAATAGGATGTCATGAATTTTCTATTTTAAATAAGATATAGTGAAAGTGATAATGTCTGTTTAACAGATCGTGTCAACAGCTTACATTGGTCATTTTTTAAGATTAACATTACAATTAATTAATTGTTGATGAGGGAATTTGAGATGACATCCATCCTATTATTATTCTTATTATTATGAAGGGATAATTAAAAAAGACAATAAAATTACCTAATTTTCTTTGTGGTGTCACTGAATCAGAGATAAGATAATCTCCAGTACCAACTTCATTAATGGCAGCTACACGGAATTTATATTTGGTTCCTTCTTTCAGCTTTTTGGCATCATAAGTAGTAGTTTTACCATCTACTGTGTCAAGAGGTGTCCATGTTTTATCATCATCACTGATTTCAATGGTGTAATTCTTTATCTTTGAGCCACCATCTTTCTTTGGTGCAGACCATGAGAGTTTGACAGAGTCTTCTAAAACTTTATCAAACTTGATTGGACCTATTGGTTTACCAGGTACTTCTGCAAATTAGAAAACATCATAGTAATTATTATTTTGTGTGATCATCAAAAACAAAAAACAACAATAATTTACAGTTGGCCTCAAATACAGAATTAGAGAATCTCCTGATTTTCATCTATTTTGAAGAGGACATACCTGCTGGTTTTGTTGGAATAACCTCATCTGATTCTAATGGTTCTCCTTGACCTTCAGCATTAATGGCACTGACACGGAAGATGTAAGCAGTATTTTCAATCAACTTGGTGCATTTGTATGTTAAAGTCTTTTCATCAATACTAATAACTTTTGTCCAAGATGTTTTTCGCTTGTCTTTCTTCTCAATGACATAGCCAGTTAATGGAGAACCACCATCTGATTCTGGGGGTGACCAAGTTAATACAGCACTGTCTTCTTTAATATCTGATACAGCAATAGGTCCAATAGGTTTAGATGGTTTACCTAAATTGTGAAGAAAAATAAATGTCACTTTTGTTTCAAAATTAAAGATTGTGCAAACTTTTATCTATATTTTTATATTGCAAATACATCATTTTCTCAAATGTTAAAATGTAAGTTGATATCTAATCCATATAACTAAATTTCTCTTCAATGTAAATTATCTATAATATATAAAGCTAGGTTATGACCAAAACATTAAATACTTACCATTATTAGCATATACAAGAATCTCTTCAATTATTACTAATTACTTGAATCGTGCAACATTAAAATAAACGCGATAAACAAAATCAAAACTGTCACGCCAACACTAAAACAACTGCAAGATGCTAAATGAATAAAATCAAATGACAAAACATACAAATAATATTAATTTATGGTTTAATAAAATTGGGGCCTCTAAGAATTCGTCCTGTTTTCAGTACAGTAGAACCTTGTTCCATAATTAACAATGGCAAAGCTTGATATATTATCCAAACAATTGAAGTTTATGTATTGTTTAATGGTCGAGAGCGAGACATTAAGTAATATATTGTAACAACAAGAGGACCGTCAGGTCCGAGTGTTTTTACAATATATTACGCAATGTCTCAGCTCGAGACCATTAAACATCTTAAAATACAGACACTCCGCACGTGCGTTTACAGTGAAATACGTCACTCGAGTCTAATATTTGACAAGGTACGATTGGCAAGTTGCCCGTACGATTATTTGAAATAATGGTACGCCAACATCAAAGGGTGACGTCACATCTGTATTTTAAATACAAATATAGTAGTCTAATATCATGTTAGGCATGGCTTGTCAAGCAAACTGTACCAACATATCTAAAAAAAAGCAACAAGGTTCTATTTCTGCATCTGATATCAATGGTGGAGTATGAAAATAAAACAAAAACATAAAAGTACATACACACTAGCATAAAAAAAATCACATGCACACAACAAATAAATAAATCATTAATCACTTTGATATAAAACAATTTATTTCAGACAACTAAAGCCTAATGGGTATAATTATGATTGCATTTGTAAATAAAAAAAAGTCATGCATTAACACCAATACCCCAAAATGTAATTACACAATAAAATAATAAAATGATAAAATAGATTATTAAGTTTTGATATGTATCAAAATTTAAAATATTTGGTATTTCTTCAACTGATATGTAAATTATGGAGATAGTTTAGTTTAGACTATAAGTTATATCTTATGCTGACAAAACTATGTTTATACTGTTTAAAGGTTAATTATAGATATATTTCCTGATAAAAAAAGGTTGATTTAATTCAGTAACAATGAGTATAAAAACCAACTAATAAGAATATTTGACATTTAAAAATCAATTTCCATTTAATTACAATAATATAATTTTGATTCAGCCCTAATACTTAATAAATTTTACTACATATAAGTGTTCTAATACTGTCTTATGGGCCATTTTATATATTATTAGTATTAAATACTAATACCTATTGCTTTACTTAGATTAAATTCTTAAAATGTAACAAATTTTACATAAAATATCAGAACGAGTTATTGCAATTGTGAAATTTGATTTTTATATTGCAAACAGTAAATGCATTGTCTTATTGCCGAAGAAATAAACATAAAAAGTATCTATACAAAACTTGCTCTTTTTGATTTCTGCCTATCTATATTTAGCGTATTCAGTATTTGATCAATATCGCTAAGAACAAAAATAAAATGTAATAAATATGAAACACAAATGCTTTTGTCTCAAAAGTTTAAATATTTCAAATTTTATTAACTTCTTCTAGACTTATCAAACTTAACATGGAGATCACAGAGTTACAAGTTTGTCATGTTAAATGTATAAATAAAAATATATAACTATATGTAAATATATAATAAAGGTAGATAAAATCTCTTTTTGTTAAAATCTACAACTACTTAACGTTAATAACACTATATTTAATTAACAAAATATTAATAAAAAATATATCATCTATAAGGAAACATGTACTGTAACATCAATTATTAAGATCTTTATTGTGTCTGACTGGCTACTATGTACAAATTGATCTCTATTTTTATGTATTTTTAAAACCATATTATTTACCGATATGAAAACACAACCATTCTTGAAATTTTTGTAAGTTTACAAAAAATAAATCTTTTGAAATAAAAGATGTGTTTTAGTTTCTATAAAATAATCTAAAAATATCATGATGTCATTTCACACAATACAACAGTCATTTAATGTAAAAAAATTTAAAAAATTAAAAAACTACAACTATTTAACTAAAAATGAAATTAGAAATGGTTTATCACACTCCAAGCATTTCACAACATCAAAATGTCAGTTTACACCATGCCTTTTTAACCTACCAAATGGACTCTTGGGTATAACTGGTGAATCCATGGCCAGAGGCTCTGATATTCCAACTTCATTTTCAGCAGATACACGGAAGAAATATTCCATACCTTCTGTTAACCCTGTTGGGGTGAAAGTCAGTTTGTCTCCTTTCACACTACCAGCTTTAGTCCACATGTTACGTTTGGCCTCTTTACGTTCAATGATGTAAGTTTTAATATCTGCACCACCGTCATCTTTTGGTGGTTTCCATGTCAAAGTGACAGAGTTACGTTGTATATCATCAGTTGTGATTGGTCCTTCAGGTTGGCCTGGTACATCTGTAACACCAATATTCAATATTTTAAAGGATGTAAATTGTAAAGACAATCCAAAATATAATATAGAGTTTAAGAGCATTAATATACAAATATACTTTTAACTAAAACCAAAATCAGTAAATTCTACATGTAACTTAAGTTATGGCTATATGAAGTTTACATTTTTGCAGCTGAGATAAATAAAATAATAATAATAATTCTGATCTCTTTTCAGAGCTAGCTCGTTCATTGTGGCTTAACTGTATCAAGTTCTGTGTTCAAGTGAAAGGCTTACAATACGAATATAGTTTTCATTGCTGAAATAGGAATCATGTTTGCTATGGCAGCACGTTCCATGTGACAATAACATGAGATCATCTTATCTTGTCACATATATTGGTAGAATGTATGGCATACGATCATTGCCAGATATGATTAATATCAATGTACACTGTAGATGGGAAAGTTTACACTATGGGGTATATACATCATGAGGAGTTTACAGTGTTTTTATTAAATTAGTTTTTTTTCTTTATTCAGAAGTCCTTAATTCAATTACAATGTAGTAAAATGCAACATTCATTTTGATTCTGAGATATATTTGTGAACCATCAGACTAGTTGCCCATTTAAGAATCCCATCACATTAAAAAAAGATTATTATGTTGATTATTAACCATCAACTTACCAATAATCTCTACATCAAATTTAGCAGTGATTTCTCCAGCATCATTTTCCGCTTTCAAGATATAAAGACCATCGTCTTCCTTTAGTATTTTCTTAATAGCGAGTGAAGTTGTAGTGTCCTTAATATCCACTGTCATACGTCCTGATGTCTTTAATGGTTTATCATCTTTCACCCACAACAATCTTGGTGTTGGGATACCAGAAACCTTTACTGGTACCTTCAAGTTGGCACCAGCTTGTAAGGTAATCACATCCCTGAACTTGTTGTCAAATTCAAGATATGGGGGAGCTACAAAAAAATTTTAGATTCCAAGTTATGATTATATCCCAAGGCCAAAAATTCTATTTGTTGGTATTCTATTTGTTATTCATCATTATATTTGTTCATTTTCAATGCTTAAATTTAAACTAATCTGATTTCACAATTAATATAATTTCTAAAACACCATTAAAATACAGAGCACTGAATTTGCACAAACAAAAACAAGAAATATATTTACCTTGTATTTCTAGCGAACCAGAGGTGTTGACAGTCCCTAGATCATTGCTAGCTTCTACCATATAGCTTCCACCATCTTTCTCTGTGACATCAGTTATTGTCAATGTTGCAGTGTTACCATCATATAACATCTCATGACGTTTATCTTCATTCACTTCTCTTTGATCTTTAATCCTGTTATATATGAAACATGTAGCAATCAGGAATAATGCTAATTCTGTATATCGGCTATTTAAAAATCATTGCGTGACAAGGTGACATTTTAAAAATCACTGCATGGCAAGACAACAATTTTTAGTTTGATGTCAAACTAGTTACAATTTTTGACATGTAATTAAAGAAATCGAATATTAAGCTATTAACCCTCAAAACGTTTTTAAAAAGTTCCAACTTACCATTTAATAGTTGGCACTGGTTCACCATTGATTTTACATTCCAGTATTACTGTTTCATTAGCCATTACAGTTAAATCTGGTAATCCTTCCAATACAGTTGGTGCTTCTCCAACTAAAAAAACCAAATACCCCGGTAGATATAACATCAGTTAACAATATGATAAAAATAAATATTACAAAAAGTTTGAAGAATGTTTAAAAAATGATGATGATACGTTTTCCTTTCTTTAATTTTTTTTTTCATATTAGTGTTATTAAACACTAATATGCCAACAACATAATTCTTTTTTATGAAAATGTTCTCTGGTTGCTTTTACTAAAACAAAGTATAAGAAACTAACTGATTGGATCTTTGGCAATTGTTGGCTGAGATGGTTGTGATGGTGGTGATAATCCAGCTTTGTTTTCAGCTAAAATACGGAACTCGTATTGTGTTCCCTCAACTAGATCTTTAACTACAAGGTTGGGTTCAGGTACTTTAATATTTTGGCTGTAGACAACCCATCTGACTGCACCTTTAAGCCTCATCTCAATCACATAGTTAAATACTGGACTTCCGCCATCTTTCTCTGGGGCTACCCATTTCAATGTCATGGATTCTTTTGTTACATCAATAATTTCTGGTCGACCTGGGGCATCAGGTTTATCTGAAGAAAAATAGTAAATATATAAATTACCAACACTGCTACAGATTGTGTTCAAAGATATATTTATAGAAAAGTAAACAAGATGATTAGGAATTTGGGATTTCGAGTTTTAAAAGATACAGATAATGTATATTCTGCTTACCAAATGGATCCTTGGCTTTGATTGGACCAACGGCATCAGTAGCTTTACCAGCTCCTGCAGTGTTTTCGGCAGTACATCTGAATTCATACTCGTCATTTTCTACAAGATCAGTGACAGTATAGATGGTGTCACGGACAGGGCTCTTATTGCATTTCATCCATCTAGGACTGGAACGAGTTTTCTTTTCAATGAGATAACCTGTCACAGGACTTCCACCATCATTTTCAGGTGGTACCCAAGTCAATGTTACTGAAGATCTGGTGACTTCTGTTGGTTGGAACTTTCTGGGTGCACTAGGTACATCTGCGATTCAAAAAGATCAAAGTTGTAGTCAAGCTGTATAGACATTTACAAAAAGAACAGGTTTTTCTTCTACTTGTACTTGAATTACCATTTTTCTACATTTTTACAAAGTTTGATAAGCTAACAAATAAAATGTACATATAACTATATAAGCATCACTTACCAAATGGACTCTTGGCTACAATTCCTTCAAATATTTCAGCAGGTTCACTGGCACCAATTTCGTTTTCAGCAGAAACTCTGAAATAGTATTCTGTACCTTCAAGAAGTTTTAATACAGTGTATGTGTTGGTGGCACCATCTACAGTGTGAACTGGCATCCAAGTATTGCGCTTGGCATCACGTTTCTCAATAACATATCCAGTAATATCACATCCACCTATGTTTGCAGGAGGTTCCCAGGAGAAAGCAATGGAATCCTTCTGTACTTCTATCGGGTGGAGATTGCTTGGTTTGGATGGTTTGTCTGAAAATATTTTTAAAATCCATTTCAATAACCTAAATACATGTACATGGTTCTTTGTTTTATGCTATGTTCATTGACAAGAAGGTATTATTTTGTTCCATTTACATATCATGGTTTTATACAAAAAATTGAGATCTTTGTATTATGTAATGAAATCATGTTATAGTAAAACTCTTCTTTATTCAGAAGATATGAAAACTCTAGAAACCATAAAAATATCTTACCTTTGACAATAACTTCAAAATCTGCTTCAGCTTTGCCTACAACATTTTCAGCAGTTATATGATAGACACCGCAATCATCCAACATAGCATTCTTGATGGTGACTGTAGAATATACGTCTGTAGTATCAATATTTACACGTTGTGATTTCTCTAATGGTTTGTCACCTAACATCCATTTTATGGTAGGTAATGGAATACCACTGGTGTTGACTTGTATGATAATTGTGGATCCAGCTTTGACCTTTTGAGCACTTTTTAATTTGTTGTCATATTCAAGTGCAGGTGGTGCTGGAAAATTAATTAATTTTTTTATTAAAGATGATATGTTATTCTACTAGTCAAAACAGTACACATATTTTACAGAAAAAAAAATATGAATAAAAATAAAAGTAACGCATATATTTAAAGGCACAATATTCATGAATTTAAGGCATTTATTCATAAATATATTAAAACCGATCAGTTCTAGCCTAGGTAATAGAGATCCAAACTTTACATTACATTACTTTCTGCTCTTTTCACACACCATCTTTATTGTCTTAGACATTTCTATCCATGCACAATGTGGTCAAGATGGTATCTAACCTAGGTTTTTTGTTTTAATTGTCTAAATTACTATTTATAGGACACTGCTCAGACCCAATTTTTAGCAAATTTAAATATGGAAAATATTTATTTATTTTCTAGAACATTGTGACTTTAATTAAGAAATATACTAATTACCGATAATATGAATAACATTATGTTATGAACTTACTGTGAACAGCTAGGCTTCCTTCGGTCTGAACTTTACCCAATGGGTTAAAAATTTCACATTTATATTTGCCAGCATCAGAAGGTTCTGTCTGGTGAATCACTAATGATGCTACTTCATCTTCGTAACTCATTTCATATTTAGATGATTTATGGATTTCTTTAGATGCCTTGAACCTGTGGTACAAAGAATGAATGATTACTATAAACAGACAAGACATAATGCTACTACCAGTATATGGGGTATTAAAATTAAAATCTCAGTTTTAATTCTAGACAACTAATTCTTTCATATCAACACATAATCCAACATTATATTTGCACAAACTAAGGTTATCTCAAGGATAACATACCATTTAATTTCTGACTCTGGTTCTCCAACATCAACATCACATTCCAATATTGCATCCTTAGGAGCTATAACAGTAGCATCTAATAATGGTTCTATGATGACTGGTGGTGTACCAACTGAAATACAAAGACCAGATTACTACTGAATTTATTTCTTTAATATCAGAAGACAACAAAAATTTATTTTAAACAATTCAATGTAATAATTATTGATTTTAATTTATATTTTTGAGAAGCAACACAACAGTAGAATTATGGTATACATACCAATAGGCTCTATGACTTTAACTGGTTTGGTATGTTCAGATGGTTCTCCAGCACCTGCCTTGTTTTCAGCAGCAACACGGAATTCATACTCAGAATTTTCTCGTAGACCTATCACACTGAAGGTGGTATCAGGAACAACAACACCCTCATTAGCCTTGGTCCAATTGTAGGATCCTTTTGGTCTATATTCTACAACATAGTTTGTAATTGGACTACCTCCATCGGATTCTGGTGGAGACCATTTCAGAGCTGCTGATTTCTTGTCTGTTCCGGTAACTTCAGGTACAGCAGGACGACCTGGCACAGCTATAAATAATGAACAACACATAAAGTTAACTACAATTTTGATAAAAAATGGAAGGAAGACCTTTGTATGTAATGAACATGGAACCAGATTATGAACAGTTTACAGCTTTGAAAAACATTCTGTCAATATCACTGTCCTACCAAATACACTACATTCCTTTCTTTACATTTAAAAAATTGTAATTATAGCAAAACTTACTCCATGGATCTTTTGTCTTGATTTCTTCTGATGGTTCTCCTGGTTTGGATGGTCCAGCAAGATTTACAGCAATAACTCGGAACTGGTATACATTGTCTTCAATCAGATCTGTTACATGGTAGGTAAGATCTGTCACAGGTTCCTTGGTAACTTGTACAAATCTTGGACTGAATCCAGACATCTTTTCTATCATGTAGCCTGTTACAGGAGATCCACCATCATTAGTAGGTGGTGTCCATGTCAGATTTACTGAATCTTTTCGGACATCAGATACAGTTGGTTTTGATGGAGCATCAGGTACAACTGTAGAAAAAAATATATCCATAATTTAAATATTAAAAAATCAAATTAATTGCCAAAGGAATGAATTATCAAAAAATGTAATCTTTATTTGATGTTCAAAATCATACTTTTTGTTTTCAGATCTGTAAATTTAATTCTATGCAGTTACAGTTCTATTTTAAAACTTACCAAACATGTGTTTGGCTGTGATTTTCTCAGATTCTGTAGGTTCACTCTTTCCAATTTCACTCTTAGCATATACTCGGAAAACATATTGAGCATCTTTGACCAATCCTTTAACTGGTAGTTCGAGATTAGAAGTTTCACCCAATTCATTCCAGGCTCGTCTAATAGCTTCACGTTTCTCCACAATGTATGATGTAACCGGTTTGCCTCCTTCATCTGCTGGTGGTTCCCAGTGTAACACAGCAGATTCTATAGTAATATCTGATACTGTCACATTCTGTGGTGGTGTTGGTTTGTCTAAATAAGAGAAAATAGTCAGATATAAGATATTAATATTAATTAAATCTTACAACTTGAATGACTATTAAACATGAAATTATTGTGCTCAATGGAAGTAAGAATGAATAAATGAATTTAAGGTTTTGGCCTATAGTAACTTTCATCCATTTCATAAAGAAAGAAATATAGATTATTACTTACCAAGGACAACAAGCTTGATATCAATGGTAGCTTTGCCATTAGAGTTCTCCATAATAACAGTGTAACTTCCAGTATCTGAACGTTTAACATGACTCAGTCTAATGGTAGTCATATTATAGATGGTTTCTGACTCCACACGTTTTTTATCTGGAAGATCTCCACCATTAAACTGCCAGCTGATTTTAGGTTGTGGATTACCTGAGAATGGGATCTCAAAGGCTGTCGACTGACCAATATTGAGGTAGACAATTTCTTCATATTTCTTGTCGATAAAGATCTTGGGTGGGGCTAGAAAATATAATACAATTCATGATTTAAATAATTTATTCTAATTTGAGTTTTACATAAGAGGTTATTTTATCTACCCTGTAGTGTCAACATATTTTCGGCATAAATATTGTAGCAGAGTATGTTTATCATTACTCTCAAAGAAATTTCTCAAAGTAACACATATTAAAATAAAATAAAATCTCACCTTCAATAAATAGAGCTGCTTCTGATTTTTTACTCTTGGCAACAATTTTATAATTTCCTTCATCTTTACCCTCTATCTCATGTACTATTAGTTTATGTTCACAACCATCAACAATTATCTCATGTTTATCACCTGGTAATAATGGTGTCTCATTATGGAACCACACAACAGCTACATCAGGTTTGCTAAGTTCACAATCAAACACAGCATCACATGGTATGTCCTTGACATCTACATTTTCAAGATTACGAACAAATTCAATGAATTCTTCTGCAAAAAAAAAAAAATCATTTATTTATTTTCAAATCAAAACTAAATTGACAGTAACACAATACTACTAAATTTGAATGTCAAATAGAATATTTATACTACTACTGTATCTCTAGTCATATACATACTGGTTACACCAATTAACTAACCTTCAACTTTAACCGTAGCTTTGGATGTTTTGTCTCCAACCTTGACAGAGTATTCAGCTGCATCTTCTCCCTCCGCTTCATCAATTGTCAAACGATGGAGAGTTCCATCTCCAACAATCTTGAATCTGCCTTCAGCTGAAACTTTGTTACCATCCTTATACCAAGTAGCTTCACAGGGTTTGGATACCACACACTCCAAAAAGATCTCTTGACCTTCTGTAACTTGTATATCTGCCAATTGTTTCTCAATCTCTACTGGAGCTTCTGTAACACAAATTGCCACTTAATTACCATTACTGAACCCTTTGTTTCTCAGAAATTGTATATATCATCAACTGATCAAACATTTACAAATAAAATTAATTTACAGATAAACTATTACTTAAAAGGTAGAAAGAATCTACCTTTTACAGTGACCCTTCCTGATGTCATCCTATCCTTGATGATACATATGTAAACTGCTTCATCATCAGTTGTGGACTTGTCAACGGTTAATGTATAAACACAACCCTTAACACTTATGTGGACATATTATGATTCTTTTATATCCTTGTTCTTATTTTGAGCTGATACCAGATTTGCTAACTTTACAGCAGTGATTCTCAACCAGTGTGCCACGGCACACAGGTGTGCGGCAAGATCTTCCTAAGTGTGCCCTAAAATTTTGAACTCACACTGAGAAAATTTCTCACTAAAGAAGCCAGCTATTTGATTGATGAAATTTGAAACACTGCAATAAAGTAAGTTCACAGTGTTTTCTTCTTTATTTAGTTTGAGTCATTCTGTGTGTCTATTACTAGTCTGTGTCTACAGTTGTATGCCGTCTATGACTTGTAATGTTTTTATTTTGAAAAATTCAAATATTTTTCATATATATTTAGCCAGGTGTGCCGCTATTTTTTTCATGTGTTCCAAAGTGTGACGTTGGCAAAAAAAATTTTTGAGAACCACTGCTTTACAGAATAAGACAACAGACTATTTTTCTGGTACCTCAGAGGTTTAGTGTTAATGGGAAGTTAAATGTAAATTGATTTATGAACCATTTACATTTAATTCTGACTGCCATATTGCACTAACGTTTTGGTGTTATAAAATAAAAGTTAGAATTAAAGGTTAAAATTATATATTAACTATATATTTTTTTAAAGGTAATTGTCAGTAATCTGATAATATTAAATTAGAGTTGTTAATAGTGCAGTATATGGTATTTGTGAGATATGTTAATACCTTTGATTTTAAGATTAGCAGTGCTCTTTTTATCCTCGATTTCAATGGTGTAAGCTCCAGCATCTTCAGTAGATGTCTTATCAAGGATAAGACTGAACACAGCACCATCTACTTTCATTTTGTAACCATCGGCAACAGTTAATTCTTTGCCTGCCTTAAGCCATTTTGCTTTGCTACCAGCCCGTGAAACTTCACATTTGAATGTAACAGTTTCATTTTCTGTGGCCTGAATGTCTTTCAGGGGCTTGACAATCTCTATGGTCAATTCTAAAAGTTACAGATGTTAGTATAGAATTAGATTAAATTTGGTCCATGTGTGGACCAACAGACAAAAAATAGTTGTTTTATCAAAAATTGAGTTCAATAAAATTAATTCCCCACATTTACACTTCTAATCGTCCTTCACTGATTGTAAGTTGTTCATGCATAATATAATGTTATGATTAGCTTAGTAGAATAACATAAAAAGATAAAATATATTTACCTTCAACACGAACTTCTGCCTTAGATTCCTTGTCTTCCACAAAAATCTTATAAACACCCTCATCTTCTACTACGGATTTAGAGATGATCAGTTTATGAACAGCAAGCTCTGAAACAATTTTAATTCGTTGACTAGCTTTGATCTCATTACCCTCAAGTAACCAGCGTGCCTTTTTATTTGGTTTATTAACTTCACATTCTAAGGTTATATTCTTATTTTCTGCAACTTTGACATCTGTTAATGGTCTGATGAATTCCACTGGTAATTCTGAAAATACAGAATTGATGTAAACTTACTCTAATTGATCAATAATCTTTTTCTCCAAACTTTGTTAATTGTGCATTAATTGTTGGTTAGAATTGTTAGAAATATTAAAACCAGTATTAATGTACTTATATTTATTAGCTTGATTAATATGTTTTATTGTTATAATAGTTTGTTATAAAAATGATAACAGTCAAATGCAAGTATTAACCTATAACTGTAAGTTTAGCAGATGTTGATTTGTCTTTCACTTTCAGACTGATTTCACCAGTGTGATCAACAGTTGTTTTATCAATTTTCAGTGAATGTTTCATGCCATCAGCTTTTATGGTATAACCATCTTTGGATTTTACTTCCTTTCCTTTGTGGTACCATTTTACACTGAGTCCAGTTTTGGAAAGTTCACATTCAAATAAGACTGATTCATTTTCGTTGACAGTGAGGTCTTTAAGTGGAGTACTGAATTCTAATGGCAATTCTACAAATTGTAGATAATATAATAAGTTAGTATCATAAAGCTCATTCTACAAATTGTAGAAAATAGAATGTGTTAATATGATAAATAATAATAAAATAAAATATTAAAAATTAGTTTGTTAGACATGCAGATAATTAATATAAATGATTAAAAATAAATTATTTTGATTTTCTAAAATTAAAATTTTTTGCATCAAAATATCATAAGGTTAGTACCAGTAACAGTTAGTTTGGCTTCACTTTTAACTTCAGCAAATTTAACCATAAATTTGCCAGTGTGATCTATTGTTGCACTTTCAATTGTTATTGAATGCTTTTTATCTTCACTTTTGATAACAAATCCATCTTTAGCCTTAACCTCTTTATTTTTGTGTAGCCATTTTGGTGTTAATCCTGATTTGTTAACTTCACATTCAAAGGTAACTGTCTGTGATTCTGTGATTGTGATGTCTTTTAATGGTACTGTTATTGCCACAGGAATTTCTATTGAAATACAATATTTTATACTAAAAATCTGTATGTGTCTAAAATCATTCCAAATCAAATACTAAGGTAGCTTTCAATTTAATTCTAATAATAAATTCAATCCTGACTTAAAGGAGTTAAACCTTTTTGATTCAGGTTGAATGAGGTTGATCTGAAGTGCTGTTTCCTTTTGTAATGATAAAATTTTCATTTCCAAAGATTATGTTGATTTGTTTACTAATATTAATTTGGTTTTTGGCTTAAACTGTCAAGTTTTTAACATATGTCAGTTTATCTCAATATTGCTACTATGTAAGTATGGACCTAAAGTTTTTAATGTAGACAGATATACAATTCAACACATTGAAGTAATTAAATCGACACTTTTATTAACTACCTAAATCAAAGGGTCTAGTCATTTTAAAGAGAATAGTACTGAAAATGTCAAAAGTATGAGATTTTTATATAGTATTAGCATATATTTGTATTATTAAAATATGGATACAATGCTTTTAATCAAATGTACCTTTCACAGTTAGTTTAGCTTTAGATTCAACAGTATCAAATTTGACAGAAAATTTCCCGCTAGCTGAAACTGGTACATCTCTTAGCTCAAGCGTATGTTTGTTGCCATCAACTTTAATGATGTAATCATCTTTTTCCTGGACTTCTTTATCTTGGTGATACCATTTAGCGTCAACATTTGGTTTAGATACTTCGCATGTAAATATGGCAGTTTCAAATTCTTGAATTTTAAGATCTTTAAGTGGAGTTACAATTTTCAAAGAGGTTTCTAAAAAGAATATAGTTAGTCAGTGTTAAATATTAGTATATTAATATGAACATTTTTAAATATAGACCAAAATCTTTCATACTGAACACATCATATATCAATCTTCAAATAAATAAATTTCATTTTAGAGGAAGCAATGATTATGTTACTAGATCCTGTGATAATAATAAACCTAGTATTAGATCCTCAACCATATAAGATATAAGCAAAATGCAAGTATTAACCTATAACAGTTAGTTTAGCAGATGTAGATTTGTCTTTCACTTTCAGACTGATTTCACCAGTGTGATCAACAGTTGTTTTATCAATTTTCAGAGAATGTTTCATGCCAACGGCTTTTATGGTATAACCATCTTTGGACTTTACTTCCTTTTCTTTATGATACCATTTCACAGTGAGTCCAGTTTTAGAAAGTTCGCATTCAAATAAGGCCGATTCTTTTTCATTGACAGTGAGGTCTTTCAGCGGTTTGTTGATTTCTAGGGATTGTTCTAAAAATTGTAGAAAATATGTTAGTAAGCTAAATGTTTGATAAAAAAAAACAGTTAAAGTTAGTTTATTAATTGTGTTAGAAATAATATTCCAATTTATTTCATTCAGAGTATTTTGTTAAAAAGATGAAATTTTAAAATATTTAGTGTCAATGTTAAAAAGATTAGTACCAGTAACTGTGAGCTTAGCAGAGGTAGATTTATCTTTCACTTTCAGACTGATTTCACCAGTGTGATCAACAGTTGTTTTATCAATTTTCAGTGAATGTTTTGTGCCATCGGCTTTTATGGTATAACCATCTTTGGATTTTACTTCCTTTTCTTTATGATACCATTTCACAGTGAGTCCAGTTTTAGAAAGTTCACATTCAAATAAGGCCGATTCCTCTTCGTTGACAGTGAGGTCTTTCAGCGGTTTACTGAATTCTAAGGGAAGTTCTACAATTTGTAAATAATAAGTGTTAGTGTGCTAATAGATATGTAATAACTAGTTTGTTAATTCTGTTAGAAATCTAATTCAAAATCATTTTTATGAAAATATTGTAAACATTATTGCAAATATAAAGACTCTGAAAATGCTAAAAAAAAGGATTAGTACCAGTAACTGTGAGTTTAGCCGAGGTAGTTTTGTCTTTTACTTTCAGACTGATTTCACCAGTGTGATCAACAGTTGTTTTATCAATTTTCAGTGAATGTTTCATGCCATCAGCTTTTATGGTATAACAGTCTCTGGATTTTACTTCCTTTTCTTTATGATACCATTTCACAGTGAGTCCAGTTTTAGAAAGTTCACATTCAAATAAGGCTGATTCATTTTCGTTGACAGTGAGGTCTTTCAGTGGTTTGTTGAATTCTAAGGGAAGTTCTACAAATTGTAGATAATAAGTGTTAGTGTGCTAATAATTAATTGGAAAAACATATAGTAAAAATTAGTTAGGTAATTCTGTTAGAAATTTTTATGAGAATATTAAATACATTATTTCAAATACAAAGACTGAAAATATTACAAAATGCTAAAAAATGATTAGTACCAGTAACTGTAAGTTTGGCTGAGGTTGATTTATCTTTCACTTTAAGGCTGATTTCACCAGTGTGATCAACAGTTGTTTTATCAATTTTCAGTGAATGTTTTGTGCCATCGGCTTTTATGGTATAACCATCTTTGGATTTTACTTCCTTTTCCTTATGATACCATTTCACAGTGAGTCCAGTTTTAGAAAGTTCACATTCAAATAAGGCCGATTCCTTTTCGTTGACAGTGAGGTCTTTCAGTGGTTTACTGAATTCTAAGGGAAGTTCTACAAATTGTAGATAATAAGTGTTAGTGTGCTAATAGATATGTAATAATTAGTTTGTTAATTCTGTTAGAAATCTAATTCAAAATCATTTTTATGAAATATTGAAAACATTATTGCAAAAAACATTATTGCAAATATAAAGACTCTGAAAATGCTAAAAAAAAAAGGATTAGTACCAGTAACTGTGAGTTTAGCCGAGGTAGTTTTGTCTTTTACTTTCAGACTGATTTCACCAGTGTGATCAACAGTTGTTTTATCAATTTTCAGTGAATGTTTTGTGCCGTCAGCTTTTATGGTATAACAGTCTCTCGACTTTACTTCCTTTTCTTTATGATACCATTTCACAGTGAGTCCAGTTTTAGAAAGTTCACATTCAAATAAGGCTGATTCCTTTTCGTTGACAGTGAGGTCTTTCAGTGGTTTGTTGAATTCTAAGGGAAGTTCTACAAATTGTAGATAATAAGTGTTAGTGTGCTAATAATTAAGTGGAAAAACATATAGTAAAAATTAGTTAGGTAATTCTGTTAGAAATTTTTATGAGAATATTAAATACATTATTTCAAATACAAAGATTGAAAATATTACAAAATGCTAAAAAATGATTAGTACCAGTAACTGTAAGTTTGGCTGAGGTTGATTTATCTTTCACTTTAAGGCTGATTTCACCAGTGTGATCAACAGTTGTTTTATCAATTTTCAGTGAATGTTTTGTGCCATCGGCTTTTATGGTATAACCATCTTTGGATTTTACTTCCTTTTCCTTATGATACCATTTCACAGTGAGTCCAGTTTTAGAAAGTTCACATTCAAATAAGGCCGATTCCTTTTCGTTGACAGTGAGGTCTTTCAGTGGTTTACTGAATTCTAAGGGAAGTTCTACAAATTGTAGATAATAAGTGTTAGTGTGCTAATAGATATGTAATAATTAGTTTGTTAATTCTGTTAGAAATCTAATTCAAAATCATTTTTATGAAATATTGAAAACATTATTGCAAAAAACATTATTGCAAATATAAAGACTCTGAAAATGCTAAAAAAAAAAGGATTAGTACCAGTAACTGTGAGTTTAGCCGAGGTAGTTTTGTCTTTTACTTTCAGACTGATTTCACCAGTGTGATCAACAGTTGTTTTATCAATTTTCAGTGAATGTTTTGTGCCGTCAGCTTTTATGGTATAACAGTCTCTCGACTTTACTTCCTTTTCTTTATGATACCATTTCACAGTGAGTCCAGTTTTAGAAAGTTCACATTCAAATAAGGCAGATTCCTTTTCGTTGACAGTGAGGTCTTTCAGTGGTTTGTTGAATTCTAAGGGAAGTTCTACAAATTGTAGATAATAAGTGTTAGTGTGCTAATAATTAAGTGGAAAAACATATAGTAAAAATTAGTTAGGTAATTCTGTTAGAAATTTTTATGAGAATATTAAATACATTATTTCAAATACAAAGATTGAAAATATTACAAAATGCTAAAAAATGATTAGTACCAGTAACTGTAAGTTTGGCTGAGGTTGATTTATCTTTCACTTTAAGGCTGATTTCACCAGTGTGATCAACAGTTGTTTTATCAATTTTCAGTGAATGTTTTGTGCCATCGGCTTTTATGGTATAACCATCTTTGGATTTTACTTCCTTTTCCTTATGATACCATTTCACAGTGAGTCCAGTTTTAGAAAGTTCACATTCAAATAAGGCCGATTCCTTTTCGTTGACAGTGAGGTCTTTCAGTGGTTTACTGAATTCTAAGGGAAGTTCTACAAATTGTAGATAATAAGTGTTAGTGTGCTAATAGATATGTAATAATTAGTTTGTTAATTCTGTTAGAAATCTAATTCAAAATCATTTTTATGAAATATTGAAAACATTATTGCAAAAAACATTATTGCAAATATAAAGACTCTGAAAATGCTAAAAAAAAAGGATTAGTACCAGTAACTGTGAGTTTAGCCGAGGTAGTTTTGTCTTTTACTTTCAGACTGATTTCACCAGTGTGATCAACAGTTGTTTTATCAATTTTCAGTGAATGTTTCATGCCATCAGCTTTTATGGTATAACAGTCTCTGGATTTTACTTCCTTTTCTTTATGATACCATTTCACAGTGAGTCCAGTTTTAGAAAGTTCACATTCAAATAAGGCTGATTCCTTTTCGTTGACAGTGAGGTCTTTCAGTGGTTTGTTGAATTCTAAGGGAAGTTCTACAAATTGTAGATAATAAGTGTTAGTGTGCTAATAAATAAGTGGAAAAATATATAGTAAAAATTAGTTAGGTAATTCTGTTAGAAATTTTTATGAGAATATTAAATACATTATTTCAAATACAAAGATTGAAAATATTACAAAATGCTAAAAATGATTAGTACCAGTAACAGTAAGTTTGGCTGAGGTTGATTTATCTTTCACTTTAAGGCTGATTTCACCAGTGTGATCAACAGTTGTTTTATCAATTTTCAGAGAATGTTTCATGCCATCAGCTTTTATGGTATAACCATCTTTGGATTTTACTTCCTTTCCTTTATGATACCATTTCACAGTGAGTCCAGTTTTAGAAAGTTCACATTCAAATAAGGCTGATTCCTTTTCATTGACTGTGAGGTCTTTCAGGGGGATACTGAACTCTAAGGGAAGTGCTACAAATTGTAGACAATAAGTGTTAGTGTTCTAATAAATATGCGATAAAAAATATATGTTAGTAAAAATTAGTTTTGTAATTCTGTTAAAAATTTATGATAAATATGTGATAAATATAATAGTAAAAATCACTTTGTTATTCTGTTAGGAATTTACTTCCAAATCATTTTTATGAAAATATTATAAAAACACTATTTCAAAAAAAAGATTAGTACCAATAACTGTGAGTTTGGCCGAAGTAGATTTATCTTTCACTTTCAGACTGATTTCACCAGTGTATTCAATAGTTGTTTTATCAATTTTCAGTGAATGTTTTGTGCCGTCAGCTTTTATGGTATAACCATCTTTGGATTTTACTTCCTTTCCTTTATGATACCATTTCACAGTAAGTCCAGTCTTAGAAAGTTCACATTCAAATAAGGCTGATTCCTCTTCATTGACAGTGAGGTCTTTCAGAGGGCTACTGAATTCTAATGGTATCTCTACAAATTTGTATCAAACAATATTAGTATGTTGCTAGTTTAGTTACTGATTAAATTAAAATGAGTTGCTAAAAAGTTAAAATTATTTGATAAAATTCAAATTATAAGATTAAAAGATATGATTAGTTGATTATTGATTTTTACATTAGAATCATTATTGAATTTTATAAAAAAATCTTTGAAATAAAACATATTAGCTTAAATCACATTTGAAACATTCCTTAAAAAGTAAGCAGATATTTTTCAAATTTAACTGAAATATTCCACAAATGACAGTAAGGTTAGTACCATTAACAGTTAGTTTGGCTTCACTTTTAACTTCTGCAAATTTAACCATAAATTTGCCAGTGTGATCTATTGTTGCACTTTCAACTGTTATTGAATGCTTTTTATCTTCACTTTTGAAAACAAAGCCATCTTTAGCTTTAACCTCTTTATTTTTGTGTAGCCATTTTGGGGTTAATCCAGATTTGTTAACTTCACATTCAAAGGTAACTGTCTGTGATTCTGTGATTGTGATGTCTTTTAATGGTACTGTTATTGCCACAGGAATTTCTATTGAAATGAAATGGTTTGAATTGACATCTTGGTTTATTTCAAGATATAAATCTATCAATATCATTTATTACAAACCAAAAATCCTATTATTTTTGTGTGTCAAAAGTTACAGATTATTTTTGTTTAATTAAGATTCTATTAACCATGAGCTGATATGAATTTAAATTAATATTAGGTTTTCATACCTTTTACAGTTAGTTTAGCTTTAGATTCAAGTGCACCAAATTTAACTGAAAATTTGCCACTTGCTGAAACGGTGACATTGTTAAACTCAAGATAATGTTTATTTCTGTCAACTTTGATGATATAGCCATCTTTTTCTTGAACTTCTTTATCTTGGTGATACCATTTAGCTTCCACATTAGGCTTAGATACCTCACATGTAAATATGGCAGTTTCAAATTCTTGAATTTTAAGATCTTTAATGGGTGTTACGATAGTTAGTGGTGTTTCTAAAAGAAATGGAGTTAGTTAATGTTAGTGAATAAAGATAATGCTAAAGGTTATTGTTAATATTCCACCAAATACAAATATATGTTGTTTATATTTTACAAACAATTTGATATCATAAATATAAGTCTTAATGAGTAAATCTCAGTTTTTGTCAAGGTGTCTTGCAATTAAAACAAAATCTTCTTATGGAGTTTGGCCTATATATCTGTCATATACACAAAACACCTCAAGCCTTTACCTTTTACTTTTAATAAAGCTGAACTAGTTTTAGTCTCAATAATGACAACATATTTTCCAGCATCATTTGTTTTAACATTTATCATCTTAAGACTGTGGATTTTCCCATCTACTGTCATTTCACAAGTATCTGAAGACTTGAGTTCAGTTCCATCATACATCCATTTGGCTTTCATGTTCGGCTTAGAAATTTCACAAGTAAATTTGGCAGTGTCTTTCTCTTTGACTTCTAGATCTTTAAGAGGTTTTAATATTTCCACTGGAATTTCTTTAAAATTAGTAAATAAATACCATTGTTAGATATTAGCATTAATATTGTGTCTTTGACATGCTAAAAAGTGTGCTGTTTACCCTACAAATTACTGAAGTTATTAGATTAAAATAAAGATATTTTTCCTACCTTCAACAAGAACCATTGCCTTGCTGGATTTTCCATCAATTTTGACAGTGTAATCAGCTTCATCATCCAGAGTTGCTTTATCAATTTGGAGCTTGTGATGTTTACCATCTGATGTAATCTTGGTGCCTTCTTTTGGAGTTATTTCCTCTCCATCTTTGTACCAAACTGCTGTACGATCTGGTTTAGAAACTTCACACGACAAGACAAGTTTCTCATCTTCTTTAAGGGTTAGACCACGTAATGGTGTGATAAATTCCAGAGGTATTTCTAAAACAACAAAAATGGAAAAAATTTAAATTAACAGTCGACCATTATACTTCTAAAACAACTTCTTAGTGTTATGATATATATGTATATTTCTAAAAAGATATTGGGAAAAATATTTTGTGCAAATGATACCATACCTTCAACTGTAACCTGGGCTTTGGTAACAGCATCATCACAGGAGCACGTGTATTCAGCAGTATCTTCTAAGATGGCATTAGACAAGACAAGTGTGTGAGCATAACGTTCATCACCAAACTTAATACGATCATCTGGTTTGACTTCTTTACCATCTTTCTTCCATATTACTTTTTTGTTGGGTTTATTGACATGACATTCTAGAGAGATCACTTCTTCTTCCAAGACATCCTGGAACTTCAGATTTTTAGTGAAAATAGTTGGTATAGCTGAAAACGAAAGTTACAAAAATAATGACATTTTACTGAGAATCAAATATTGACCAAAGTTATTAAATCCAAAACTATTTACCCAAATCATATTTAAAAACAGATAAACTTAAATTTCATTTAATTAATACCTTAAAACAAAAGAAATTTTGGGTGAAGAAAGTAAAATATGCTCACGTTCAACATGGAGTTTAGCATGGGTCATTTCTGGACCACAGACACATTTATATTCTCCTTCATCTTTTAATTCAAGTTCGTTAAAGTAAAGATAATGACTGAAATCTTGAGTGACAGCTTCAATCAAATCAGATGGTTCTATTTCCTTATCATCTCTTAACCACTGTACAACAACATCCTTCTTTGTCATCTGGCACTCAAATTCAGCCGCTTCTGTTTCCTTGGCCCAAATGTCTTCAAGATGTTTAACAAATACAGGAGCAAGAGCTGAATAATAATAATAATAATAATAATAATAAACTTTTAGGTAAAGTTTTCTGATAATCATTTTCGAAAAAAACTCAGACACACTTTGAGAATGCCTTATCAAAGGGAGAATTAAAGACTTACGCAAGATTTTCAAGAAGGCTGAAGATTCCTTATCACTTGGTAATACAACTGTGTATTCTCCTTCATCCTCAGGAATTGTCTCTTGGATGCGAAGGACATAGCGATATTTATCACACACCATCTTGATACGTTCACTGGGAAGAAGTGGTTTCTTGTTCTTCAACCAACGAACCTTCACATTCTCTTTACTTAATTCACACTCAAACTCCACATTTTCTCCCTCAATACCTTGAGTGGCCTTTAATCCAGATTTGAAACCAGCCTCAGTTTCTGTAACATAATGATTAGATACATGTAATTCTGATATAACTCATAAGGCTGTATGTTGAAATAGACATGGTAGAAAATAACTAGTAAATAAACAGCGGTACCTGCTATATACTAAGATTTTGAATCTAATTCATACACTACATTATAAAACTCAATCTAAAAGTAGTACATATTAAGGGGGGAATTCATGCATGTAATTATATAATCTCCATATCACTAAAACGTATGTTGCTGTTTGAATTTATAATGTATGTATTGAAAAAATATTGGGGGCAAGTGGGACTAACGATTATGAAATAATCAAAGTGTTTTTTTGTCCACTAAGATCCCCTATTCTCATTTGCTATTAAAATTTGTGTAACCTTAAGATTTATATTATTCGTTATGTACCGGTATACGCAAAGTTTTTATCAAAGTGTGTCTAGGATAGCACAAAATACATCACTAAAGGTCAATGTCCTCCCCCTCGGCTATTTGCAAATATAAAATGTATGTGTCTGGTTTTTTTAAATGTATGAATCAGTGATTATTAACTAGATAATTATCCTAACCCTCAACATAAAGTTTAGCAGTTGATGTATCATCAGCAACCATAATGGTGTACTCGGCATCATGGTATATAGTGGTATCAGGTATTTTCAAGATGTGTTGTCTTCCATCAACAATAAATACAAAGCCATCAACTTCTGTGATCTCAACTCCATCCTTCATCCATTTGACAGGAACACCTTCTCTAGATACCTCACAAACAAAACTCACTGTTTCTCCTTCTAAACACTCATTATCAGATAACGGCAAAACAATTCTCGGTGTTGATTCTGTACAAAGAGTAATATAATGTGATCTTAGTGGGTGTCATTTTTTTTAGAAACTCAAAGGTAATAAATAACGTGTCTGATAAATTATATAACTTTAATTTGCATACAATGTTAATATGTCAGAAGTAAAAGACTTTGTGTTTTGTAATAAGCTGTTAGTACAATATATTATTCAGTCCCATCTGTGACACAATAGTCACATATTGATGAAGAGAAAGGTTGGCATGCAAGTACATGTAGCACATTAATACAAACTATCAGTAAAGAGTTTTCATTAATTAAATAACTTATAACCATATTAAATAAATTCTGTTTGTAAAAAGCCATATTATTCTTTTGACATTAAAAATAGTTACATTAAGAAACCCTATCTAAAACTCTTAACATACAAGGATTTATAAAAGCATTTTGGTAATAATAAGTTATCCTTAGACAAAAATGCATTTTTAATCTGGGAGTTAAATATAACCTGGATCCAATAAAAGCATGTTTTAGTATTTCATCACAAAAAAATAGGGTTTAAAAGGCACTTCAAATTTCTAAAGGAATAGTATGTTTTATTGGTATGAATTAGTATAAAGTTTGGGTGAAGTATTTAAAGAGAATATATATTAAGGGTAAGCATATATGTTTAGGGTAATTATATATTACAGGTTAGCATATAGTTAGGATAAGTACACAGTTTTTGATAATATAAATCTAATTGGATAAGCTGAGGGTAAATCTACATATGTATATAAGGGCATTGTAAGCAGATACTGCATGTTTACCCTTAACAGTTATATGAGCAGTAGTAGAAACTTCTCCAGCTTTACAAGCGTAATCACCATCATCATTAAGATTAACATCATAAACGACAAGTTCTCTATCTACATCTTTTATAACAAATTCATATTTTTCACTGGGTTCTATCTCAACATTATCAAACAACCATTTAACATGTGATTCTGGACGTGAGAGTGTCACATCAAGGGTGACATTATCCGATTCTGTAACCTCCACGTCAGAAAGGCCTTTGACAAAGAAGGTAGCGACTTCTGGAAGGAAGGCATTAGTAAGGAGTGTTAATATGCTATTAAGCTCGGTGACTTGATAGTTAAAAATCCAATGGAACAAAAATCTTAAATTAGTTTTAACACAACACTGATGCTATTTGTGGTTATTATTCAAAATGAATATTGTTAATTAGAAAGGTCTAACATTTAGATCACGTGGTTGTGATTAAAAAAAAGCAACAGGTGTTTGTGCATCATATTGTTAGTTAATGGCACCAAGGTGATTTTTTGGATTTAAGCTGAATTGAATTGTGCTAAAGCAAATGTGCAATACATCAAAAATAGTTCTAATAATATCTAATACAAGATAAATAAATTGCTTGGGTGGCCAAACAATGAATGTTCAATTTTACATAACAACACCATTAGGACGGATGTATAACTGAAAACAAACCTTCAACAAAGAGAACAGCCGTTGAGGTCTTGTCTCGGATAACAATGGTGTATTCAGCTTCATCTGAGAGTGATGTTCTGGGGAAGGTTAAAGTATGTTTCGTGCCATCAACCTGCTGAAGACAATAAGTGGATGATGGTAGTTCTGCTTTGTCTTTGAACCATTTAGCTTCAACATTAGGTCTGTTGATCTCACAAGTCAATGTAACAGCATCACCTTCAGTACATTCGGTCTCTTTTAGTGGTACAACGATTTCAATGGGAACTTCTGTATAATAAAGTAGAAAATTAGTTATTAAAGACATGATGGTTTATACATACATCACTCAGCCACTATCATTAAAGCTCCCCCCCCCATACACACACACTATTTTCAACAAATTTATGTCCTTACCTTTGACTGTCAACCGAGCTGAGCTTTCCTTGCCCTTGACAGCAATAGTGTACTCAGCATCATCATTAAGAGTGGCATCTTTAATTGTTAATTTATGTGTTTTACCATCGCATTCCATGACAATGGTATCTGAGGGTGACAGCTGTTTGCCATCTCTAAACCACTTGGCTGGTAAAAGAGCCTCTGTCACTTCACAGGTGAATGTCACAGTCTCACCTTCCTTGCAAGTTTGCTCAGAGAGAGGTAGCTTATACTGTAATGGTGCTTCTGTGAGTGAAATGAAAATAAAACAGACTTTAGGAATTATGTAAAAATAACTTTTATTATGTAAATAAATATAGACTGAAAAAATAATGGTCTGCAATAAAATGAATTTTGATCAAATTGATTTTTTTTTTTATTTCAATGAGTATATGTAAGTTTCTCAATTAATTTTAGTATAAAGTCAAAAATGACATATATATTTAATTGGTCGCATCTTACCTCTGAAAAAGATGTCCATGAGTGCATGCAATTTAAGTTATTTTTTATAAGATTTTTGAAACAACTACAAAAAATATTTGAAACAACTACAAAAAATACTAATAACATTATAAACTACCAAAACTTTCTACCATATCTAATCTATGGAAATTTAAATGTTTAATTAAAAAAAAAATAATCAAACCTGCATATCAAAACTACCAAGTGATCATATTTTCACACAATGAAATTAGTTTTTATTCATGCAATTTTTGTCACGTCTTGATTTGTTTCATTAAATGGACAGGTAGAAAGTCAAACAGCAGAAGAAACTTTGCCTGATGCAAAAGCCTATTTCACTATAGCTTCATATTTCAAGGTGTTTAATTGTAAACACATGAGTATCGATTTATTATTTAAAGTTAAAACAACAGAAAAAACACAAACCTTCTTTGGGATTCATGCCAGTCATGCGTTTACTTCCAATTACAACAATGTAATCCCCATAATCAAGGGTAGATAAGTCATGTAGAGTAAGCTTGTGCAAACAGCCGATGTCGGTCATCTCATATTTACGACTAGGTTTAAGTTCCTCGTCATCTTTCAACCATGATACACGCATATTACTCTTAGACACGTTACACGTAAATACAGCAAGCGACTCAGTGGAAGTTGAATAGCGTTTTACAGTCAGATGTAGTTTAATGGGAATTTCTGCAAGCAAGAGGGATTACTTTCATGCAGTCATTAGACATATAAGAAATTTTTAAGCCATTGAACATCAGGACAGAACAGGGTGCAAATTGGATATGAAATGTGTAAAAGCTAGTGGATGAATGAGAGAAAAGAAAAGCAATGACATGCAGGAGAATGATACATATAGATGCTGGACACCACTCTAGTTAAACCATTCTACCCATATAGCACAGTGTGTAGTGAATTTAATTTCTACCCGTAGAATGGAAAAAGATTATAATTCTAACACCAAGAACTTAAAATAATAATTTAGAATTAACCATTTGTAGCTCTTTGTATTAAATATGCAGAGACCCTACAGTGAATTGAAGATTATAAACAAGGGTGTGGATTTGTCATAACTTTTGGGGGGGGGGGGGGGACGGACAAACCCTGGAACCTGGAAAATTTCATTACCAAACCAAAATAATAATTACGAACAGTTTACTGTACCAGTGTTATGACTACCTACATCAAAGCTGCACAAATATTAATTGTTCATAAAGTTAAGTGAATCATCCAAAGACATTTATTCTACGATCAGGACTTTCTCTATGAATTTCAGAACGGCACATTCATGTGAATATAAACCTGAAAATCAGTCCTGGCACTCAAAATCATGGGGGGCCAGAGATCTATTTGTCCCCCCCCCACCCTCCCCTAAATCCATGCCCATGGTTATAAAGAAAGTAAAGGATTTTTGAACTTTAGAATTTGCAAGACAGCATTAGGAATAAATAATAGAGTGGGATTCAAGATTATGGGATACTGTGTCAGGATTGTTGGACATGCAGATTAACATCCTTTAAAAATTAAGGGGTGTGGTGTCTGAAATCTAAAATTGGTGAATGGGTGAACACTAAGGTCTAACACTGGGAATATTTTGACTAAGGTATGTGTATTCATTGTTTAATAATGTTTAAAAATTGATTCCTTTACACACATAGGACACAAAAATTCCATTCATTCATTCAAACGAAACAAAACAAACAAAAACTCAAAAACACATACAACAGAAAAGAACACTAATAAAAACTACAAAAATGTAAAAAAATAACTACAAAAAGCTTTCAAAATAACTACACTGTACAAATAAGATGAATCTAATAAAATAAATCTGTTATTTTTAATTTTTGGTTTGTAATTGTTTATGCCATGTCTGTTATATTAGTAGATTCTGCTGCCATCATTACTTACCATCTAGATATAGACAAGCAGAACTTTGTTTGTCACCAATGACAACTGAGTATTCAGCTACATCAGCCTTGTCTACATCTTTAATTACAAGAGTATGTGAGCGGCCATCTTCTTGCATGATATGTTTGTTGCTAGGCGTTATTTCCTCGCCTTGTTTATACCATGTGACTGAGACGTCATCCTTATTAACTTCACATGTGAAGTATGCAATTTTGTGTTCCTCAACCATTTGTTCACTAAGTAGTGCAGTGAAATCAACAGGGATTTCTGTAATTTTAAACAATTCAACACGGGTTAAATAGGAAAGGCACATGCATGTCAGGAGAGTTCTTAGGGATTTTTATATACATGAAGATCTCTCTTCACAAATTGTATACAAAAAAGGGACCAACCATGACAAGGAGGGTACCAATTATCACAGGATCACATTCCAAACAATTGTATATTCGATAAAAAGCTACTGAGATGCTAATTCTGAATGCATTATCAAGTACACAGAGATCCCAAATGTGAATCCAAATCACTAGTTTAAATTGTGAAAGACAATGATAATGTCAATTTATGTATTTATGAACCTCAGGAAAGACCATCCAGAATAAAAATTTCAACATGCAATTTAAAATCTATAAAATGTTACCTTGGACAGTTAGTTGAGCTGCTGTCTGCTTATCTTCAACTCGAGCACTGATTTCACCAGAATCGGACAGCACAGCATCTTTGATTATTAACTTATATTCCTTGCCATCAACAGAAATGATGAATCTCTTATCTTCCACTACTTCTTGTCCATCCAGACACCATTTTACAGTGGCTCCTGCTTTGTTGAGTTGACAAAGGAATTCAGCATCCTCTCCTTCCTTCACTTTGACATCTTTAAGTGGCCGTATGAACAGAGGTGAAGCTTCTGAATATAAATACATTTTCTTTCTAAAATACTTGACATCCAAAATATTTGTAATAAACTAGTTAATTTACTCAGCCAGTTTAATGATTTTGAGATAGATATTTGCCATTATTCTAGAATTTATTACTAAACATATAGATTCATTTTAAAAAGTCATAAATAATCTAGAACAATGAATAGTTATTACCTTGTACAAACAGATTGGCTGTTGTCTGCTTGTCTCCAACCTTGATACTGATTTGACCTTCATCATCTACCTTGACATCTGACAATATCAATTTATGTTTTTTGCCATCTTTAACAAATTTGACAGTTTTACCCTCTTTGAGTTCCTTGTTGTTCCTGAACCACTTGACTTTTGGTAGGTCTTGAGAAAGCTCACAAATAAATTCAGCAGTGGCATTTTCCTTCGAAGTAACATCATTCAAAGGAACTGTGAAGTCAGCTGGTAATTTTTGAACCTTTAGTTTGGCTTGAGACTTTTTCTTGCCAACCTTGGCCATGACTACACCAGCATCTTTAAGACCAATATCTTTCAGAGTGAGCTTGTGTTGGCAGCCATCTTTTTGAATAATGATGTTTTCTTTAGGAACAAGTTCTATGTTGTCACAGTACCATTTCACATCATCAGTATCTTTATTAAGGGTACAGACAAAATCAACTGAAGACTTCTCATATGCACTGACATCTTCCAACGGTACTGTGAAATTGGCTTCAATTTCTTCAACAGTAAACTTAGCAGATGATGATTTTTCACCAATTTTGATAGTCACAACTCCTGCATCAACTGGTTTCACATCTTTGATTTTCAGTTTTAGTTTCTTACCATCAATGACAAAAGTGAATTTTTCATCCTGAATGATCTCTTTGTCATTAATAAACCATTTGGGTTCATCAACTGGAAGTGTTACTTCACAAGAAAATTCAACATCAGAGTTTTCTTTTCCTTTGACATCCTTGAGAGGTACAACAAATTCTGCAGATATTTCTGAAAGGATATTATTAATGAAAGCTTAATTAAAATGGATTTAATTTTTAGAATGGGCATAATCATTATGGATAGACAAATCCCTTTCAAGCAATGAACAAAAATGTATATTACAGCTACATGTGCTTCACTTACCTTGAACTTTGAGTTCAGCAGATGTACTATTATCACCCAAAGTTACTGTAACTTCACAGTTGTCACCTGGACTCAAGTTGCTGATAGTTAAAGTATGATCATATTTATTGTGAACTATCTTGTATTTATCACTGGCTGTAATTGGCTTGTTGTTGATTAACCAGACTACTTCAGCTTCATCATCATTAGTTCTAACTGTGAAGGTGGCAGATCCATTTTGTTTAGCCACTTTGTCTTCAAGACTCATCACAAAGTTTGCAGGTACAGCTAAAAGACATAATGAATGTGATCAGATGATAATTAAATGCTAGACTTTGGCAGTGATTAAAAAAGATAGGTTTCCAGGCAACAAACATGCCCACAGTAGCTATGTTGTCTGGGCAATCCATAAAGGTTGTCAAAAGATTCTACAAAGTGATCAAATGCAATAGTCTCATTTGCCTTACTAATGTAAATAAAATATATAGATTATAAAAGGATTGGATAATCAAGAAATTGTGAATACAGACCAATGCAACAATTGACCAATGGACTGACAGATGACAATATACAACCATTAGAATGTGGACATAAAAAAATAGTATATAATGTTCATGTGTCATTGTTCAAAACTTACGTTCAACATTAAGTTTGGCTTCTGTGATGATTTTGCCATAGGCGCATGAAACCTCTCCTTCATCCTTTGGTCGACATTTGCTGACTACAAGGGTATGCTTTTTCTTGTCTGCTTTCACAGCATATTTGGGAGAGGGTATAACCTCTTCACCTTGAAACTTCCAAACAACATTGACATTAGGTATTGCGAGTTCACATTCAAATTTAGCTTCTTCTCGCTCTTTGACTGTGAGATCTTCAAGTGGAACAACCCACTTCCACTGAAAACATAATAAAGGGCATAAATAGACATAAACTTAGCTGTCATGGTTCACATACAAACCTCATTGAGAAAAGCTGTGACGTCTTCAATACTTTGGAACAGTGTTGGGATTTCAAAAATTTTCTTGTTGGGCATTTTTACCGAAAATAAAGGGGCATAACTCTTTCATTATTTCAGCAGGCAGTTTCAGACCACAATTGAAAATCATGCGTCAACAAAATATACAGAAGGTAAAGAAAATGACATCTCGAAATTTATTTGGTAGTAACTGTCACTCTACCACAATGAGCGAGTGAGATCTTCTGCTAAATGATCAAAAATCTGAGAATATGCCATAAATATAGAATCTTTTCTCCGACATTAGATGTGTGAAATTTGTCACATTGCCATTTCATAATTTCACATATCTCGCAAAATCTCTGCTTTCGTTTCAGTTCCTGTCCAACAAAGGATTAAGTCAGTCAATCAAGACAGATTAAGTAGTTAGGTAGGTGTCTAGACGGTATAGCACGGTTGATCACTTAATTACCTAATTAATCCAGCCTATTATCAACGATAATCGGGTTCAGTGGTAGTTATACACTCAGTACACTATATTAATTTTGGAATTTTGAACATTCCTGGTTGGACAATTAGGATGTTTGGAAAATAGTGTCGCACGTGTCCGGAATATATGGGTGAAATCCCATCACTGCTTTGGACAGAATGCTCTGATAACAAATTTTTCAAAAACTACCCATGGGGAAGTATGGGGTACATAAAGACAACATGAAAACAACACATATACAAAATAGAAAAAAATCCCAATTACTTTTAAACAATTATTTGATCAACATGTATATATAACTCAGATACATAAACAGTAGAGGGATTCAATATACACTTTGTGACATTTTATTTTAGTTTGGTTTATTTAGATATTAATTTCAAGGCTCACTGAAAGGTAAATGTTCCTGTATGGTTAATTAGCTGATGTATTTAAACCTTGGTATACACACTGAAGCAAGAAACTGAGGTGCAGAAGTATCGCAAATTATTTTAACTTGCATAAACAATTCAATGTGTTAGCTGTGATCTCTGTACTTTTAGATATGATACCAACATGATATCCCCACAAATTACATGTTTTGGGCAACAAGTATTCTTTTCTAAATAATTTTGATATAATTTTGAATAAATAGTATGTAAAAAAAAGAAATCTAGATTTTTTGATTGTGCTAATAACCAGATGATATTTCCTAGCGGTATTTATAACAAAAAGATGACACAGAGAAAATCAACACAAGCAAAATATTACAACTGAACAACACAATAAACTGCTCGACATTTTAAATATTAATCTTCGATCATATTAATCTACAGGGTTCACTGAAACAATGTCTCTTTTGATAAGGTTAGACTAAATTTGGTTAGTTTTTGTGTTAATCTGATCAAAAATATTAAAATAGGAGTCTTTTTTTTTCAATTTTCTAAATCATCATACTTTTATAAAAAATATATGTATCAATATGGAATTATCAGTTTATTCCATAAATCTAAATGTACATACATGTACAACATAAAAACCTGATACAACTAAATATTAACGTTTCTGGGACAATTATAAAATTACTTTTGGTTAGCACTATCCTTAAAGGTATACTAGAATAACAGTAATTTTTATTTTGTTAAACATGTATTTAATTAACATCAGATCAAATTTATCCTACCTGCTCATCAATCCCTTCCTATAAATGTAAATATGTATTGAAAATAGATAACAGAACAGGTATGACTGACACAAAACAAGTATGACTGATACAAAACAAGTATGACTGATACAAAGCAAGTATGATTGATACAAAAATTGACATCAAATTGAAAAAGTATACATGATGCACAAATTGAACCAGTAATTGCCAGGCAAGATACGCCCACATATTGCAAGAGATGGATAGAGAACAAGCTAAAAAAAAAAGCAATTTTTCGTACAATCAGGAACCATAATCCAAAAAGTTTTAGTCTGAAATGCGCAAATATTGAAATGGACTTAGATATTTGGAATATATAAAGATATATTTTAAGTTTCATCGAAATCAGATAAAAATTGTGACTTCTAGAGAGTCCACAACCTTGGTATTATGTACTTTTACACTATTTGCATTCAAGGGGCGGCCATTTTGTCCGGCAGTTTTGTTCCGATTTTCACGAAATTCAAACTCAACCATCATTAGGGTGTAACAGTGAAGTATTCAAACGTTTTTTTAAATTAGATCAAAATTGTGACTTCTAGAGGGACCACAAACTAAAAACGTGATTTTTTGTACAATCAGGGGAGATAATCCATGACGTTTAGATCCGATACATGCCAATATCGAAAGGAACCAAGATCTTTTGAAGATATACCTATATTTCAGGTTTCGTCAAAATCGGATAAGAATTGTGACCTGTAGGGTGTCCACAAACAAATTGTGGACGGACAGACGTACATCTCGATGTACAGGGGCGACGACAATATACGTCCACATGAAAATGTGGGCATATAAAAATTATGAAAACAATTTAACATTCAATGACTGAATAACGTAAAATAAAATAAATAATGAAAACCTACTTTAGTTTTGGGTATGGTCAAAGTTGCTGCTGCTTCCTCTTCCTCCTTGGAAGATTTGACACCCCGGACATAGTGAGCACTTTCTTCTTCTATTTCAGTGGTGAGTTCCATGGCAGCTTTAGGTTTCTTCTGATATTGTTCTAGTTCTACAGCTTCTCGTTGTTCTAGTTCCATACCAGGCATCCTGAGATAACTCTCCAGCTAAAATAATCATTTGAAGCCAAAATTATTTCCATAATTAAAAACATCTCTCCCCCCACAAAAATAATATTAATACAAGCGAACTTTGTCTTCACATTTTTCACACTTTGTGTGCAAGACTAAAGGTACCTCTTTATCCATCTTCATTTATCTTGGTTTCAATAATTAATAACATAAAAATACTTCATGTTTTTCATTCATGCCACTCAAATTATTTGCCATAAAGTACATTAAACAATCACAAAGATTTTTCACAAAAATTCAATATAGATTAATGACACCATCTTTTGAATCAATTTCATATCTTAATCCATGATAAATATGGTGACTTATAAACAAAATTTAGGTGAGCATTTAAATTATTAATTCCAAAAAATACAATAAGCTCTAATAAGTGTCAATTTTGGAAGTTAATAAGCACTGATCTGTTGTAATGATGTACAAACTATCATTAGTTCCAAACAATTAACCATAAAATGACTTTTATAATTAAATGAGCTGAAAATATAACAATTAACAACAGGGATATGTTATATACTACTTTTAAACTTCCATTTAATAATAGACCAGAAATGGCCTTTTTGTTTTTCGAGGATGAATTAATTTTTGTTAGCTCTAATTTACAGGTTAACATAAGGAAAGGTGATGTAAATGAAATATGTAAATACATATGTTTACATCAAATAAACATTCTCCTACCTTTTCTTCAAGTTCTAGAGCAAACTCCTGCTATAAATGTAATATATGGTGAAAACATTTGTTTTCTCAATATCTAGAAGAGCAGTCTGTGCCAGAAAGAAAACAGGGAAGAACAGAACCACAATCAGGGTTTGTGACAGAAGACTGTGAAATTTGGCTGCAGTAACACAACAGAGTAAATGGGTTGCTAGCCAAAACAAACATAGTAGAAATATAGTCATTAATTTGCCATCTTTGATACCATTATACCCTCAAACCTATATAAAAGTAATTGTAGCATGAAATTATAACCTACCTCTGGTCTCTCGTGTTTTTCAATGGGTGTATAGACCTTTCTGTCTACATCATGTTCTGGTGAGACAGTTTTACTCTTGGAGGATGAAGATTGTTCTCCATCATCAACATGTTTTAACATATCTCTCCAGTTTATTTCTGCTTCATCAGAACCATGGCTTACAGATTCCCTGTAAATAAAACCAACCAACCATATATAATTTAATTTTCATGTTTCTTCTGTTCTCTCAGAAACTTCTATTAGATCTAGATAAATAATATTATTTTTTAAATTTTCCATCCTAAATCTAGCCGATATGATTCTCTTGTTGACAACAATTTATAGGAGATAAATGAAATGCTTAGTAAATTATTTTGATTTTTTATCAGATACCTGTGTTTAAGAGTGGACTTCCAGTCAACCATTTCTTCTAGTTTATCGGTGACCATTAGTGTAGCTGGCAGATTTTCTGTACCATGTTCATTAGATATGGTAACTGTGTAGGTTCCAGAATCTTTGTTTTTAATCTCTTTGATTTGCATCACTTGTTGATTGGTCTTCTCATCATAGAAGACTCTGTTGCGGCCTCCATCTTGTATTTTCAGCCACTTGCCCTTTGACCATTCAATTTTGGGTTTAGGTTCACCATCAATGGTACAACGGAATTCAGCTTGATGACCTTTAATAAAAAAAAATAAAATTAGTAACATTATACAAAAAACCCCACAAAAACATATTTAAATACCAACCATACAATTTCTGAACCAATATCAAACAGATCAGTTTGTTTGGATTTTCACTTTTCCCCAATAGAGCACTGGACTGCCATAGGCTACATGGTTTGGTGTGGTAGGTAAAGTGTTCAAATCCCATCAAGTGCAAACTTGCTCCATATAAATAACTAAACTTATAAGTCTATGATGTAATCACATTGTTTCTGTATATTATACCAGAATCTAAAAAAAAAGGTTATACCAAATCCATGTAAAGCTGAATGCCCATAGATATAGGTATAAATCAGTTGGTAGAGCACAGGACTGCAGTAGTTTAGGCAGTTTGCTGCAGTAGGTCAGAGGTTTGAATCCTGTCAAGTGCAAACCGGAAAACATTATATAAATACCTATACTTGGCCATCTATGAAGTAATACCATTGTTTGAGTATATGCATTAATCAATCTACTAAAATTACCTTCAAGTACTGTGCACTTGGTTGGAGGTTCAATAAATGTAGGAGCACGACCTCTGACTTCTAGTTTAGCAGAACAGAGTACTTCTCCTCCATTGTTTTTGGCAACAGCTTCAATCTTTCCCTGGTATTTAGATGGTGCATCTTCGATAACCAATGAGTAGGTGCCATCCTTTTTGTTGACCTCCATTTTGACCTTATCACTGGGTTCAATTGGCTGACCATTGCACATCCTGTCAATTACATAATTAGAAAAGTTATTCGGAAATTATATAATCTGCAATGCAAAGCTTTATGGAAATTCCTTAAAAAGTTCCTAAATTGTTTTCACAATTACTTACCATTGGATATCTGGCATAGGAACACCTTTGACTTTGCATTCAAATTTGACAGTTCCATTTTCTGGAACAAGTGTGTCTGATAATTTACGCTCGAATGTTGGTTTCTTAACAGCTGTAGAATAATACAATAAAAAGATGTTATTAAATTCATAATAAAATTAATATGTACATACTTTGGAAGCTATATCAACCACTGGCATGTTTTTACATGCTTATAATAACAGAAATGAAATGAAATGAAATAGGGTTTAACGTCCTACTGTTCTGCTCCTATACTGGGCTAATAAAAGAATGTTAGAACTGTTACTTACGGGTGATTTTGAGTCTAGCATTACAAGCTAGCTGTCCTCCTGAATTAACCGCTCGAGCAGTAATAAGACCAGCATCACTTGCTTTGATTTTGTGAAGAATCAAAGTATGAGTCTGGTCATCTACCTCAAATTTAATATCTTCACTTTCCTTTAATTCAGTATCTCCTCTCACCCTACAAATTCAAATTAAAGGCTAAATTATTTCAAAAGCTACAAACTCTGCAAAGAAATTGCAAATGAAAAACCTCACAAGCATATATACTTGTGGGTTAGTGAGAGCTGTCACACCTATCAATGTACTGAAAAATATACCTTCAGAAAAATGAACATTAAAAAATATACTTTCACAAAAATATAAATTAAAAAGACCTAATATTAATGTAAGGTAAACTTTAACATGTTTAGAATATTAATAAAAATGTAAATAACAAAATAAAAAAAATCCAGATGAGTTTAAATATAAAAGCCTTACCATGTAATAGTTGGCTTAGGTTTGCCTGTAACAACAACTTCCATACGTACAGATTCTGTCTCCAGGGCTTCTGTGGTTTCCAATTTCTTGATAAATTTGGGAGCTTCTTTCTTTTCTGTAAGACAAATTAAAATTATTATCTACTAATTCACATAACAGATACTAACACATAGAGCGTCAATTAAAAAAATAATTCTTATAATCAAAAAACAATATTTATAATGAATGAAACAAGCCAACAGTGAGGTTGATGTCCCCCGCCGAAATCCCAAATTAAATAGATGACACAGCGCACATTTATTTTTTTCAAAAGTATCAAGCAATCAAACTGATTATCAACTGTACACTAAGTTTCATCACTCTCTATATGACCTTATCAACGTTATCTTGTCCTAAAGCATCAACCAATCAAATTGCTTATCGTTCGTTAGCCTAAGCAGAAAATTCTCATCATCGAACTTAGTCCAAGTAATTATATAATGAATCTATACTCAGAGTTTTATCACTCTCACTTAATTATAACCAAAGTTATCGTGCCCGAAAGCATCAACCAATCAGGTTGTTTATCTGTGCTTACCATAAGTAGACAATGTTGATCATCAAACTACACCCAAGGCATTCACATAATGAATGCCTACACCAAGTTTGAACATTGTACCTCAATTAGAAGGAGAGTTCTTGTGTTCCAAAGTCTCGACCAATCTGCTTACCCTGAGCAGAAAGTGCTCAATATCAAACTTAGTCAAGGTATTGATGTGATAAAACTATACACCAAGTGTCCTCACTCTCACTTAATTAGAACTAAAGTTATCGTGTCCCAAAGCATATCAAACAATGAAATTGCTTATCTCTGCTTACCATAAGCAGAAATTGAGCATTCTAGCTCAATTAGAATGAGAGTTATTGTGTTCCAAAGTCTCGACCAATCACACTGCTTATCGCTCTGCTTACCCTGAGCAGAAAATGTTCATCTTCGCATTCCATCAAGGCATTGACCTAATAAACACCTGCACCAAGTTTAAACATTCTAGCTCAATTAGAAGGAGAGTTATTGTGTCCCAAAAAATGTGACAGACAGACGAACCCATTTTAATAGTCCCCTGCTTTCTTTGAAGGACGGGGGACAATAAATGATTCCATTGGTATTGAAATGTAGGTTTTGGATAAGATATCATTTTAGCAGGAATTTCAATGAGGTACAAAAATCGGTTAGTTTATTTTTACCTTGAATGATAAGCTTGGCTTCACATGATATTTCCCCAGCCTTGTTCTTAGCAACAGCTCTGACTAGACCAGCATCTTCTACCTCAGTAGGTTCAATAGCCAGGCTGTGTATGTCTTCTCCATTATAGCCTTTACGATGATCCATGTGGAATCTAATACTAGGTTCAATAGGTTGTTCTTTGATAAACCTGGCGAATACAAATAAAAATCAGAATTATGAGGCATTAGCATCACTCAAGAGGCTGAATTTAAAAAACTTATCGAAACTTCATTTTTCAATGTAGAGAAAAAAAGTCAAAACCTACCAAATTACTTCTGGTTGAGGAATACCTTTGACAGCACATTCAAATTTGATAGGACGACCTTCCCTGCAGTCTTTGGGTGATAATTCTTTAGTAAAATGTGGCTTTTCACTTTTACCTTTAAATAAATATGGAATTCAGATTAAATTTCAAATAAATTATATCGGTAAAGATAAAATTGCATTAGGTTTTAAAAAAACAATATACATGTATTCTGCTTAAACAATTTCAAAATGAAAGTTTTTCCTACCTTCAATGGTCACAAAAGCTTTATGTTCAGTAGTACCAGCAGGATTTATAGCCACACATGAATATTCACCTTCATTGGCCATACTAACATGACCAAATCTTATAAAACAGTCTTCTCCCTCGTATGATTTCTTGATGTTTGGCGTGGAAGTTATTTCTACACCATTTCTAATAAAAACAGAGAAACGTTTTGAATTTTACAAATCAGAATATATTGGGGGGTTTCCTCAAGATTTTTTGCAATGAAAACTAAATAAATATGGTATTGGAAGAAACAGTACCAAAGCCTAAATTTCTGATAATATAGACTTACCTCAGCCATTTTATTTCTGGTCTAGGTAATCCAGTTACTTTAGCTTCTAGTTTCAATGGTTTTTCTTCCATAACAGTCTATGTAAAAGACATAAATACAATTATATTTTAACCATAATATTACATGATAAAAATAATATATAGTAGTAATACTGCTATAAGACGTCCAGACACAAAAACAAGAAACTATAACCAATTACATGGGCATCTTATAGATCTGGGGAATGTCTACCATTATCTGAAGTAAAAAATAGATTAACAACTTACCACATCATCAAATACTTGAGTAAAGACTGGAGGACTGGAGTCATCTGGTGTTCTCAAGACAAGTGGTGATTCAGATAGACGTTCTTCACGTTTAATTTCTGTAAAAATATTAGATTTTCAATCAAACTTAAGCTAAAACACAGCCATCATTTGAAAGTGCGAGTAATCAATAGGTTGATTCAACATTTTGACAATGTAGATTCAGTTTTGGATCTTTTTGTTGAGCAATTTGAGTTGACTGGGCTGAGTGGTCTAACATATTGATCCATAAGGCCTGTTATAATTATCTGTGCGTGATCTACTGGGGAAAGGGTCTCCTGCCTTACCTTGTGGATTTTCCCTGGGTATTCAAGAGTTTTTTACTTGCATATAAGCAAATTATTGAAATACACATACACCATATATTTATCCTGAAATGACAATTAGTGCCTGGAGTTACCTGGCATGTTTTCAAAACCAACTCACCATTGACAATTAATGGTATTTGTACTTTAGCTTCTCCTTCAGAATTCTTAGCAATACAGGTAAAATTACCAGCATCTTCAAGATCAACATCTTTTATCTCAAAACAATAGGTGTCCTCATATTTCTCTTGATGATATAATTCTGCATCTTCAAGAACTTGTTGATCTCGTAACCATGTGACTAGAAAAAATAAATTGTGACTAAGTGTTGAAATCAAATAATCTACTGGGGTAGCACCATTTTTTTCTTTAATGAATTCAATATTAGATTGACAGAAACCAAAAGACTCCTTTAAAATTGATCAATACACTAAATTGCCTTCTCGATGCCTTTAAATGAATAAATATACTAATAATTACCATTTGGTTTTGGTTGACCAATAACTTTCACAATGAATTCAGCTCTGTCACGTTCCCTAGCAACCACTTGTTCTGGAACTTTTATAAATTCAGGAGGAGACAGTTTTTCCAATGGTTTTTCTGTGATAAATGACAATAATATATTTGTATTATTTATTACAAAAAATACAATCATATAAAAGTGTTTTTTTTATTCTTTCCTACACAATTTTTCATTTCTGTTTCAGTTATTTTGAAAAGCTACTGATAGGTAATTAATGGTATTTGAAGTCCAAGTGGATTCCTGAAAAATGAAGTTTGAAAGAGAATTACCTTCAACAAAGAGTTCAGCTTTACATTTATCTTTGCCAGCTTCATTTTTAGCTTCACAGGTGAATGTACCATCATGACTAGGAAGAACATTAACAATAAGTAAAGAAGAATCTCCATCTTCACCAAATTCAATTGTAAATTGGGAGTCATCTTTAGTGATTTCTTTGTCATTCTTATACCACACAAGTGTGGGTTTTGGTACACCAGTGGCCTTGCAGTAAAATTTGGCAGTTTCTCCTTCCTTTGTTTCAATAGTTTGCACAGAAACAATAAATTTAGGAGCTTCTAATTTTGGTTTTTCTTCGACTGGTTTCTCTGTAAATATAGTTACAGTATATTGTAATATACATAGGCACATATTTACAGACAAGGAGTTTAAAATATAATGAACCTTTTTTTTCATCAAAAATACCAATAACAAGAAAATAGAAATGATGCTGTGTTGTTTGATACAATAATATTTCCTGTTGTTTGATTTAATATGTAACAATAATATTATATATGCTAAAACAAAACAAAATAATATTTCAAAGAAAAGGTAATAGCATCAATGAGCAGCATATCTGTTTCTGGTACGCTATAGCTTTAGTCCTCACACCTCTACATAACAATTCAACCAGAGCTATAATTCTTGAACCAGTTATGTTAAAACACTTCGCTAATATCAACAGCATTCAAAATAAAACACAACTAAAATTCACAGACTTTACCTTTCACTAAAAGTTCTGTTGAGCATGTCTTTTCTCCTACTTTATTCTTGGCCTTAACAGTGTATTCTCCCTTGTCTTCTGGTATAACATTATAGATTTCAAGATGGTGGAGATTCTCTTTTTCGTATACCAAATAACGTTCTTCATCTTTCAATTCCTTACCATTGTACAACCATGTGACGTCTGGTTTTGGTTGACCAGTAACTTCACAATTGAAGTCTGCAGTCTCACCTTCATTAACCTGTAAGAGCAAAGAAATCCACACATATTTTTTCATGAATTTGGAAAATATTTTCATGGTTAAGAGAATTTATATTTTAAACCGAAAAAATTGTCAAAGTAATTGATATATCAACAATAAACCAAACTCGTTATTTTAGGTTAACTGCAATGCAATAAGGGAAGCCATGGTGGCTCTGTGAGTAAGGTGCTGGCTCGCTAACCAGCAGGTCCTAGGTTCATTCTCACTGTTGGCAGAGAAATTCTTTAGGATTTCCCTTTGTCAGTGATGCACCAAATTCTTGTGTACATGGTGGTGTGCACGTAAACAGATCCTTGACAGTTGGAATTTGAAGTATGCCTATATCCATTAGCCTGGTTGATGCAGAAAAGTGGGACATTAAACCCCATTTCCTTTCAATAATTGAATTATAAAAAACATTGGAGTACCATCCATGTATCCTAAATTAATCTAGGCCTACTCATTCAAAATGAGAAAATGGTAAAAATTAAATCTGATGTGGAGTTTTGGGATATATATCAGATCTACTAATTAACACTCTCCTGTTTACTTACATCTTGTGTTTTGATTGTAAGAATGAATTCTGGTGCTTGATCTTTGATTTCTTCTTTAATTCCTGATGATAAATGAGAAAATATAATATAAAATAAAGTAGAAAAACAATAACAAGACCTCCAGGCTAATGTACCCTGCCTGGTACTCACATAATGGCAGATTGTATAATATGAGTTGGATAGAATGTCATTATTATAAACATATACCCTCACTGATTTGATTGACTAGTAATTATTCTATTTGAAAATAGCCACTGACCAATGATTGATTGATTGATTTATTTAACTCAAAATGAAGTATCACACAGTTTATTAAAGATATATTATGTAAAATTTAGATAAGAACTGGTCATTCTCGCTGCAACAGTTTAGAAATAGATGATGAAAAATTAATTTATTGAACATTTCAGCAAAATTATTTTATTCTGAGATAAGTTATGGATGTTGAAGGTTTTGACAAGAATAGTTTAGGCTCAATTGCCTTTGCTACAATAATAAACGAAGACTCTATTTTTCCATTTTTTTTGCTAATTAAGTTAAATGGCATGGATGATTAAATCCAATTAATATCCAAACCACCCAATGTTCTAGAGAGTTTATTAAGGGCTTGTCATATGAATAAATGTCTAAATAGTAATTTAAATAACAGTTAAAACCAGAAAAAAAAGACCTTCAATTGGCATATTTAGTTCTCACACAATGCATCTTTAATAGAGCCATCAAACAAAATATTTTTTTTTTTTTTTTTTTTGTACATCATATAAAAATACTTTAATATAACTTTATTAGAACACTTCGTATGGATATAATCACAAAGTATTCTAGTACTATATCATAAATCAATTATTAAATGCCTCTTATTAAGGAATATAAAAACTTTAATATTTATTTGTATACAGCTATTTTTTAGACATCTAATATTGTTCAGGTCATATACCTCATTAACTTGAATAAATAAAACCCAAGTTGTCATGTTTCATGTATACAGAATATTATATTATTCATTCATTTTATCGGATCTGATATCCAACCATCAAAAATATTTGATGCAAACTGAGGGTATGGAATTTCTAGTTATGTTAATTTATAGGTAAATCAATACGTCAACGGTGCTTCCACCAAGAGTTATATATTTTGATAGAACTAGATTGAGAAACAGGCGCAGGGGAGCAAATAACATTTTTTTTTTTATTATTTCTTACAGCACTAACAGTTAGAGATAATATAGTTTGGGGGCAGTCAGCCCCCCGCCCTTTAACCCAGCTCTTCATATTGATTGTATATCTAATAATATCATTACACAAATAATGATTGTGTGCCAATAATATTAACTGATTGTATATTAACTGTGTAAGTTTTAATGTATATCTAAATTAATACCATTACACAAAGGATGAGTGTGTATCAACTCATTAATGATACACAAGTCTAAAATAGTACACATTTAATGTATATTAACTGTATAAGTTAATACACAATGTTCCTGAAGTGTGAATAATAATAAAAACACTTCCTCTATATTCATTGTTTATCAGTTACCAATATACATAATAACTAAACTCTTTTTTTCTAAAAATAATTAATGTGAAATTTTACATAACATTATTTCTAAAAGTGTGTTTTCATTGGGTTTATTGGCTGCATTAGTATCTAAATAATTAAATGCAAACAAATGTATCTGCTATGAAGATCAAATAAAAGGTATATTACATCCTAAATGAGTTTTACAGTTTCATTTTATGGTACTGTAAATGTGCTGTATCTGAGTGGTAATTAAATTATTACTTTTGGGTGTTTTGTTTTCTCTTATGTGAGCTGCATGTCTCTATTTCATTCATTCCAAATGTGAGTTTTATGTGAATAGTAGTTTTCATTGGATCTGACTGAACAATTTTTTTCTGCATGGTAATTATATTGACAACAATCACTTCACTCTAATTGGAGTGAAAATTAAAACTGTTCATTGTACAAAGCAAACAGAGGATTTTAGAAATCAGGTATTAGGAGTAGGACACTGTTTAAAAGAGAATTTTAGTTCAGACATTTTTGTTTTACAAATAACTACTACTACTAAACAAACAGATATACTATATCTTAGAATCAATCATCATAGTAACAACATGTTTCAGTGTAAGTTTATAGGCACATATATTCTACAATGTAGAATATTAATTATGGTGGCTTACTGCCAAAAATGATAAACATTATGTTTATATGGTATTGAATGAAGACTCATGGGTCAGCCTACTATTAATTTATGTGTATGATATCAACAAACAAACACTAAACTTGTCATTCAAACCACACTTTAATGTCCTTTAATATATTATCTACTTACAAACCTAAATTCTTAGGTTTAAAGAACAGCATGCATTTATAATTGTGCCTATTCCTATTACAATAAATCTGATACTATTATCAGGAACTATATATTCTTTTATCTTTAGGCTATTCATTTTTTTAACAATATTCCTGTATTATAACAGTTTGGTAAAATTATGTTAATAATATATCTTTTGATTGATAGGATGTTTTACTATTGCTCAGACTTACCATTGTCATTAAATACTTGTGTCAGTGATAATTCCTTCACTTTTAAATTGGTCACAATTCTTATATAAGTTGTACTTAGAGGTGTAATATTTATTTTTGATTTCATTTTCCACCATTTTCACAAATGTTTAGAAAGAATAATAGATATTCTCACTTCATCCATATTCATAATTGCACATAATTAAGTCCTACTTTTAGAATCCACATAACTGTCTACACAAACATATAGCCTTCATTTTCATTGCCATACAGGAGACGTCTTGCTATAGTTTATATTTATTTATAGACCTATAGGTATAATCTTATCTCTATTTTAAACTTCTATTATCTTCATATCATAACTACAATATTGACAATAGGGTTCAAATATTTCTTGGTATTTTGAATGTTGAATTATTGAACTGTAAAATCACTATATGCAAAATAACATAACTGATTGATTATCCACTTAGAGAATAAATTCCAGTATTTCATTAGACAACCAATATAAATAATAGTGTATACACAGAAGCAATTCCATTAATCTCTTTAACTCTAATTATAAACACAAAAGAAAATTCAGCTTCAAATGATACTGGGAAAACATAATAATTTATGGAAGTTTAATGATTTTACATTTGTTTGGCAGTATATAAAGTTATGTATCTCCTAACACTCCAAGTTTATGATTTATCAATACTTGATTACCCATCAGTCTTATAATAAATGTACACATATAACCCAATGGCCACAAGTTTTAGTCACTATAAAACTACCACAATACAACTACCAGTATATTCCTATTCACTTTGATCCCTTAATTTGAATATAAATTTAATTTAGTAGGTTATCCTGTAACCAATTAGATCCTGTAAACATGACACTCAGACCAGTCCATTAGTTTAGTCAACCATTTTCAAAATCAATTACAGAATCAATTCATATTGGTTTTTCACAAAAACTTAAAACCCTACACATCTAGGAACTTGAAACAACTAAATACAGTATTCCCTTCATTTGAAAGAATATGTATACAAGCAGTCATAGAACTAATCATGGGGCTACATCATAAAAATAAATTCTCAACAGGGTGTAAACTGTCTGCTTTTTTTTTATCCTCTCCATATGTTTTATAATCTAATTAACTAAAATATTAACAAAAGATTTCTCAAAATAGTAATTAAGAGCAGGGAGTTAACTGAATTCAATAACAACCTCAAAGTGTGTTTAATTATTTCAAAATCATTATTTCTGTGTTATGTGTAATCTATATAAGCAAGTTCATATGTAGATTATGTTGTATTAAATCTTATTAATAATATACTTTATATTCAGCACAATGTCATTAAAAGTTAATGTATTTCTTCCAAATTTCTAAAAACAAACCCTCAGTTGTTATTAATGATGACTACAGTCGTGTCGAGATGTTTATTGTGTTTTTTATATTTATATGTTAAATAATGTCAGCTGTTAATTTGGGTGATCTATCCCAGTCTGCATCAAATGTCAATTATATGTCCTGTTTGCAGAGGCATTCCATTTACTGTTGCAGATTATAACTGATTTATAATAAACTTATCAGTAATGCTTATGTTTCATCACCGTAGATTATGGTTGAATACACATACTTACCTTCTGGAATTAGAATAGTTTGCACTATTTGTCCTAAGAAATGCTATATCAATCTGCCACAGAGAGTTTAGGTATATCTAATAAATGAAAATTATATCTCACCTGTTATAGTAACTTCTACAGATACATTATCTGTTCCATAGTCATTTTGTATTGTGAGGGTGTAAACAGCAGTATCTTCCACAACTGATTTGGGAATTGTAAGAGTTACAGTTTCTGGTGTCAAGTCAATCATATGACGATCATCAACAGCCAATGGTTTGTTGTTGACAGTCCATTTTGCTGTTGGTGAAGGTAGACCTTCGATTTTGCATGTGATGGAGATGTTTTCCCCTTCTTGGACATTGATTGCTTTAGGTGCATCAACAATGCGTGCTGGGACTGTAAGCAAAGCAGGTGGATTTTCAATTAGCATATAAGATTGATCACCATTGAACTGTTCTTATTTATTTATATGCTGAATTTTAAGATTATTTCCACCAAAATGATATTTACATAAATCAAAATCATCATTTATAGCATTTGGAAAGTACAGATCTTTATGAATCAAATGGAAGGTGACCCTGATACATAAGCTATGAAATATCTGGCATTTTCATTTTCATTCTTCTAATAAACCGAAATCAATTCACACAAGACCCACCATTCAATTTGTTCTCCAAATTTAACTCCACATTGGAAATATTTGGGTCCCGAATCATTGGTAATAAGTTTCTTTGTGAGAGTACACCTTGGGACAATGAAGAAGCAGCAACAAACAATATAGACAAAGTTTAGATCAAAAGGGACCTGATCAGGTTCTTGTTACATTAGATAATTTCACAGAACAGCATTGTAATCATGGACAAATGTTATTTGCCTCATTTCTTCTAAGAATCAGAACCTGCTTTCAAATAATTGGCGATTTGTGGCCTTTTTTTAGGATAACAAAATACAGTTACACATAAGATTCTGATAGTAAGAACCCTGATTTTGATCCTACATTAATAAAGTCTTGAAATGTACACATGCCTGCAGTAATTTCTCTTGAAACATGCAATATAGCATCACTGAATACCCCCATCATAACTGATTGATTAATCGTGTATATTCAATGATCATGCTGTAGCTATATACCTTTATAAAATTTGTATGTAAAATATACATTTCGAAAGAAAAAATCAGGATCATGCACAAACACACACAATGAATGATTTAGAATATTAGATGCATGACAAGGACATCAAAATTATTATTAGGAATGTGTACACATACAAAACATGAAAAACAGACATAGAAATGAGTATTAATATATTTTATTGGCTGCAGTAAAAGGTTTTACAAACACACAGGGTTTATGAATAAAAGTTCAACAAAGACACAAGTATATTAGATCTTTCTGATATAATAAATGGGTATAGGAGGAACAACAGATCTCTTAAAGGTAATTATACATTATTATTAGGATGTTTTGATGCCAGTTGAAGTTACAGGATATCCACTAGTATACATATGTATTCCTTACATATATGTTAAACTAGAAAATCATTTTATAGCACTTTGCAATATGAAGGGAGTTATTTTACTTTTCTTACAGCAGGATTCATCAAAAGCATAATTGTTGGATCTGCCAACTACATAGGCATGGTATGATCAAGTAATTTATTTTCTAAAGCATGATAATTTTAGAATTATTAGAAATATGTGTTTCGCTAAAAAAAATATAAATTTATATACCATATAATCTAGAGTGAAAAAATCAAAATGTATCTTTTTAAATTTTAAGTGTAGGTAACTTAAGCGTATTCTATATGAACTCTAACAAAATCTCAATACATGATCAATTTCAATCTGGATTGGCAAGATTATACAAATCAATTCAAAAATTACATTCATTATTTAATTTCTACTATTTTATTTCCTAGTCTTACTTCTTCCAATGAAAGGTGTAGTCTGTGTTATTAATTATAATATCATAATATATGAAATGTTAATTACTGATTAACAATAGCAAGACAATGGGATATGGTATTGTTATGATGTTGATGAGTTTATTGACATATATGATTAGTGTACTCCCACATACTTCATTCTTATAAAATTCAACAGCATTCCATGTTGAAATAAGATATTTACACCATGCAAATCTTACAGAATAAATAGGATAATATAATAGTATTTATACAATTCATGATCATGCACCTCATGCAATATAATATACAATTTATTCATTTTCTTTATAGTACAATCACACTAAAAACTGGGTCGAGTAATAAATTGGAGAAGGGATAAGAATTCACATTTAACAAACTTTTGTACTTGGATATATAAAAAATATAACTTGAATATATATAAACAGGATAAGGACATGACAAATAATGATGGGTTTAATAAGTGAATGTGAATAGGTGGAATTGTACAAATTATAGACATACATGTAAACGTTTGTGAGAGATCAAGCTATTTGAAATTATCATTCAATGTGAAAGGCCTCACTGTACTAATTGCAATTCCGTGCTATAGAGCTCTCCATACTAATTGCAATTATGTGCGATAGATAGTACCTCTATATTAAATTTGAATTCTATATGGAATAGACTCATATCATTGGGAATTACAATGTAATCTCAAACACACATTTAATATTTCCATTCAAATCTGAAATAATTATAAATGTACACTAATAATAAGAAAATATTCTGTGGTTCCATATTAGAAAATATTCTTTACTTATATATATTTATTAATTGCTATCCTTTATAATAATTTTCTATTATAATTATATTCCTTATATTGAAGTTATTTGTAAATAAAATAAACCAAAATCTTGGTGTGTTACCAAATATGTTAAAAAAAACCCTACCATATAGGCTTAGCACTAAAAATACTATTTGATTTAAATATAAATGTCCCTATAGTACTATTTTTGCTACGTATTGCTTGATACATTTTTAAAGCACTAAATAAACAATTTTATGAATCCACTGCATATGTTACTTAATTTGTTACATGGATAAAGCTGCATAAGCAAATTATTTTCTTGTTCATCACTGCCAGTTTCAATTTTTGTGATCCCCCAGTATGATAGCACCAGTAGATTTTTATATAAATTTTTTTGGAGGAAAAGTTTTACAAGATTAAAATGGATTATCTTGTTGATATCTATCAAATAATTCTAACTATAATACATTTATATAAATTCTATGTGTGTTTTAGTTTACCAACAATATATATTATGATAGTAACTACCTACATAGATCTATGTTGATGAATATATATGGGGTAATAAATATAATGTTAGAAATGATATTCAGATTATTTCAGAATCTTAACATATCTTGTTATGTAATAACGGTATGGCACCAATATTCATGAAAAGTTTATAATCATCGAAGCATACTGTCATGAAATAATAATGTCATGGTAATGGTCAATAAATTTTTTGTAAGCATTCTAAAAACTACATTTGAATATCCAGGTATCGTTATCAAAAAAGATCTGAAATAATCCTTTATAAACTATGGGTTAAATAACAGCAACTACCAACCAGATACCATGCTAAACAACTCAACAATTAGAAATATAACAAACCTTCCACTGTCAATTTAGCAGACGTAGAAGCATCACCAACAGGATTCACAGCTTTACATGTGTATGTCTTATTAACGTCTTCGGTCGTAACTTCATTTAAGGTTAAAATGCAACGTCTATCCTCGCAACTATAATTATATTTAGGACCTTTAGTAATTTTCTTATCGTCGACAAACCAGGTGATTTCTGGTAATGGAGTACCAGTTACTGTACATTCAAACACAGCTGTGCTCTTAAGCTTAGTCAAAACATTATTCAATGGTTTATCAAATTCTGGACCATTAAGCCTAAGAGTAACTTCGGCATGACATGTAGCAACACCTTTAGGATTGGTTGCTTTAACAGTATATTCACCCTCATCATCTAATTCAGATTTTTCAATGATCAGACGAACAACATCATGCAACTCCTCAATCCTGAAAAAAACACAAGACATTTTAAAAATCCATGCAAGGTAATATCTAAAGTAATACTGATCAGTTTGTGTCTTTAGAATCCACAAAGTTGAACTACACCACAAACTTATTTTACTGTTCCTAAACCTTTCCAAAAATTAGGATTACCGGTCTGAATCAAATCCAACAATTCGAAGTGTTACAAGGCGAAAGTACCCTTCAACCCCTTTGTTGATTAACTCTAGTAAATTTTATATTATAATTAATTGCAATACCTATATCTATCAGCTGGTAGTTCTTCATTATCAATTGTCCAAGTTAATTCAGGTTTAGGTTGTCCTTTGACCTGTACTTCGAGAGTGATAGGTGCATTATATTCAACTGTAACATCCTCAATACACTTGATGAATGTAGGAGCTTCACCTAAAATCAGGGTTTATTACTTTTAAATACATGACAAAGCTAATAACCAAAAATACTCTTTTAATTTTATTTGTTAAAACAATAAATTGGATTGTAAAACGAGAGTATTCTAATTATTAAGAGCATTTGGATCACCATCTATGTCAATGAACATTAGGTAAAGTTAAGCAACTTTCAAAAAGTATAAATACCTCCTTGTTGAACAAAGACTTCTGCAGATGTGGTAACTGAACCAGCCACGTTAGAAGCTTTACAAGTGTATTCATAATCATCATCCACTGTGACATCATGAATTGTTAAAGTAAATGTTCCTTCTGTATCATGACTTATTTCATAATGTTCATTAATAGTTAAATCAACACCATCCTTCAACCTAAATAACAAATAATATATATATATAATAGATGACCGATAATCAATCCTCTTCAGTACATTTCAAGGCATTCATTTCAAAATTTTGCCAGCTGGTCAGTTTTTAACATATTTTGATTTTACTTGGATTAGCAAGATACTTTTTCAAAAGAATATGATCATTTCTTAAAATATATCTACTGTATTTAAAGTTACATTCTTCAAAATTTGAATTTTATTGCATGTAGATTGACAAACAGTAAGTTCTTCAGCGATTCCATTTCACTGCCAGTTTCACTGATTGAAACGAGAGCTCGGGTACATTTGCATAATCTATGAATTTTATAATTTCGGAATATTAGTTTAACAGGTACAAATTTTTAAATAATTTACCTACACCCTCTTTGAACCAATTTGATAAAGTTATTAATAAAAAACCAAAACTGTTTTGGCGTAAAATGTTGACAAAGTAATCAGTTTGATACCTACCATGATACTTCTGGTTCAGGCTTTCCAGAGACCTTCACAGTCAGCTTAACGGTGTCACCCTCTGTCACCTCTTGATCTTCCAACTGCTCATGGAACATTGGAGCTACAGTAACATCCACAGAGATGTCGTCAGTCTTGACTTGTTCTTGGTAATCTAGTGTAAATTCTTCTGCCACATCTTTAGTTACTTGTGGTGCTTCTGGTGCAGGCTGCTCAAGTGAAAATTTGGCTTGTGTGTCCACATCAACAATGGCCTCATCCAAAGCAATGGTCTGTTCCTTCATTGAGAATTCAGCAGTGACATCCTGAATTTCTTCTTGTGTTTCTTCAAGCGTCATCTGATAAGGGAGATAAGAGTCTGAGACCTCAAACTCTTCTTTGAAGAGTGTTGGTTCAGACATGGGACTGTTTCTGTCCCCTTTGCTAATTCTCCAGGTGAAAACCTTCATGCCAACTTCTAATTCCTTGTCAGCATGCATTAGCTACACAAACAAAAAAGCATGCAGAAACATCAAAAAGAGAAAAGCTACAAGCAAGGCCCTAAATTACCACAAGAAAAGTAATTTCATAGTTTTCAACAACTTGAAATACATCAACTTTTTAATTTATGTGCTAGTTTGGCAAAGAGAAAATTAATATGAAAGATTAAATTCTATAAAATTAAAGAAAACAATAAACTAATGTGCTAATTTTGTGGTAATTTAGTTATATTACAATATATTTTTAATAAAATGAAAACTAAAAAATAGTTGAATTAAATCATTAACAAAAGTAATAATAGTTTTAAAAAAACAAATAAAGATTTAATACTATGGATTATTACAAAAAACAACATACATCAAAATAAATAACTCAATAAAGCATTAAACTGAATAATAGAACAGAGGCTCTAAATTATTTCAAATTAAAACACTGAGGAAAGTAAAACAAAAATGAAATTACATGTTAACAAATACAGCAACTGTCTTTAATGCAAAAGAACAAACTAAACAGTACAATTTTAAAACAAACAGTTTCATTAAATCTAGCATTTATAATGGCTAAAAATCAGCCTGCGAAAGTAGGTATGTGTTTACCATTTTCCCAACAAGCTGCAATTTTTAGCATTAAAAAATAAGCTTTTCATTTACTACAACTTATATGACTTCTTTATCTCAAATAATGATCTAGCTTTTTGGTAACTAAACATGCTACATGGCCAATATTGCTATGACTATTTCCATTTCTCAAACAAATTTATCAAATCAAAAGCCATTATTAAAATTTTAGACCGGAGGCTTAGTGCGGGGGGTTTCCATCAAATGGGCACAAAACCAGACTCAACTTCTCTAGAGTAAAATTTTGCGTAGAATACGATGCTGAGAGGTAATCAGTCCGCCGTTCGGGCGTTTTCGAGATATTCGGGGGTCAAAGGTCAAATGAGGTTATTTGCACTGAAAGTGAATGCGCAGCCATTCTTATATAGCCTATCATGAAAACATGCTGAAAATGATCGAAGGTAATCATTCTTTCAATAAAAATGTAAACTTGCTAAATTCACTTTTACTCGAGAAAAGTTGGGTCTGGTTTTGTGCCCATTTGATGGACCCCCACCCCGCACTGAGCCTCCAGACTATTTATAAAATTGTCATTTCCTTCTACCAGTATGCAAGTCTAGCAACTAAGATGCACATCATACCCATACAATATTGACACACATTCACTAAACAAATAAGAAACATATTTTGGTAATATTCCAGTTATTTCTATCAAAGAATTCCTCTTTTTTACTTTTACATGTTTTTAACCCAAAGAAGTTATCTTCAGATATTTATTTAATACTTAAAGAAACTGTATCTATTGTACTATCATTTTCTTTTTATTATAACTAAAATTAGAAAATACCTGGAAGTCTTGTGTCTTTTCCTCATCAATGACAAAGTCAACAGTATCTCTAGCTTCCTGAGTTTCAATAGTTACATCTTCTATCACACTTTGTTCTCGAAGTACCTTGACTTGTTCTCGAGCCTTACAAAGTGAACAAAAACAGCAATGAATTTAGGAATTAATTTAATTCAACATATTTAACTTGGGAGTGATTCTTTTTTTTTCTACATACTGTCATCCAGCTCCAACTGACCATTCATCAGTTACTTATGAGTAGGTATGACAATTTTCCCATAAGTAATATTAGAAATAACATTATTATATATTTATACAAAATCAAATTTTTAACAATTTTACCTGATATCCACGGAAGGCAGCTTGTATTTTTGTAGCAGCTATTTCAGCTATATCTTCAGTAACTGTAACAACCTCTTCGCTGGGTTCATCTAATTTGCCTTCTTCTTCAGATGGAACTTCTGCAATTTCGAATTTAATTTAACAAATTCATTAGAATTTAAAAACAATTCTTTTAAAAAAAATTTATTACCCACAATTCTTTTAAAAAAATTTTATTACCCACAATTCTTTTACAAATTACCAAATATCAATACAGTTAAGTGTATTAGGTAGTTAAGTAGCTTTAATTTAAAGATATTTGAATGCTTATTATGGATAAAGAAGCTATTTATTATCAATCATGACAATCTTTGAATTAATACACTATTTCTAATAAACGTTCTTTCATTTCTCTTTCGGCTTTTCAACTGTTAAACAATGTCAGATGTCTGTAAGATGTTTGTGTTTAATTGACCTGTCCTGCTTTCTAACCTAGTCAATGAAAATAATGCTTTATCTACAGCAAGAATGCTTTTAACAAATCACAATGACTCAAATCAGACTTCAAAGAAAACATACCACTTATAAAGGTGTAGTTAGCTCCTCATGTATTGCAATTAACAAACAAAATTATAAATCAGTATAACTTTTATAAAAATTCACACAATTATCCCACCTTCTACAGAAATGGTAGCTGAGCACTCAACACTGCCAGCTGTATTAGTAGCACGAGCAGTGTATAAACCTGCGTCTTCTACCAGTACTTCTGGAACAGATAAAGTACTTTCTCCTTCTTCTCCAGGAGTAATTTCATAAACATCATCTGTATGAATTTCTTGCCCAGCATGGTACCATGTTATTTCTGGAACAGGAACACCTTGTGCTCTACAGGTCAGTTTAGCTGAGTCACCTTCCTTGACATGAAGATCACTAAAGACTGTTTCAAATTTAGGAGCAATAACTTGTGGTTGTACAATCTAGATGAAAATATACAGAATATAAGATTTTAGAATTAAAAAGTTTGGGATCCACACGGTCAATGAATCTTTCATTACCTCCTTTACAAGGGTAAAACAAAACTTGATAATTAAATGGTACCACAAATAACTTCTTGATAATGTATAGTAATTTATTTTTGAAAATTGATGACAATGATTTACCTCAGTCACATGCTCTTCAATTGCAATAGTCTCTTCAGTTTTAATATCAGATTCAAATTTCCTGAAATAATATATCAAGATATAGAAACACCTAAATTAATCTAAATGAATTCAAAAAGGATATAGCTGTATCAATTATCAAGAAAACAATAGCTAAAATTATACATCAGAGAATATAAGTTGCAGTTTACGCCATTGCCAACATATGATTATTTGCTGGTGTTCACCAGACTTCTCATTGAGCATTGCTTTTGGGCCTAACATTGTTCAAATTGAAATGAGGTTTACTGTCTTACTTTTCTGCACCAAACAGGCTAATGAAGACACGAATATGCCATGCAGAGTGAAGTTTTGCCTGGACAGAGTAATTCTGCCTGCAGTTCATCAAATTCTAACTGTCAAGGATTCGGCACAACTGATAAGGGGAAACTTTTTCAGTGTGTGGTATCTCTCTGTAAGGGCGTTAGTCAGAAAACCTCTATTAATAATATTTGTTTAAAGTACGTTGTACAATACAAATACTGTGGGTATTTAGTCTGAGGGTTAAACAAAGAAACAGTCCATCAAATGAACAGAAATGAATCTATTAATCACTGAGGCATCAATGACTTCTTTTTTGGTTTTGTAACTTGTAATCTAACACTAATAAATATTGTTGTCAAATTAGCAAGTGACTGTGACCCTTTCTTCAGAAAAGAAACCATTCATTCCATACTTATTAACTTTGTCGCCAATATTGGATGTATTTTAAATATTACAAAGAAATATATAACTTTCTACATGTAAGGGACAGTATCTGTTACTGTGGTACACCAAACTTACATTGATGTAGTTTTCGCTGTTCGTAAAACTTGCCGGAAATCCATTTGGTGCATTTCATGTTTTACATTTACCTTTGTTTTCCTGCAGATACATGCAAATTGACAAACATGCAAAATAAAACCATGCAAACATAAAAATTATGTACATCTTAATAAATAAATAAATTATGTACATCTTAATAAATAAATAAATATATTGTGTACATCTTTGATATTTGTTTATTTGGTGCAATGTCTATTTTCTGACATGTCCGCAGGTTTTTGTTGTAGATTTTTTGTTTTTCGTGTAGTGTGGTCCTCCTGCACTAACTATTAATAGATAAGAATATTAATTAGTCCCAGCTTCAACTTATTCATGCAAACACATTGATGGTATTGTTTGCAATTTGCATAACATTAATGGTATTGTTTGCAATTTGCATAACATGCATTTTGGATCCACAAACTCTGATTGAGCATGTTGTTTTTTAGAATGATATAACACATCAAACCATCCATGTACGTTCCTAACGGATATGATATTAGAAACATCCAAATTTATTACCGGTTGAGAGAGAGAGAGAGAGAGAAATGGGGTTTAACGTCCACTCGACACAAACTAGGTCATTTCGGGACTAACATATGGTTTAATTTTATTCACATAATTCGCTTGCGCGTATTACCTGTTGAGACCTTATGGGATTCAAATGTTTTCTTGAGTCAGATGAACTGGAAATGGGAATTTGATATTGCAATATTGACAATCCTTGAAAAGATTGCACCACCCTTTGTCATTATCATGCTTTATTATGACTAATAATACTAACAAACACAATAGCAACAAATAAATTGAGAATTATGTTTTACTTACACTTCAGTGGTCAAAGTTTGTCTAAAGTCAACTTGTTCCACTTCAGTTGGTTTTTCTTCTTGTCTAACTTCTACAGTTGTTGATAACTGATCACGGAAGTCTGTTTTCTCCTCAAGTACTTCTATAAAAACAACATATTACTTCATTGCATTTTAAACAAGCCAACAGTGAGGCTGATGTACTGAAACTATACACCAATTTCACCATTCTCACTCAATTAGAATCAAAGTCGTCGAGCTCCAAAATCTCGACCAATCAAATTGCTTATCACTCTGCTTAACCCTTAACCGGTCTTTGTCGACTATAGTCCCATAACGTTACACAGCTAAGTGGTCACGGTCGACCACTGTGAGAACCTTTTTTATAAGCCGCATTTGAGCATTTAGTTTTGTATTGAATTGATATGGCCACACATGCGTGTTAGACAGGAACTTGTTTTGTCAAGGTCATTGAGAAAAATATGTCTTTGTTAAACATTTTTTGACAAAAAACGTAATTTTTTAACAATGTCGGGAAGGTTAAAGACTCTCAAAGTGGTTGAAATGCTTATGAATGATTACAACTCGGATTATATCGATGACACCGATTCTGAAGACGGTATTTTTGATGAAAATGATTTAGAAAACCCGAGACAACGTGCAAATTATAGATGAACTTATCCCCCTTCAACTTTTTTATTGGTGTCAAGAGTCTATCACTTATAATTAGTCAGCAGTAGTCATTTGAAATAGGCATACAAAATATTTCACTTTAGCCTTTATTTAGCCTGACCACTTGACGTCATGACGTCAAAATGACGTAGACCGGTTAGAGGGTTAACCTGAGCTGAAAATGCTCATTATCACATTTAGTCAAAGTATTTATGTAATGCAACTATACACCAAGTTTCATCACTCTGACTTAATTAGAAGCATCAACCAATCGAATTGCATATCATTGATCTCAGCAAGGCATTCACCTAATATACACCTACACCAAGTTTGAAAATTATTGCTCAATTAGAAGCAAAGTTCAAAGTTATTGTGTCCCAAAAAGTGCGGCGGACTGACAGACCCATTTTAAAAGTCCCCTGCTTTCTTTGAAAGGCAGGGGATAACAAGAATAAATTTCATCATTTCCATTTATCAATACCAAACCCTGGCTTCAAACTTATATACTACTATTACTATATGCTAAAAACCTAGATTTTGTCAGTTTCTTAGATTTTCATATGATTATCATCATAAACTAGAATTCTATAAATTTATTTAAATTCAGGAAAAAAAAAACCTAAAATTTTAAACTTACTATTTACAATTAGAGAGGCGGAAACACTCTCGTGACCTTGAGGATTGGTAGCAGTGATGGTGTAAGTTCCTGCATCTTCTGTTGTAGTGTCAGTAATATCAAGAGAAACGTGGTAATTTTCAATATCTTGGTCAACACTAACTATAAATCGGTCATCGTTTGGAAGTTCTTCACCATCCTTGCTCCAATGAATCTACAAATTAATATTTTGAGAACTTAATGACTAAGAATTTTCAGTGTATTTTGTATTTCCAATAAAACAAAACTGAATCCAGAATTAAGAGAGGAATGGAATAGTACCTTATCAACACTATCATTTTGCATCTTTTGAATAACAAATGACACAATTATATGGAATTCAAGTTACTTAAGAAGTTCATTCTTTGCTTGATAAAGTCGAGAGAACCCATGTCGAGAGGTCGCCTGAAATAACCTTCTAAACAGACTTGCATTCCATATAATTGTGTCATGTGTTATTCTTATTCAGTTACTAAATGCCACTTAAACAATTTATCATTGTTACATCTCTGTGTTTGGATGGGGCAATGGAGGATTTAGCTTTGACAGCAGATTTTCTATATTGCAATCATTTGGTAATAATTTGTTTCTATGGTGATGTCTGTAATGCAATGTATGATAATATCCCCCATACACTACAAAACAACCCAAAATAGTTGAAATTTAAGTTGATCTCACCTCAGGTTGAGGATTAGCAACAACCTGACATTCAAACGAAACATCTTGTCCTTCATCCACTTTCTGGAATTTTGGTTTTTCTGTGAATGAAGGTGCAATTCCTTCTACAACTTCTCTAGCTTCATCACTAACATAGTCTGCTGCAGCTGCAATAAATTCATATAAACGGAAAATATAACAAGGTATACAACTCTTACAGTAATTACTGGAAATTGTTTATGAACTTCAAGACTGTGTATAAGTCAATCAGATGATAACTTTAGCTTGAGAATGTGGGTGTATAATAAATACATCATGAACTAAGCATAAATTACAATATAGTTATTAATACTGAAGACAAGTGAAGTGGCCTTTAAACTTTTTATGAAAGGTATATAATGTACGTCTGTAAGTACCTTCAACGAAAAGTTCAGCAGTAGTTGAAACCTCTCCCATTAAATTTTTGGCAACAACTGTGTACTTTCCAGCATCTTCTGGTAAAACATCATTTATAAACAGAGAACAAAGATTATTTTCATCATACTGAATGAGGAACTCTTCTGATGGAAGAAGTAGTTCACTGTCCTTATACCATTCAATATCAGGTTTAGGACTACCAGCAATCACACATTCGAAACGGGCTTGTCCACCATCTTTGGTTTGAATTGTAGCAAGATGCTTAATAACTTCTGGCACAGTCTGTTCCACAGCTTCATCTAAAATGTTAATTGTAAACGTGTCATTTTTAAATATTCTGACACTGAAATTTATTTTGATAAAAGGCACATTTACAGGAATGCTTGCTCTCATGAGAACTCACCAAAATGAGAAATGAAATGAAATGGGGTTTAACGTCCTACTGTTCAGCTACGACTGGGCTAATGAAGACGAGCATACGCCATACAGTGTGCTATGAGGGAAATTTTGCCCAGACAGCGGCACTATAACCAACTCTTATATCAAATTCCAACTGTCAAGGGATCTTATACGTGCATGCCAATGTGTACACAGCCCTAACTTTTTTTTGTCCCATCCAAACGACTAGACAGCTGACCTTGTCAGGACCTCCATCCTGCATCACTGATAAGGGGCAACCACGCCAGAAAATCTGGATGAACTTTCTCGGCCAATGCATGGATCAAACACCCAACCACCAGGCTAGCGAGCCAGCTACTTACCCACTTAGCTACTATGGCCCCTGACCAAAATGCTCTTGTTTTATTTTTTTCATGCAAATATGCTAGTAAACTGTTGTCAGGTGTATATGTGTTCATTTTCAAGCATTTTTTGTTACCTTTAACAGGAGATTCAATTTGAGCAACGACTTCTTCATCAGAAACATCTTCTTTTTCTTCTTCTACAAAATCAAATAATTTGTAATGAAGAAAAATTATCTCTAGTGGGTACTTTCTTTAGTACTAAAATGTGAAAACCATACAATATATAGTAGAAGGCATTATTTTATATTCTATAATTTAGACAACTATGCATGAATATTAAAAGTTCTTACCTGCTGTAACCAGTTTTTCTTTTTCAGAGAGTATTTCTTCAGACACTGAAATCTCTTGAACCACAGTTTCTTCAACTGAAAATTTCACCCAAGAATGTTATAGTTCACAAAACTTTTATAGCACTTGAAAAGTCCAATATACTAAATAAAGGATAATCTATATTTATAATAAGGAGAATATACTACTGGAAACCTATTTTATTATCAGGATCCTAAATGTCTGAAGCCAATGCTATAAGGTAAATAAAATGGCTATCGGTATAAAATTTATCTATATTGAGACTATTGGTATATATATTTCTAAAAAGGTTCTTAAAGCTAAAAAAACCAGAACTATTTGGAGATCAGATATATGGAATTTATGATTAACTTATATTGGAACCACTTACATACAAACATTCTACAACTTGATTGAGAATTTATTCAAATGTTTCATTGGCCAAATATTACAACAGATTAATATGTCCAATATTCATTTAAAAGCATAAATATTAAACACTATTTATTTTAAAGAGTGAGTAAATTCTTAACCAAGTCATGACTCAATCTTTTAAAAAAAATTCTAAATCAGTTTTCTCTAATCTGGCACCTACACATTCTTCCAAAGCACACAAATAAGAAAACATGCTTAGTATAAGTCATAGAACATAGGTCATCAATTTTACTATCATGCTACAATGAAATCATTAATCTAAGTTATTAATGTGAGTTTAAATGTCTTATCGATACGTCAATACCAATAAAACTTTCAATCCTAATTCAGGCATTTCAATAATACAGTACATAGCATATCTAAAACAATCTTCTAACCAAAGAAATAAAATGAACAAAAGAAAATAACTTTCATATTATAGCAAACTGAAGTGATTAACAAAATAAAAATGAATACAAAAATAAAATAACATATCGATGGACATGTGTCCAGTGTGTTTGATTAATAGCATACATGTTCAATATATAAAAGAAATAAAATCAGTTGTCAAAATTCTGTGAACAGAAAAAAGAAAAGAAATGTGAGTAAGAAATTCAAGCAAATAGTATTAATAACCAAGCTAAAACAAAAGATTGCAGCCTCAAAATAAAAGATCAATAGAGATAAGTTATGAAAGAGCATTAAGATAGCAGCCAAATTCGTTGTTTGCAGTTCTCTGTGGCACAACCATTTCTGGGTACCTTTTTGTTCAATGGCAGATTCAGTATATATTTGATCTACACTTTTGTCTTCTTCAGTAAGAGCTAATGAAACATCAGCAGTTTCACCTAATGATGGTTCTTCTTCAGATACAACCAATGAAACTTCAGAGATTTCTTCTTTTAGGGTTTCTTCTTTAGTGACAACTAATTCAACATCAGCAGATTCATCCTTTGATTTCACGTCTTCAGTGATAACCAATTCCACTTCAGAAGATTTTTCCTTTCGTTTCTCATCTTCAGTTATAACCAATTCCACTTCACTGGTTTCATATTTTGGTTTATCATCTTCAGTTATAAACAATTCCACTTCACTGGTTTCATATTTTGTCTTTTTGTCTTCAGTGATAACCAATTCCACTTCAGCAGTTTCATCTTTTGGTTTCTTTTCTTCAGTGATAACAAATTCCACTTCAGCAGTTTCATCTTTTGGCTTCTCATCTTCAGTGATAACCAATTCCACTTCATTGGTTTCATATTTTTGTTCTTCTTCTTCAGTGATAACCAATTCCACTTCAGAAGTTTCATCTTTTGGTTTTTCTTCTTCAGTGATAACTAATTCCACATCTAAAGTTTTGTCTTTTGTTTTCTGTTCTTCAGTAACAACCAATTTAACTTCAGATATTTCTTCTTTTGGAAGTTCTTCTTCAGTAAAAGCCAATGAAACTTCAGAGGTTTCATCCTTTGGTTTTTCTTCATCAGTAACAACCAATTCAACTTCAGAGGTTTCATCAGTAGTATCATATTTTGGTTTCTCTTCTTCAGTGACAACCACTTCCACTTCAGTAGTTTCATATCCTGGTTTCTCTTCTTCAGTGACAATCACGTCCACTTCAGTAGTTTCATATTTCGGTTTCTCTTCTTCAGTTACAACCAGTTCAACTTCAGAGATTTGTTCTTCAGGCTTTTCTTCGGAAACAACAACTTCAACCTCTGATATTTCTTTAATTGGTTTTTCTTCTTCAGAAACAACAACTTCAGCAATTTCTTCAGTCTGTTTTTCCTCTTCTGTAACAATCAGTTCCACTTCAGAGATTTGTTCTTCAGGCTTTTCTTCGGAAACATCAATTTCAACCTCTGATATTTCTTTAATTGGTTTTTCCTCTTCAGAAACAACAACTTCAGCAATTTCTTCAGTTTGTTTTTCCTCTTCTGTAACAATCAGTTCAACCTCAGAGATTTGTTCTTCATGCTTTTCTTCGGAAACAACAACTTCAACCTCTGATATTTCTTTAATTGGTTTTTCCTCTTCAGAAACAACAACTTCTGAAATTTCTTCAGTTTGTTTTTCTTCTTCTGTAACAAACAGTTCAACTTCAGAGATTTGTTCTTCAGGCTTTTCTTCAGAAACAACAACTTCAACTTCTGATATTTCTGTGATTGGTTTTTCCTCTTCAGAAACAATAACTTCTGAGATTTCTTCAGTTTGTTTTTCCTCTTCTGTAACAATCAGTTCAACCTCAGAGATTTGTTCTTCAGGCTTTTCTTCGGAAACAACAACTTCAACCTCTGATATTTCTTTAACTTTAATTGGTTTTTCCTCTTCAGAAACAACAACTTCAGCAATTTCTTCAGTCTGTTTTTCCTCTTCTGTAACAAACAGTTCAACTTCAGAGATTTGTTCTTCATGCTTTTCTTCGGAAACAACAACTTCAACCTCTGATATTTCAGTGATTGGTTTTTCCACTTCAGAAAGAACAACTTCTGAAATTTCTTCAGTTTGTTTTTCTTCTTCTGTAACAACCAGTTCAACTTCAGAGATCTGTTCGTCAGGCTTTTCTTCGGAAACAACAACTTCAACCTCTGATATTTCTTTAATTGGTTTTTCCTCTTCAGAAACAACAACTTCTGAAATTTCTTCAGTTTGTTTTTCCTCTTCTGTAACAACCAGTTCAACTTCAGAGATTTGTTCGTCAGGCTTTTCATCGGAAACAACAACTTCAACCTCTGATATTTCTTTAATTGGTTTTTCCTCTTCAGAAACAACAACTTCTGAAATTTCTTCAGTTTGTTTTTCCTCTTCTGTAACAACCAGTTCAACTTTAGAGATTTGTTCTTCAGGCTTTTCTTCGGAAACATCAATTTCAACCTCTGATATTTCTTTAATTGGTTTTTCATCTTCAGAAACAACAACTTCAGCAATTTTTTCAGTCTGTTTTTCCTCTTCTGTAACAACCAGTTCAACTTCAGAGATTTGTTCTTCAGGCTTTTCTTCGGAAACAACAACTTCAAGCTCTGATATTTCTTTAATTGGTTTTTCTTCTTCAGAAACAACAACTTCTGAAATTTCTTCAGTCTGTTTTTCCTCTTCTGTAACAACCACTTCAACTTCAGAGATTTGTTCTTCGGGCTTTTCTTTGGAAACAACAACTTCAACTTCTGATATTTCTGTGATTGGTTTTTCTTCTTCAGAAACAACAACTTCTGAGATTTCTTCAGTTTGTTTTTCCTCTTCTGTAATAACCAGTTCAACTTCAGAGATTTGTTCTTCAGGCTTTTCTTCGGAAACAACAACTTCAACCTCTGATATTTCTTTAATTGGTTTTTCTTCTTCAGAAACAACAACTTCAGCAATTTCTTCAGTCTGTTTTTCCTCTTCTGTAACAACCAGTTCCACTTCAGAGATTTGTTCTTCAGGCTTTTCTTCGGAAACATCAATTTCAACCTCTGATATTTCTTTAATTGGTTTTTCATCTTCAGAAACAACAACTTCAGCAATTTCTTCAGTCTGTTTTTCCTCTTCTGTAACAACCAGTTCAACTTCAGAGATCTGTTCGTCAGGCTTTTCTTCGGAAACAACAACTTCAACTTCTGATATTTCTTTAATTGGTTTTTCCTCTTCAGAAACAACAACTTCTGAAATTTCTTCAGTTTGTTTTTCCTCTTCTGTAACAATCAGTTCAACCTCAGAGATTTGTTCTTCAGGCTTTTCTTCGGAAACAACAACTTCAACCTCTGATATTTCTTTAATTGGTTTTTCCTCTTCAGAAACAACAACTTCTGAAATTTCTTCAGTTTGTTTTTCTTCTTCTGTAACAAACAGTTCAACTTCAGAGATTTGTTCTTCAGGCTTTTCTTCGGAAACAACAACTTCAACCTCTGATATTTCTTTAATTGGTTTTTCCTCTTCAGAAACAACAACTTCTGAGATTTCTTCAGTTTGTTTTTCTTCTTCTGTAACAATCAGTTCAACCTCAGAGATTTGTTCTTCAGGCTTTTCTTCGGAAACAACAACTTCAACCTCTGATATTTCTTTAATTGGTTTTTCCTCTTCAGAAACAACAACTTCTGAAATTTCTTCAGTTTGTTTTTCTTCTTCTGTAACAAACAGTTCAACTTCAGAGATTTGTTCTTCAGGCTTTTCTTCGGAAACAACAACTTCAACTTCTGATATTTCTGTGATTGGTTTTTCCTCTTCAGAAACAATAACTTCTGAGATTTCTTCAGTTTGTTTTTCCTCTTCTGTAATAACCAGTTCAACTTCAGAGATTTGTTCTTCAGGCTTTTCTTCAGAAACAACAACTTCAACCTCTGATATTTCTTTAATTGGTTTTTCTTCTTCAGAAACAACAACTTCAGCAATTTCTTCAGTTTGTTTTTCCTCTTCTGTAACAATCAATTCAACCTCAGAGATTTGTTCTTCAGGCTTTTCTTCGGAAACAACAACTTCAACTTCTGATATTTCTGTGATTGGTTTTTCCTCTTCAGAAACAACAACTTCAGCAATTTCTTCAGTCTGTTTTTCCTCTTCTGTAACAAACAGTTCAACTTCAGAGATTTGTTCTTCAGGCTTTTCTTCGGAAACAACAACTTCAACTTCTGATATTTCTGTGATTGGTTTTTCTTCTTCAGAAACAACAACTTCTGAAATTTCTTCAGTTTGTTTTTCCTCTTCTGTAACAATCAGTTCAACCTCAGAGATTTGTTCTTCAGGCTTTTCTTCGGAAACAACAACTTCAACTTCTGATATTTCTGTGATTGGTTTTTCCTCTTCAGAAACAACAACTTCAGCAATTTCTTCAGTCTGTTTTTCCTCTTCTGTAACAACCAGTTCAACTTCAGAGATTTGTTCTTCAGGCTTTTCATCGGAAACAACAACTTCAACCTCTGATATTTCTTTAATTGGTTTTTCCTCTTCAGAAACAACAAATTCCGCAATTTCTTCAGTTTGTTTTTCCTCTTCTGTAACAAACAGTTCAACTTCAGAGATTTGTTCTTCAGGCTTTTCTTCAGAAACAACAACTTCAACCTCTGATATTTCAGTGATTGGTTTTTCCACTTCAGAAAGAACAACTTCTGAAATTTCTTCAGTTTGTTTTTCTTCTTCTGTAACAACCAATTCAACTTCAGAGATTTGTTCTTCAGGCTTTTCTTTGGAAATAACAACTTCAACTTCTGATATTTCTGTGATTGGTTTTTCTTCTTCAGAAACAACAACTTCTGAGATTTCTTCAGTTTGTTTTTCCTCTTCAGTAACAACCAGTTGAACTTCAGAGATTTGTTCTTCTGGCTTTTCTTCGGAAACAACAACTTCAACCTCTGATATTTCAGTGATTGGTTTTTCCTCTTCAGAAACAACAAATTCAGCAGGTTCTTCAGTTTGTTTTTCCTCTTCAGTAACAACCAGTTCAACTTCAGAGATTTGTTCTTCAGGCTTTTCTTCGGAAACAACAACTTCAACCTCTGATATTTCAGTGATTGGTTTTTCCACTTCAGAAAGAACAACTTCTGAAATTTCTTCAGTTTGTTTTTCTTCTTCTGTAACAACCAATTCAACTTCAGAGATTTGTTCTTCAGGCTTTTCTTTGGAAATAACAACTTCAACTTCTGATATTTCTGTGATTGGTTTTTCTTCTTCAGAAACAACAACTTCTGAGATTTCTTCAGTTTGTTTTTCCTCTTCAGTAACAACCAGTTGAACTTCAGAGATTTGTTCTTCAGGCTTTTCTTCGGAAACAACAACTTCAACCTCTGATATTTCAGTGATTGGTTTTTCTTCTTCAGAAACAACAACTTCTGAGATTTCTTCAGTTTGTTTTTCCTCTTCAGTAACAACCAGTTCAACTTCAGAGATTTGTTCTTCAGGCTTTTCTTCGGAAACAACAACTTCAACCTCTGATATTTCTGTGATTGGTTTTTCCTCTTCAGAAACAATAACTTCTGTGATTTCTTCAGTTTGTTTTTCCTCTTCTGTAATAACCAGTTCAACTTCAGAGATTTGTTCTTCAGGCTTTTCTTCAGAAACAACAACTTCAACCTCTGATATTTCTTTAATTGGTTTTTCCTCATCAGAAACAACAACTTCTGAAATTTCTTCAGTTTGTTTTTCCTCCTTTGTAACAACCAGTTCAACTTCAGAGATTTCTTCTTCAGGCTTTTCTTCGGAAACAACAACTTCAACCTCTGATATTTCTTTAATTGGTTTTTCTTCTTCAGAAACAACAACCTCTGAAATTTCTTCAGTTTGTTTTTCTTCTTCTGTAACAACCAATTCAACTTCAGAGATTTGTTCTTCAGGCTTTTCTTTGGAAACAACAACTTCAACTTCTGATATTTCTGTGATTGGTTTTTCCTCTTCAGAAACAACAACTTCTGAGATTTCTTCAGTTTGTTTTTCCTCTTCAGTAACAACCAGTTGAACTTCAGAGATTTGTTCTTCAGGCTTTTCTTCAGAAACAACAACTTCAACCTCTGATATTTCTTTAATTGGTTTTTCCTCTTCAGAAACAACAACTTCTGAAATTTCTTCAGTTTGTTTTTCTTCTTCTGTAACAAACAGTTCAACTTCAGAGATTTGTTCTTCAGGCTTTTCTTCGGAAACAACAACTTCCACCTCTGATATTTCTTTAATTGGTTTTTCCTCTTCAAAAGTAACAACTTCAGCAATTTCTTCAGTTTGCTTTTCTTCTTCATGAATAACTAATTCAACTTTAGAAACCTCTTCTTTGGGTTTTTCTTCTGAAACAACAGCTTCCACCTCAGATATTTCTTTGATTGGTTTTTCAACTTCAGAAACAACAACTTCAGTAATAAGCATTTCGACTCCAGGAACCTCTACTGTTGTGCTCTCTGTTTGGCTTGTTTCTTTATCAAAATGTGAAGCAATGAAAGTTTTTTTGCAAATAATATATAGCAAGATGAAATCAAATGAAATAAAAGGTTTTCCATGCCCCAAATGGAAAATAATACATGATCCAGAAGAAATAAAATATTATGTTATAAGTCAATCCTACACTATACTTATTCGTAACGATTGTTAATTTTGAAGAATAATTTCAGTTTAATATACAACTTTTTAGTGATATCAGTTTCTTTTCTTAACATTTACTAAGATTAAATCAAAACCTAATAGTACTGAAGTTATCATTAGATTTCAAAATATTATTCAAATTTGCTATAGTTAAATATTTGTTTTATATTAATTGTTGCCGACTAAGATCTATGGTACAATTTTATACAACAGTAACTTTTCTTTTGGAATTCATTGATATTTGACGCAAAAAGGATATGAAGAACTATACAGTGGTTATAGTAAAATGTATAATGATATGGGGAATGTCAACTTAAACTATATACAGAAATTATAGTCATATCTTGTGAATTTAACATATTCTGAATACCCTGAAAATCAAGCACAGTACAAACGATTCACTCTGAAATATTATTCTGATATACTAACAAATTGTACCTGAAGTATGTGTTGAACAATTATGGAATAACTTTCCAAACAAATCAAGTTTATATCAAATAAATTGATGAATAAGTCAAGCATTCATCTGTATGGAAACATAATACAAGTACAAGCTACATTGTTCAAATAGCTGCCTCTTAATATCTAGGTAAATAGTATGCCCAATTTGTATGAATATCATAGAAGCACAAGTAACCAATATTTCACACTTATAATTATAATGTCGATGTAACTTAATAATTCTTGTGACAACAACCAAAGCAGTTCTGGATGTGTCTTTGTTTTTTTAGTAGTACATATTGTAGTGTGGAGGCAGAAGAAGTTTAATATATGAATATTAAAAGAGACAGCTATTAAAATCGATATAGTATAGAAAAACAACATGATATATTTTTTTTAAGATTTACAAAACTATAGAAAGAGACGATATAAGATTATTACAATATATACTTAAACTAAAAAGATGATATGAATGCAAAATGTTAAAAGATGACACGCAAATTTTTTTTCTCAAGACTACTATTATAATAATTCAGATTTATTAAAAGAAATATTTTTTTAAATTAAATATATGAGAAAGAATACTAGATAAACATTGATATAAGTATATAAGAATACATACCAGTCACTAACTTCTCTTTTTGTTCTTGAGTGATAGTTTCATTAGTAGTTATATCAACCTGTTCTACAGGAACTGAAAAACACCAAACTTTGATGAAGGTAAGCAATAAAAGTATTATGTTTATAATAATTATATAAAACAGAATAAACAATGATAATTGGGTAACAAGTAAATTTCTATATCAAGGACACAATTATAAAATAATGCGAAATAAAGGGTTTAGCTATAATATCTATAATCCTAAATACACAAATTGTTATCTACACAAATACTACAATTACAGAACTTTGATGGGTAGTTCTATTTTATTAATTATCTAAACTAGAACAAGATAGTATTAAGCCAGACTTTCTTGTATTCTAACACACATTGATGACATTGAGTTAAGTTTTTACATTCATATTTAACAGCATATAAACAATATATTTTTCAAAAACATTAATCTACATTATTTAAGTTATACAATACCATATATACTTTGAGACAATTTATCTATCAGTCACCTAAAACATTTATATTGAACATAAGACATTATTTCAAGCAAAGTAGTAAAACTGTAGAGAGCATGCTCTTCATTTTATTATACAGGCATGATTATATACAAGCATATAAACATAATCTATTCATTTTAAAATTAAAAGAAAACAAAACAATCCCACAAAAAATTGAATAAATCAATGAAAAAATAATAAAAATAAATAAGTAAGAAAAAAAATAACGTTTAAAAAATCAGAAACAGTACTCAATCCAACACATAGCAGTATTTCAATTTTCGATATAAAAAATAAAAATTTAAAAAGAAAACGGTAATTGTAAACGTGTCAAAAGCTAGCAAATATATCATAAAGCTAAAACAAAAGTTGACAGATTCAAAGTAAAATAAAAAAAAATATGTTAAAAAAAGAGTGCAAAAAAAAGAACAGCCCAACTGGAGATTTCAGCCATCTGTAGCACAAGTTTTCACTGGTACCTTTTCTAATGGCTGACTTGTCATGTCTAGCATCACTTGTATCTTGTTCCTGACTTGTTGAAAGGTTATATAATTTTTGATCATCCAACTGAGCAACCTTATCTGATATAATGTTTTCAGAGAATTCAGTGACTTGTTCATCAGATATTTCTTGGGATATGGCAAATTCAATCCCTGATAACTCTTTATTTGTTTTTTCTTCTTTAATTTCTTTGTCCTCTTCAGAAACAACAGTTATTTCTTCTTCAGAAATTTCTTCTTTGGGGTTTTCTTCAGATACAGTGACTTCAATCTCAGAGATTTCTTTAATTGGTTTTTCCTCTTCAGAAATAACCACTTCAGTGATTTCTTCAACAGGTTTGTCCTCTTCAGAAACAATTAATTCAATTTCAGAAATGTCTTCTGATTTTTCTTCAGTAGGAACAATAACCTCCACCTCTGTTATTTCTTTGACTGGTTTTTCTGCTTCAGAAACAACAACTTCAGAGATTTCTTCAATTTGCTTGTAATCTTCAGAAACAGTTAGTTCAACTTCAGAAACCTCTCGTTTCGGTGTTTCTTCGGGAACAATAACTTCAATCTCAGATATTTCGTTGATTGGTTTTTCATCTTCCGAAACAACAGTGATTCCTTCTTCAGAAGTTTCTCCAGGAACAATGACTTCAACCTCAGATATTTCTTTGGCTGTTTTTTCATCTTCCGAAACAACAGTGATTTCTTCTTCAAGAACAATAACTTCAATCTCAGAGATTTCTTTGACTGGTTTGTCCTCTTCAGAAACAACCACTTCAGTGATTTCTTCAGTAGGAACAATAACCTCCACCTCTGTTATTTCTTTGACTGGTTTTTCTGTTTCAGAAACAACAATTTCAGAGATTTCTTCAATTTGCTTGTCATCTTCAGAAACAGTTAGTTCAACTTCAGAAACCTCTCGTTTCGGTGTTTCTTCAGGAACAATAACTTCAACCTCAGAGATTTCTTTGACTGGTTTTTCATCTTCCGAAACAACAGTGATTTCTTCTTCAGAAGTTTCTTCAGGAACAATAACTTTAATCTCAGCTGTTTCTTTGACTGGTTTTTCCTCTTCAGAAACAACCACTTCAGTGATTTCTTCTTCAGAAGTTTCTTTAGGAACAATAACTTCAATCTCAGCTGTTTCTTTGACTGGTTTTTCCTCTTCAGAATCAACCACTTCAGTGATTTCTTCAACAGGTTTGTCCTCTTCAGAAACAATTAATTCAATTTCAGAAATGTCTTCTGATTTTTCTTCAGTAGGAACAATAACCTCCACCTCTGTTATTTCTTTGACTGGTTTTTCTGTTTCAGAAACAACAATTTCAGAGATTTCTTCAATTTGCTTGTCATCGTCAGAAACAGTTAGTTCAACTTCAGAAACCTCTCGTTTCGGTGTTTCTTCAGGAACAATAACTTCAACCTCAGAGATTTCTTTGACTAGTTTTTCATCTTCCGAAACAACAGTGATTTCTTCTTCAGAAGTTTCTTCAGGAACAATAACTTCAATCTCAGCTGTTTCTTTGACTGGTTTTTCCTCTTCAGAAACAACCACTTCAGTGATTTCTTCTTCAGAAGTTTCTTCAGGAACAATAACTTCAATCTCAGCTGTTTCTTTGACTGGTTTTTCCTCTTCAGAATCAACCACTTCAGTGATTTCTTCAACAGGTTTGTCCTCTTCAGAAACAATTAATTCAATTTCAGAAACGTCTTCTGATTTTTCTTCAGTAGGAACAATAACCTCCACCTCTGTTATTTCTTTGACTGGTTTTTCTGTTTCACAAACAAAAATTTCAGAGATTTCTTCAATTTGCTTGTCATCTTCAGAAACAGTTAGTTCAACTTCAGAAACCTCTCGTTTCGGTGTTTCTTCAGGAACAATAACTTCAATCTCAGAGATTTCTTTGACTGGTTTTTCCTCTTCAGAAATAACCACTTCAGTGATTTCTTCAACAAGTTTGTCCTCTTCAGAAACAATTAATTCAATTTCAGAAATTTCTTCTGATTTTTCTTCAGTAGGAACAATAACCTCCACCTCTGTTATTTCTTTGACTGGTTTTTCTGCTTCAGAAACAACAACTTCAGAGATTTCTTCAATTTGCTTGTCATCTTCAGAAACAGTTAGTTCAACTTCAGAAACCTCTCGTTTCGGTGTTTCTTCAGGAACAATAACTTCAATCTCAGAGATTTCTTTGACTGGTTTTACCTCTTCAGAAACAACCACTTCAGTGATTTCTTCTTCAGGAGTTTCTTCAGGAACAATAACTTCAATCTCAGAGATTTCTTTGACTGGTTTTTCCTCTTCAGAAACAACCACTTCAGTGAATTCTTCAACAGGTTTGTCCTCTTCAGAAACAATTAATTCAATTTCAGAAATGTCTTTTGATTTTTCTTCAGTAGGAACAATAACCTCCACCTCTGTTATTTCTTTGACTGGTTTTTCTGCTTCAGAAACAACAACTTCAGAGATTTCTTCAATTTGCTTGTCATCTTCAGAAACAGTTAGTTCAACTTCAGAAACCTCTCGTTTCAGTGTTTCTTCGGGAACAATAACTTCAATCTCAGATATTTCTTTGATTGGTTTTTCATCTTCCGAAACAACAGTGATTCCTTCTTCAGAAGTTTCTCCAGGAACAATGACTTCAACCTCAGATATTTCTTTGATTGGTTTTTCATCTTCCGAAACAACAGTGATTCCTTCTTCAGAAGTTTCTCCAGGAACAATGACTTCAACCTCAGATATTTCTTTGGCTGGTTTTTCATCTTCCGAAACAACAGTGATTTCTTCTTCAGGAGTTTCTTCAGGAACAATAACTTCAATCTCAGAGATTTCTTTGACTGGTTTGTCCTCTTCAGAAACAACCACTTCAGTGATTTCTTCAGTAGGAACAATAACCTCCACCTCTGTTATTTCTTTGACTGGTTTTTCTGTTTCAGAAACAACAATTTCAGAGATTTCTTCAATTTGCCTGTCATCTTCAGAAACAGTTAGTTCAACTTCAGAAACCTCTCGTTTCGGTGTTTCTTCAGGAACAATAACTTCAACCTCAGAGATTTCTTTGACTGGTTTTTCATCTTCCGAAACAACAGTGATTTTTTCTTCAGAAGTTTCTTCAGGAACAATAACTTCAATCTCAGCTGTTTCTTTGACTGGTTTTTCCTCTTCAGAAACAACCACTTCAGTGATTTCTTCTTCAGAAGTTTCTTCAGGAACAATAACTTCAATCTCAGCTGTTTCTTTGACTGGTTTTTCCTCTTCAGAATCAACCACTTCAGTGATTTCTTCAACAGGTTTGTCCTCTTCAGAAACAATTAATTCAATTTCAGAAACGTCTTCTGATTTTTCTTCAGTAGGAACAATAACCTCCACCTCTGTTATTTCTTTGACTGGTTTTTCTGTTTCAGAAACAACAATTTCAGAGATTTCTTCAATTTGCTTGTCATCTTCAGAAACAGTTAGTTCAACTTCAGAAATCTCTCGTTTCGGTGTTTCTTCGGGAACAATAACTTCAATCTCAGAGATTTCTTTGACTGGTTTTTCCTCTTCAGAAATAACCACTTCAGTGATTTCTTCAACAAGTTTGTCCTCTTCAGAAACAATTAATTCAATTTCAGAAATTTCTTCTGATTTTTCTTCAGTAGGAACAATAACCTCCACCTCTGTTATTTCTTTGACTGGTTTTTCTGCTTCAGAAACAACAACTTCAGAGATTTCTTCAATTTGCTTGTCATCTTCAGAAACAGTTAGTTCAACTTCAGAAACCTCTCGTTTCGGTGTTTCTTCAGGAACATTAACTTCAATCTCAGAGATTTCTTTGACTGGTTTTACCTCTTCAGAAACAACCACTTCAGTGATTTCTTCTTCAGGAGTTTCTTCAGGAACAATAACTTCAATCTCAGAGATTTCTTTGACTGGTTTTTCCTCTTCAGAAACAACCACTTCAGTGATTTCTTCAACAGGTTTGTCCACTTCAGAAACAATTAATTCAATTTCAGAAATGTCTTCTGATTTTTCTTCAGTAGGAACAATAACCTCCACCTCTGTTATTTCTTTGACTGTTTTTTCTGCTTCAGAAACAACAACTTCAGA